TGAAATGCACTTCAATCAACAAAGGTGTTCCACTTCAAAGTTGTTCATTTAAATCATTGTAAAATAGGGGGAGACTGTGGCAAAATGGGACGCTTGATTTTGGTTGGGTAAAATACCCTGGCATTTAAAATCAAACCCTGCATGGTGGGTGGGTAGTTGAAGATCCACCTAGGAAGGGGTGGCAGATTAAACAAACACACTTCTTGAGTCATTGGAAGTTGTAAGAATTTGTTACAGACGCCAACTGCAGAACACTTGATGCCAAACACTAGACACCAGGGAGGCTAGAACAATATGACACTAGGTTTTGTGATGCCTTAAAAATGATTGGAAACCGACTCTTGGTAGAGCTAAATTCATAATTTACAATTTAATTATTAACAAATTGTATGCATAAGGATGATTATGACCATTACCTTCCTTTGACATTAGCCACACCCGATGCTCTTCCATATGTTGCAGCATATCAGTTTCATCTAAATCCTCTAAACATTTGGCCAATAGCAATTCGATAAACTGGTGTTTTGATTGAACTTCATGGAGGAAGCATCTAAATCCTCCACCAACAACTCTCCTGGAAAATTTCTCCATGAATTCTCTGCATGAGAAGTTCGCAAATTCTACATAGTTGCACACCTTTCTCTGGCTCCAATCAACAGCTGAAATGATACAATAATATAGGCTTAATTGAAAAGATAACAAATAATTCCAGCATGTATGTACAGTATGTTCAATGTTCATGTATGAGTTGTGGAATTCAACGATCTTGAATTGCATAATTTACATCTAAAAGGACTGCAAACTGTTGAAGTTTGAAGTATTTCCTCAAACTCAGATATTAAGCACTTAGAATATTCAATATCTCTATGTGTGAAATAGAAACATACTTCTTGTCATGTGGATCAATAATCAATCATCATTAAAATGTATTTTAGTACTACTTTTTAGCCAGAAACGCATTGTGCATAAAAATACAAAAATGTACCTATTGTCCTTAAGTTAGACTTTGTGTTACTCTGTCTTTGTTGAACGGATGTTCGCTGTGGAGGAGGTGTCCGACTCCGTTGTATTTTCTTCGGTCTTACTGAATCTGCTCCTACAACAGTTTAGCCAAATAATGAGTCTACTTGACAACTCTACTGAATAAAGATTACAACATTTTTGCTCAAAGACCATACTGAAGATTCATGTTTGAATTCATGTTTCACTGAAAGTGCCAAAAACAGAAATAATTAACTTACTATCTCTTTCTTGCTGGACCATCTCATCATGCTCTCTGCTTGTCTCCAGTCCAAGACTACGAATCACCTCAGACGCAGTGAACTTATCCATAGTTCTGTAAAATCAAATTGGTCATATTATGAAAATTGAGCCATCATATGAAAGGTAGAACAATTGATTTACTGGTCTATATTGGAGTATGTATGACCACTTATTTAAAATGATTCTTCTGGTTTGTTCATCATATTAGAATCGTAACAAAAACCTTGATCTTATGATTTATAGCAATTATATACGACCTCAAATTCTTGGTCATATATTACACCATAAATCATAAAATTTCAGTCTTTATTCCTTAAAAATGTATAAGCAATATGGTTGCAGGATAATTTTTGTTTCGATATACCTCTATTGAAAGCCCATGTTGTAACTAGATGATGGCAACTCCGCGGAGTAGCAAATCCCAACGAACAAAATATCAATTACTGAATTCCAATCAATTATACTCATTACTTTGGTTAAAATAGAAAAATTTAGATTTTAGAATTGCGAATTCCTGCAAAGCAGCCATTTTGAATTTTCTGAGGTACAAATCTGAAAAATAATACCATAATTGTGATCTACTCCAAAATTCCTTCAATTTGAGTATTATATAGCCATACGTTGAAGGGATCGAAAGATTATTGCGAAATCGTACATTAGACAGCCATTTTGAATTTTACGAGGCTCGAATCAGAAAAAAGATACAATATTTGCAATCTACTCTTAATTGCCTTTGATTTGAGTATAATAAAGCTATACTTCAGAAAGATCTAAAAATTAGCGAAAATTTCTGTTTTCCTGACCCCCCATACACGGCCCCTGGGGGTCAGGATGAAAAACACTGAATATATGTGGAATAGATAGATGTTGCGAATATACTACCAAAATTTCAAACAATAATATTAATTACTTTGGTTTAGAATGAAAAATTTATGATTTTTGTGAAAAAGTCCCGCCATTTTTAAAGCGGCGGCCATCTTGAAAAAATCCATTTTGAATTTTCTGAGGTACAAATCTGAAAAATATTACCATTATTGTGATCTACTCCAAAATTCCTTCAATTTGAGTATTATATAGCCATACTTTGAAGGGATCGAAAAATTATTGCGAAATCGTACATTAGTCGGCCATTTTGAATTTTACGAGGCTCGAATCAGAAAAAAGATACAATATTTGCAATCTACTCTTAATTGCCTTTCATTTGAGTATAATAAAGCTATACTTCAGAAAGATCTAAAAATTAGCGAAAATTTCTGTTTTCCTGACCCCCCATACACGGCCCCTGGGTGTCAGGATGAAAAACACGGAACATATGTGAAATAGATAGATGTTGCGAACATACTAACAAAATTTCAAACAATAATATTAATTACTTTGGTTTAGAATGAAAAATTTATGATTTTTGCGAAAAAGTCCCGTCATTTTTAAAGTGGTGGCCATCTTGAAAAATTTTTTTTTTGCGTAAAACTATTCATCAATATACATCTTTCCACCAAATATGAAGAAAATGCGTCAACTAATATTTGAGTTATCTTCCGGGCGGACAGACGGACGGACGGACGGACGGACGGACGGAGGGCTTCACTATATCCCTACCGAACTTCGTTCGTTGGGATAATTAAGAAATTTAAAGGGGCAACAAGGACTGTAGAGAGAAAATTTGAAAATTTTTATTTTTCTGAGTTATCAGGTCAATATTTGGCTTAACATCTTCTTTTGACATACCTTTTTTCTTAAAATGTATGGATAAACTATCAATTTCAGCGTAAATTCAGTGTAAATTCAGTTCAAATCTTCTATAAAGGGAGTCCTACTTATAGATTTGTAAGATTCAACCCGTTTCAAGAGGAATATCAGCTGAAATAATGTTCATCCAGGGGGTTTCTTTATAGATAATAAAAATATATGTTAGTCTTGAATGAAATATCCAAACTAAAATATATATTGATGATCGTTGAATGGCCCCTCTGCACTAACTGTTGCACCTTTAAGAAAACAGTAACTCCCTGGAGCAGCAAATCTGAATTGACTTTTGCAGGTCAGTTAATGCAGGTTCAAAAAAAATAGAAGACCTAACAAAATTTGCCATGTACTGCGCCTATTCATTTCGAAATTCAGTTGTAAACTTTCTCTTGAAAAAATAAATCTTCCGGATATGTTGGATTTTCTTGCAGAAATAGCCTCCTCCCCCTAGTTCAACAAGTTAAACCTAGTCTGGGCACAGGTTCCTGTGTTATGCATACCTATATTTATAATGACGCAGCAGCAAACTGCGATAAACTATGCACCTACCCTATCTTTGAATGCTCCGAAATTTCATGAGTAATTAGGAGATTTTTGTCAAAAATTTGGAACTAATTTTGAAAATTAAAATCCTCTTTATGCGCATGCGCATTATGTATCGCATGTCAAACTTTTAACATAAACGGACAATTAATTTAAAACGTTTTATTAACCGCTTTACCCCCAGACAAAGATACCTTTCTCCTAGGCGTTTCTAAAAATGTCCGCGGCAAAACTTTTTTCTGAGCACAAAAGAATATGATATCTCGCTACACGTTTAGTAGCTTTAGCGAAATCTTATTATAATAATTTTGTTTCTTGGTGTTTGTTCATATAGATTTGCATAACGACCAGAGGATTGGGTTCAACAATGTTGAAATTGCTTGGACATTATACTTATAGAACGAAGGATTTACGATAATTAAGAACTCAAGAATTACAATTTCAACTCTATAAATAAATGAGACTGGAAAAAATGTGCTGGTCAAATAAAGGGTAGGTCTCCTAACATCATAATTTTAACATTTATGAGTGCAGAATTCTGCGACAATCTATTCAATGGAATGCGAGATGTCCCTAGTAGGACTAGGGACATCTTGAAGTCTAATCAATGCTTGTCTAAAAAAATCGTCAGCTTACTTTACTTCGGTCCAAAGCCTTCTCTATATTCCGGCTTTGAGGAGGAAGATTGAGCTGCCTTAGTATTATAAATATTGTAAATCATTGTGTCACACGCACAGTAAATATGGCATAATAATATGAAATATACCTTTATGTATAGATTTGAAGAACATCAGCTCACATCCCCGTCTGAATCTATTGTTATATTTGATTTCTTTAAGCGAGAATAATATTTCAAATGTTATTCACGTCCAGAACCGGAAGCCATTTTTAGCTACAGCGAGAAAATTTCACCATGTGTCAAACTCCGAAATGAAATTTTGAAATATCTAAATCCAGACAAGCAACGCTTCATCCTAAATATGATTAATATTCTTAAAAATATTTATAAAATTTATTAAAAATGAGTTCTAGGTGCGTGTAGGTGCGTATAGCACAGTACATACGAAATCAATGAAGTTTCGTCTAGCTGTAAGCTAGAGACTCGAGTAAAGCTTACTCAGTCAGTTAGATCTACACCCAGGAGTTCATCTTGATGATCATTCAGGTCAAGAGTCGTTTTGAGTCACCAATCAAGTAATACCAAGACTAAAAAACTCACAATGTGCGTCAATTATAGGAGAACTTCTTGAAAAACGGTCAAGAAATCAATCATGGACCTAACAAGGAAGTGGTGTTATTACGGTAGGTGAGTCGTATCGACTTTTCCACTCTCCAATTTTAAAGAGTTCTAATGTGTCGATTCAACCACGGGCGAAGAACCTCTGGTGCGTCGCATAATACATGGATTTTCTGCGGCATTTTCAGGTGGTCAATATACGCATGCGCACTTACCCGGAACAAAAATATTGTACAAGGCAGTGTTTTTCAAATTTTCAAATATAGATATTATTGACCCTATTCTACCTCATACAGAAGAGAGATACACAAACATATAAAATAAAGGTAGTTTATTACTAACCACATATAAATCTACATAATTGTAATATGGACGGATGCACTAACACAATCATTGTCCAAATCAAATTTGAATTACACAGCTCTGGATTTTGAAAATAAATGAAGAAATGAGTGAAATTACAAACCTCGATTTATACGACATACTAGAAGTTTCACCAGATGTTAGTGAGAAACAGGTAATTTATTCGTAATATAGATGTAGTACTTTTGATTGAGGATGATTTTCTTTATCATATTACAAGAAATGAGTCAGAACCTGCTCGACTTTGTCGTTGCAACATATTATCGCCCATTCACTTTTACAATGTTTATTTTGGAATTGATCTACATGACATAGATCTAGATATGCAGTCAAGATTTTAGCTGACGTTTGGGAGTCTGACTTACCTTCTTCTTCTAACTCTTATATTTAGCATGTTAGCGACGCAGTCAGGCCTTGAAAAAAGTAGTAGTCCTGGACCGAGCGAAATTTTTTGCCTGTACGATTTATATATGTCACGATATAGGGACAAAAAATATTGACATTTTAAAAGTACTGTTTATTTCGTTTTGTTATTATGAAAAGTAATTAAGGAACGTTGGCTACCTTGGCTGTTGAAACCTGGTGATATAATCATTATCTTTACGAAGAATAGATTATGTTTTATGCAGGCATTTTAAAACACGTTACTTTGCCTTTAAAACGTTCGTTCATTGTCAATGGATGATTTTTTATGTAGCCATTTCTAAAACACGTTACTTTGACTTTAGAACGTTACCTTAATAGACTTTAAGTTTTCTCTAATAAGATTGGATGCTTTTTATGTACGCATTCTTAAAACACGTTACTTTGCCTTAAAAACGTTACTTTATTGGACTTAAACTGATCTCTACGAATGGATGATTTTTTTATGTAGGCCATTTTCAAAACGAAGTACTTTGTCAGTAAAACGTTACTTTATTCGACTTTAACAATACTCCACGAAGAATGGATGAATTTTATGTAAGCATTTTCAAACACGTTACTTTGCCTTAAAAACGTTACTTAATTGGACTTTAACTGATCTCCAAGAAGAATGGATGATTTTATATTAGGTATTTTCAAAACACGATGCTTTGCCTTAAAAACGTTACTTTATTGGACTTTAACTTATCTCCACGAAGAATGGATGATTTTTATATGTAGGCAATTTCAAAACACAGTACTTTGTCAGTAAAACGTTACTTTATTCAACTTTAACCATACTCCACGAAGAATGGATGGCTTTTTATGCAGGCATTTTCAAAACACAGTACTTTGCCTTAAAAACGTTACTTTATTGGACTTTAACTTTTCTCCACGAAGAATGGATGAATTTTTGTGTAGTCTTTTCAAAACACAGTACTTTGTCAGTAAAACGTTACTTTATTCAACTTTAACCATACTCCACGAAGAATGGATGGCTTTTTATGCAGGCATTTTCAAAACACAGTACTTTGCCTTAAAAACGTTACTTTATTGGACTTTAACTTTTCTCCACGAAGAATGGATGAATTTTTGTGTAGTCTTTTCAAAACACGTTACTTTGCCTTAAAACGTTACTTTATTGGACTTTAACTGATCTCCACGAAGAATAGATGATTTTATTTTTGGCATTTTCAAAACACAGTACTTTGTCAGTAAAACGTTACTTTATTCAACTTTAACCATACTCCACGAAGAATGGATGGCTTTTTATGCAGGCATTTTCAAAACACAGTACTTTGCCTTAAAAACGTTACTTTATTGGACTTTAACTTTTCTCCACGAAGAATGGATGAATTTTTGTGTAGTCTTTTCAAAACACAGTACTTTGTCAGTAAAACGTTACTTTATTCAACTTTAACCATACTCCACGAAGAATGGATGGCTTTTTATGCAGGCATTTTCAAAACACAGTACTTTGCCTTAAAAACGTTACTTTATTGGACTTTAACTTTTCTCCACGAAGAATGGATGAATTTTTGTGTAGTCTTTTCAAAACACGTTACTTTGCCTTAAAAACGTTACTTTATTGGACTTTAACTGATCTCCACGAAGAATGGATGATTTTATATTTGGCATTTTCAAAACACAGTACTTTGTCAGTAAAATGTTACTTTATTCGATTTTAACCATACTCCACGAAGAATGGATGGTTTTTTATGTAGGGCCTTCTTAAAACACGTTACTTTGCCTTAAAAACGTTACTTTATTGGACTTTAAATGATCTCCACGAAGAATGGATAATTTTTTATGCAGGTATTTTCAAAACACGTTACTTTGCCTTAAAACGTTACTTTATTGTACTTTAACTGATCTCCACGAAGAATGGATGATTTTTATACACGCACTTTCAAAACACAGTACTTTGCCTTAAAGACGTAACTTTATTGGATTTTAACTTTTCTCCTCGAAGAATGGATGATTTTTAGGTAGGCATTTTCAAAACACAGTACTTTGCCGATAAAACGTTACTTTCGTGGACTTTAACTTTTCTCCTCGAATAATGGGTGATTTTTTATGTAGGCATTCTAAAAACACAGTACTTTGCCAGTAAAACGTTACTTTTAACTTTATTCCTTCAAGTGTCGAACATTTTAGCCTGGTGTTTTTAAAAAGCGTTACTTTGGCCGATTTCCGTAACTTTCTTGTACTCTTAGTTTTCCTCCATCGAGCGTTGGTGAAATTTAGGTAGGCATTTTCAAAAAGCGTTACTTTGGCCCTTTTCCGTTACTTTCTTGGACTTTAACTTTTTTGCCCGATTGAGTATTTTAAATGTAAAAAATAAGGAATCAAAGGACGATATTGAACAGTATTTTGTAAAAGTAGAAACAATTGTACGAGGCCTAACTTTTGTATATTTTGGTTTGTTTTGTAGTTAGCTATCATATGTGTGGCCTCTTATATTTCGATGCTTCTCTGCCATGACATTTTCGACACTAAAAATTAACATGGATGAAACTCAATAGTTTACTGAATGCCACACGTTTGCTGTAACTATCTGAAATACTAAAGTTAGGCCTTGTACATAGGTTTCTATTTCTCCAAATATTGTTGCAAAATGGTCATTTGATTGCTTATTTTTTAAATTCAAAGTACTCAATAGATGATTTTGAATCGCATTTTGACGAACTTCAGTTTTGTCTCCGTCAGTCGATAAAAAGCAGTCAAAAGACCACAGTGCAATATTAAATGGAAAAATACATTGATATTCTGATGCAAACGATTGTATTGTTTGTTAGCTCGTGTTTTTAATAATACAATGTGTATATAATTCTTGAAAACTAGTGATTTAGTTCGACATTTATGAGATGTAGTTGAAGCGAACGACATCTTTATGAATTACTCATACTTATAGTCGGATTAAAAACTGTGTTTTATAAAGATGTCGCTCAGTATCAGAAAATACACCTTCCAAATTTTCAAATATCAATCTGTCAACAACAAGATCGAATAAACAAGATACACCATCAGACCTAGGATGAAGAAAAGAATATTTGTTTTGGAAAGAGGGTCAAAATTGTTGCATCAATGTCTTGGTTGCATTCAAACGTACTAATAAAGGGAAGTGAAAAAAATGCCATGTTATAAGTGACCTAAATGGCGCGGACGTCAGAGAGCGCCTTCCGGTAAAGTGGGTGTTTGGGATGAATCGATCTTTTATCGTATGAATCGCTAAAATTGCAACTCTGAAGTAATTCAACACTGTTATCGGCTAAACTAATCTATAAATTAACGTACATTCATGAAAAAGGATCCACTTTGGTCTTTTAACCGCCTAATTGAGTACATTGGACGTTAAATAAGCAACCAACATATTCAATATGCGGTAACAGAAAATGAAAAAAATATAAACATGGCCGCGCCTGGAGAGCCTTAAAATTTGGAGAGCCTTAAAATTTAAGGCTCTCTAGCCAAATGGGTTACCAAAATGCTAAAGAGCCTTAAATTTTAAGGTTCTTTAGCATTTGGGCTAAAGAGCCTTAAATTGTAAGGCTCTTTAGCATTTTGATAGCCAATTCTGCTAGAGAGCCTTAAAGGAATTCCAGGCGACAGAAATGACGAAATATTGCTTCTGCCGGACAAGATCAAACGACTTTGACAAATTCTATACCCAACCTATTTTGTAATTTAACAATCAGCACAAATATACATACCATATTAGCAGATATCGGACAAATTCAAAAAGAAATATGTTTTGATCGATAAAATCACTGATTATTAAACCGGAAGTGTCTTCTCTGAGGTCCGCGAAGAAGATGAAGAAGAAAATATAAAGATTTCAGGCAATTCAATTTTGCCGTCGATTTAATTTTAAATGGTTCTAAATAATCTTTGAATGCTTACTTTGACTTCTATTAGTGCTGTTTTGACTTCCCCACTTCATAAAAAACATTATCACTTTTTGCTTGACTCATAAATTTACTTCCGGTCTACCGAGAGAAATAAAAGTTCTTCAGTAGTAGAACCTTTTCAATCCTCAGTCTAAATTCGGCTTTTTAAAACATACGTACAAGACGTAACAAGAAGTAGACCTACTCAATGGAATTATTAATCGAGCAAAATTGCAAGAATTTAAGATTTTCAAGGTGGAATAAGTGAATTAATAGATGGAAAAACACTACTAGCCTCTCTTTACACTATGGTCCATCTTATCTTTTACAATAATTAGTAATACCACTCACTGACAAGATTTTCAAGTTACACATCGAAAAAAGTTTAAGTCCAAGAAAGTAACGGAAAAGGGCCAAAGTAACGCTTTTTGAAAATGCCTACCTAAAATTTACCAACGCTCGATGGAGAGTCCACGAAAGTAACGTTTTATCGGCAAAGTACTGTGTTTTGAAAATGCCTACCTAAAATATCATCCATTCTTCGAGGAGAAAAGTTAGAGTCCACGAAAGTAACGTTTTATCGGCAAAGTACTGTGTTTTGAAAATGCCTACCTAAAAATCATCCATTCTTCGAGGAGAAAAGTTGGAGTCCAATAAAGTAACGTTTTTAAGGCAAAGTACTGTGTTTTGAAAATGCCTAATATAAAATCATCCATTCTTCGAGGAGAAAAGTTAAAGTCCAATAAAGTAACGTTTTTAAGGCAAAGTAACGTGTTTTAAGAATGCCTACATAAAATACATTCTTTGTGGGGAGAAGTTAAAGTCCGATAAAGTAACGTTTTATTGGCAAAGTACTGTGTTTTGAAAATGCTTACCTAAAAATCATCCATTCTTCGAGGAGAAAAGTTAGAGACCAATAAAGTAACGTTTTTAAGGCAAAGTATCGTGTTTTAAGAATGCCTTCATAAAAAATCATACATTCCGGCTTTTGTGGGGAAAAGTTAAAGTCCAATAAAGTAACGTTTTATTGGCAAAGTACTGTGTTTTGAAAATGCTTAATATAAAATCATCCATTCTTCGAGGAGAAAAGTTAAAGTCCAATAAAGTAACGTTTTTAAGGCAAAGTAACGTGTTTTAAGAATGCCTACATAAATGCCTACAAAAATCATCCATTCTTCGTAGAGTATAGTTAAGTATCATACATAAATGCCTACATAAAACATCATCTATAGTCATGTTTGACTTTCCATAATAACAAAACGAAAAAAACGGTACTTTTAAAATGTCAATATTTTCTGTCCCTATATCTTGACACTGTTGGTACGATTACAACTTGGGAGAATTATCTACGCCCATTACACTAAAGATGCCTACTTCAATAGATTCCTTGGTATATTAGCATTCTTTTCGTGTAGTTGAACCCACAATTGTTTATCGGTAGAACTGTTGGCTTCAAAGAGAAATTTGAAAGCCCATAGAACGAAGAAATTTTCGTTTTTGATCACAATATTTGCGTGTAATGTTTAACTTATTTCAACCGTCAAATTCCTCCATTTATTGGTACTTCCCGGCCACTTCCGGCCAGTCAAACTGGGTAATCCCCTTTTAACTTGAAAAGTGATGGAATCTCTCTCGATGAAGAAGAAAAATGTTCCGGTTCTGCCAATATACCCGGACAATTGTGGATTCGACTACAAGAAAAGAATGCTTAAATACCAAGGAATTTATTGAAGTAGGTATCTTAAGTGTAAGGGGCGTAGATAATTCTCCCAAGTTGTAATTGTACAGGCAAAAGATTGCGCTCGGTCCAGGACTATAGTCTGGCACGGGATAGATACATGTAATACCTACTGAATTTACCCATGTACTGAATACTCCAGGTTTGGCATCTTGAATCAGAAAAAACTGGCTCCGCCCTGAGATGTCATTATTTACTGACTGACATTTTAACTGGCAATAAATTCGTAATCCATACTATCGAAAGGTTTATACTTATGTCCCGATCCCCTGTTACAGTATGTGTTTTGAACTTTTTAGTTAAGAATATTCAAAATGGCGGCGTTAGAAATTTTAATTACGCCATCTTTTAGATCGGCCTATTTACTCACGACAGGCGGAGCAGTTGCAATTCTGAATTCTCCGATTTTGTTCATTATTTGACCGGTAAAGCCAGTTTGAGGTGAGAAAAAAAAACCATTTTCCTTGAAGTGTTATGTTCATATGTTCGGGGCATAGACATAGAAGACGACGGGGCTTATCGCATCCTACGACCCCTTTAGATTGTGGTCGTACGCCCGTATCATTGGTAAGCCTGTCTTTCTACAATGTCGGAGAATGAACTATGCATTGCACTATTAAATGACCTACCTCGATACATTCCAGAGTATTTTAGAATTCTTTTTATGTTGTTAGATCGCCAATTGTATGGGTTTATCGGCAGAACGAAGATATTTTCGTTTTTGATAGCAATATTTGCGTGTAATATTTAACTTATTTCAACCGTCAAATTCCTCCATTCAGTTCCCGGCATGCACCAGTCATAAGGGAAATCCCTGGGGAATTCCCCTTCCGACATTTTGAAAATTGCTGACATATTTCCGATGTAAAAACTATAATTTTAACACATTCGGTGCAGAATTGACAAAAGGCCAACACCAGTCCTGTTACTTTTGGAACACCCTGTATTGTCATAGTTTTCCATAATATACATGTACCAGGAAGCTGAATTTCAAGTCTTACAACTAAAACAAATTGCTTTCATACATTTCAGATTATTAAGGCGTACAGAAAGAAAGCTCTGAAATGTCATCCTGATAAGAATCCTGACAACCCCAAAGCTGGTAAAGTATTTCTACTCAGTCTTTCTATATTATATTCCTTTATTTACATTTTTACATACATGTACATGTATACATTGGTATTCTGTACAGTATTGTACCGGACTTTGGCATGAGCATTATTGGTCCCAGGCCTCTGAACACAAACATTTTATAACAAAAGCTCCATAAGGTCGTAGTAGTCTTCAAGCTTCAACACTTTTCCCATCTTTTACTGCCTTAAACTAACATAGGTACACTGATTCTGTATCACATTTATTCATATATTTATTAACACTTAGAAAAAATATTTTAAAACAGTGAACATATGCATATACACTGTACACATATTACATCATGTGCTTGTCTTTTTTATCTTATGTGTTCCAAAACAATACATTTACTTTCAGCTGAGCTATTTCATCAGTTATCTAAGGCCCTTGAGGTTCTAACAGATGCTGCTGCTAGGGTGAGTAGTTAAAGTAAATAGAGTGCAAGATTAAGGTAAGGCTCCCATGGGCGCAGCCAGGGGGTGCCATGGGTTTGATCACTTAGAATGCACCTTTAAAAACTTTTGGGGCTTGCTTCGCTTGCATTGATTCAAACCCAAAAAGTCGCACCCCTTTGACAGTTGCTGGCTACACCCTTTGCTCCAATGCTTGGTTGAAGAGCATCTCTCATTAGGAATTTTTTCTGAAAAAGAATAAAGTTAAAAAGAATGAATGTTTTTTATCACAATAAGTCACTGTGAATAAAAAAAACAATATTCTCAGGTCCAAACATTTCTGAAAATGCTATCTACATATTGCTATGTGATAACATAGATGTATACTTTTCCTGACATGGCATTTCAATGCACTTCAAATGTTGTATATTGTAGAATTTTCTTATGCGGTATTCTTATATCTGATGAATATATATGATTGCCCTTAACTGCAATATGTTAGCATTAACTGCAATTTATTTAAAACATTAAACACATTGTTTTATTTTTTGTATTCAAGGCTGCCTATGATCGCTTATTGAAGGCCAAAGAAGCTGCCAAACTTAGAAACAAACTTCTAGATAGCAAAAGGAAAAAGTTCAAAGATGGTAATTTGTAAACACATTTTCCTTTATTATCCCATCATGACTCTGTGTTCAATAATCTTGTTCCTTGCCAAATATGTACCCTCCCTTCATTTACTTCTATTGTGACCTCATTACAACTGTTCCCTATACTAGTTGATACTCAAACAGAATAAATTTCTTTTACACCTGAAACTAAAAATAATGTTTTTTGGCTGGAACCCTATCTTTGACCAGACAACAGCTAAATGTATATTACTATGCATATTCATTGCTATGGGTAATTGTTGCTTATTCAAATACAGAGTATATTCTATTCCAGAGTTTAATTGTATTGTAAGACAGTTTGATGCAAATGAAATTAAAATCTTATTTGAAATATATTTGAAAAACCATTAATACTCAAGGGGCGAGGAGGAAAATTCTCAATAAATGGTGTATAGTTGGTTTGGCAGCATTTTCAGTTAGGGGAGAGTCTTGGATGAAATTTCCACCTAGGTGATAGCTTCGCAGAGTGGTAGGAAGTTCTTTTTTTTGAGGAGTTAGCCCCCCACCCCCCAAAAACACCCCACCCTGGGGAAAAAATTGTTCACACTAAATAACCTTAGATATTTTGATGTTTGTAAGTGACATACATAGATATTATATATATGAATAATTTGCAGTATTATTGATGCTGATTACTTCAAAAGAATTTGAATATCAGTACAAAGTGTGTACCCCAGGGGGCAAATTCGTGACTCATTTTCTTACTGTTTTGATTCTAACTTTTCATTTAGACACTGTAAGAGGTTGAAAAAATTCATGTGATGTGCCCAATAGCAGGGTTAGTAACCCTGAAAGATGCAGAGCCATTGAAGAAGTAGGAGCTGAGAAAAAAATTGTTGATTTTTCGAAAAATTTGACATTTTTGACAACTGGATTTTGTGTATGACTATAGCTGACCCCTATAGTTTCTAGATCCATCCCTCTATGATGATATTTATGGTTTTATACTGTGGAACTAAGATGTAAAACATAATTTAGATGGGTTTTAAGGAAGTTAAAGGTTTTAAACAAGTCCAAAATTTGAAAAATTGTAAATATAAGGTTTCAAATTTACGAATTCCAGGTATAGCCATGGCTGACCCCTATAGTTTCTAGATCCATCCATCTTTGATGATATTTATGCTTTCATAGTGTTAAACTAAGACATAAAACATAAATTAGATGGGTTTTAAGGAAGTTATAGGTTTTAAACAAGTCCAAAATTCGAAAAATTGTAAATGTAAGGTTTCAAATTTACGAATTCCAGCTATAGCCATGGCTGACCCCTATAGTTTCTAGATCCATCCCTCTTTGATGATATCTACGGTTTTGTAGTATGGAACTAAAGATGTAAAACATAATTTAGATGGGTTTTAAGGAAGTTAATGATTTAAAACAAGTCCAAAATTTGAAAAATTGTAAATATAAGGTTTCAAATTTACGAATTTTAGGTATAGCCATGGATGACCCTTATGGCTTTTTCATCAATACTTCTATGATGAAACATATACTTTTAGAGTGTGAACCTAAGATGTAAAACATACCGAAGATGAATTTTAAGGAAGTTTAAGAATTTTAACAAGTGCAATATTTGAAAAATTGAGAAATATCAGGTCTCAAAGGAGCACAGAAAGTATCGCAACAGATTTCAGACAGTCATATGTTGGATTTTGTCTGTTTTCTGAGGATTTAAGCAGGTGCATATGATAGGCCATTGCATTACCTACGGGAAAAGAACTCTTAGAGATGATAAAATAGTTTGGAATTTGAGACAGCGAAGGTGAAAACAATCCACCCACATGTTTTTTGGGACATGTCGTCCTGATTTTCAACCCCGTTCACCCCTGGTTTTTCAATTTTTGTTGCATCAATATGAGACATCAATTTGAGACATAGTTAACCATTAAAAGGATAAATTTCTTTTAGATAAAGTGGAAAACAATATTTTCCTGTTATTTTCCCATAGGGAAAACTCATGTGATCCATTGATTTCAGCTTAATTTTGGTCACCCATATTTGATATCTTTAAAATCCCTGATGGAATATATTTTTCATTTAAAGGGGTTAACTGTATGTAAAACACATATATTTATACATATACACATATATATTTATGCATGTGGATGGGTTGTTTGCACCTTCCCTGTCTCAAAATAGAAATTATTTTATCATCCCTATGGGTGCTTTTCCTGGAGGAAATGCATTGGCCTAACATGCAACATGAAATATGCACATCCTCAAATCCTCAGAAAATAGCCAAAATCCAACATATGATTGCTGAAATCTGTTGCGATACTTTCAGTCCTCCTTTACGATTTCAGGTATAGCCCTGGATGTCCCTCTTTTTGAATGTATGACTTAGCTTAGAAATTAGATGTTGAAAATATTGTGGTCAGGTTTGATCCATGTTACATGTATTGTTAAAAGAAAAATCATTAGAGTTGAGGACTTAACCCTTGAGTTCCTAAGGGGGTGAGAGGTTAATAAATCCCCCAGTAAGTGTAACTGCTCCTAGGGATATCGTATACAGTGTAGTAATTGATTGATTAAATGGATTATAACTAATTAATTATTATTTGATGATATTTATTATGTGATATAGCATTTTTACTTTTTCACATCAACATGTTCGATGTAATGTTCTGCATAATCAAAATACATAAAGACATGGTTAATTAAAAGAAACATGTTTTCTCTATATTTTGTTATGCCCCTTCTGTAATTAAGCAATGATCATCTCCTAATACAAAATGTTGTTATGAATTATCAAATTATAATCACTAAACTCCCAATAAAACAATTTGTCATCAGGCAACGGTAATTATTTGGGAAAATAAGGATTATAAGGATCATACCCCCCCCCCCCCGGGCCTAGAAACTCCCGTTAGTGCAATGTAAGGAACTCTAGGGTAAAAGGGTCTTGTCACATTAGAATCTTCATGTAGATCAAAAAAGTATATATGGTGTTATGATCAATATGTTTCAAACAAACAGACATTGAAGAAAATGTTTACATACTGACTTTGCAGATGACATTTTCTAGCATAGTTGAAGAATTTTTTTCATTTATTGAAATGATAGTCATAAAATTATAATATCAGTGTCATTTGATGCAAATTACTGCAGTCCCACATGTTCTGCTGAATGTAAAACAGAGTGAATAATTTTAAAATCAGCCTCTTCAGGAGTGGAATTTAACAGGAGATTTCAGTTATCATTTTCACAGATATTTGAGTTCTCTCCAATAGTTCCACTTAAAACAATCTTGACATTTGGCACACTTTTAGAATGCTGCTTTATTGAATTTCTTTTTGAATTTCTTTGTAATCTTTGAAAATTTGTCTTATATTACTTGGACAAAGGTATTCATATTTTAGGTAATGGTGTAATTTCTTCTATGGATTAAAGTTCAATAGGGGAAGCATCCATTCTTCGCATTCTTTCAGAATCCTTTACTGATGGAGACAACTAGCTAGGAGTCTAATGTGAAATCTATTCTTTGGGCTCCTTTAATAGATTTGATGGAGTAATCAAATATAGCTTTCCAAAACTCTCCAAATTTCAACATATAAGTTAATCTTCATTTTCCCTTTGTCATAGCCATTGCATCAATCATGAAAGTTTTATCAATTTGTGGTATGGTTTCATCGATCTCCATTTCAAACCCCTTTTTAAGTTCTGATTTTACAGGATAAGATAGATGATCATTGTCAAACGAACTGTTTGTATCCATATAAGATCATAGTTTACTCACACATTTCTAGGCAAGGTGTGTCCAATTCCAGCCAATTCAATATTCCATATAACTGCATTCCAATTTACTACTCTCATAAACCCAAGGTCAATTTAAGATTCTAGAGAAACTAATGAAACTAATGATCATAGGGAATAGCATGCCAACTGCTTGTATTTGAATTTATGTGGATTACTCATTTGGTAGACACCTTTATCAAATGTTAAAGTGTTGTTGATTTTCAAGTTGTACAAGCACAGTGTCATGGGTGCTTTCTTTTCCTGACATAGTATAACATTGTGGTAAAAATTATCAAAGGCACCTAGTACAGTAGTTCTAGTTCATCATCTTGTATAAATGATATATCAGCAGTGAAACCTGTATATCCCAACATCTGACTATTGTGAACACCTACCAATCATCCCAACACCTGACTTATCTGAAAACCAACCAATCTGAACACTTTTCCCCAGTTCAATTTTTCCTTCCTCCTATGTTTAAAAATTGAAATCTGAACACCTCTTAATTCGAACAGTGAACACTCATATTTGAAAAATCAACCTGTTTAACTTGAACTTTTTTTTACCAAATATCACATATTTCTTACAAAATTGCTCAAATACAGTGTATTGTCAGTTTAACACTGAATTGTAATATCAGAACTTTTGAATTGGATTTTTGAATGCTATTAAGCTTTTTGGGTGGTCAGTATAAATATTATTAATATTTATTAATATTTTTCATTGAGAATGCATTCATATTTCTTCAAAATCCAGAATATTGCAGATGTAAAAACCTCAAAATTCAAACACTTCTAATTTGAACGCTTTTAGCTGCTCCAAATACTATATCTAGTAGCATTCAGATTAGAAAGATTTTACTGTTTCATGACTTTTCACTCCATTTATATGCAGCAGACTAACTGCTGCAACGGGTATATATTCTACACCTGAGGCCTCATTATCATCTGGTCGCAACGCAAAATCGCATGCGAATCGCATCGCAAGACATCGCAACGCAACTATTTCCCAAAAATGTTATTATCATTCCATCGCATCGCAAGTCTGACGCAAAGTTATCGATTTTCTGATCGCAACTAAACAAAAAGTTGCGACGACGTTTACCCTGTCGCAAATCAAATCGCAAATCTAGTTCATCTTTGAGCGTTATTTTATCTATGTTAATGGATATTTTGTGGTGTTTTATATCGGTCATTTCACTACCTGTTAAGTATTAATCAATAGTATCGAAGAAATTGTTCAGTTTTATTTATTTAATATGATTAAAATATACATTTAATTGAGCCTGTAAATCCTTAAAAATCACGTTTGTTTCTTAATATTGCGAACGCATCACATACTGTATACGTCTTAGATTGGTGCCTGCAATATTTCGTGCTCTTTGGAGCATAGGATTTTCGCCAATTAAATATTTATCTAGCTAATAAAGCTTGTTTGGTGAATTAATCTTGCCACTACTACACTAATGTTCTGAGTATTCCTAGTGTATATGTACCTCACCTACATCGTCTGCAAAAGTACAAGAACACCAAGATGTTTCATTTCATACTGGATCACCACAATCGTATTGGCCGAAGAGTATTTCGAGATAGGTTTAACCCACTCGATTCACTAAATGACATCGAGATGCTCCAGAAACACAGAATGCCGAGAGCATTGTTAATAGAGGTTATAAACCTTTTTGAAGACGAACTGACACCAAAGAATAGGAACAATCATTTCATCCCGGGGTTCATTTTATTTCAGTTAGTTTCAGTAACATGACAACTTCCCGTTTTAACAGTTATTTATTTTCAGTGATGTGTGACTTACATAACGTTTTTTCTAGTCCTCATTTCCACACCAAGTGAACTTATTTTTTCAGCTACCCTTGCCCAGCAACTATCCTGTGACTGTATTGTTATTTGACAGCTAAGTGGTGCCAAAAGAATATTTGCATCCTTCTCAATGAGAGATACTAATAATTCTTGTTCATCATTTGTCCAATTCCTTGCCCTCGACATGTTTCTTCGACTACCGTCTGTTCAATGTAAATCGATTTGCATTTTGGCGCACTTATGTCTTGTACAAGTGTAATGCATGCGCAACCAATCAAATCATATCAATTATTGGATTTCTATCAATTTCAATCAAACAATGTCAAAAACTAGCGCCAGTGTCCTTTTAAATTTCGCGCCAAAATACACTCTAGACTTGCGATCGCAACTGACGTTTTAATTGTTTTGCGATTGCTTTGCGTCTGCGATTGCGCTCAATTGATAATATCACGCATCGCATGCGTTACGAATTGCGATCGCAATCGCATCGCAGACGCAACGCAACTATTTGCGACCAGATGATAATAAGGCCTCTGGTCTCTAAGCTATGATATCACAGTTGTTACTATTATGCTCATAACCTTCGATTATCAGGGCTCATTCAAGGCTGTACCTGAATAACGTGAATTTGAGACCAATTTTCGAGATCAATTTTTCAAATTTTGCACTTGTTTAAAACCTTGAACTTCCTTCAAACTCATCTTATGCATCTTTAACATTTTAATTAAATACTCTAAAAATATATATCTCATCACTGAGGTATAGATGTAAAAAACCATAAGGGTCACCTTCGGCTATACCTGAAATTCATAAATTTGAAAACTTACATTTACAATTCTTCAAATTTTTGACTTGTTTAAAACCTTAAACTTTCTTAAAATTCAGTTTGGGTATGTTAGATCTTAGTCCCACACTCTAAAACTGTATATTTAATCATAGAGGTACGGATGTAAAAACCATAAGGGTCAGCCATGGCTATACCTGAAATTCGTAAATTTGAAACCTTATATTTACAATTTTTCAAATTTTGAACTTGTTTAAAACCTTAAACTTCCTTAAAACCCATCTAAATTGTGTTTTACATATTAGTTCCATACAGCAATACCATAAGTATCACCATAGAGGGATGGATCTAGAAACTATAGGGGTCTGCCATGGCTCTACCTGGAATTCGTAAATTTGAAACCTTATATTTACAATTTTTCAAATTTTGGACTTGTTTAAAACCTTTAACTTCCTTAAAACCCATCTAAATTATGTTTTACATCTTTAGTTCCATACTACAAAACCGTAGATATCATCAAAGAGGGATGGATCTAGAAACTATAGGGGTCAGCCATGGCTATAGCTGGAATTCGTAAATTTGAAACCTTACATTTACAATTTTTCGAATTTTGGACTTGTTTAAAACCTATAACTTCCTTAAAACCCATCTAATTTATGTTTTATGTCTTAGTTTAACACTATGAAAGCATAAATATCATCAAAGATGGATGGATCTAGAAACTATAGGGGTCAGCCATGGCTATACCTGGAATTTGTAAATTTGAAACCTTATATTTACAATTTTTCAAATTTTGGACTTGTTTAAAACCTTTAACTTCCTTAAAACCCATCTAAATTATGTTTTACATCTTAGTTCCACAGTATAAAACCATAAATATCATCATAGAGGGATGGATCTAGAAACTATAGGGGTCAGCTATAGCCATACACAAAATCCAGTTGTCAAAAATGTCAAATTTTTCGAAAAATTAACAATTTTTTTCTCAGCTCCTACTTCTTCCATGGCTTTGCATCTTTCAGGGTTACTAACTCTGCTATTGGGCACTTCACATGAATTTTTTCAACCTCTTACAGTGTCTAGTTGAAAAGTTAGGATCAAAATAGTAAGGAAATGGGTCACGAATTTGCCCCCTAGGGTACACACTTTGTACTAATATTCAATTTTTTTAGGAGTAATCAGCATCAATTATACTGCAAATGATTCATATATATAATATCTATGTATGTCACTTACAAACATCAAAATATCTAAGGTTATTTAGTGTGAACAATTTTTTTCCCCGGGGTGGGGTGTTTTTGTGGGGTAGGGGGCTAACTCTTCAAAAAAAAGAACTTCCTACCACTCTGCGAAGCTATCACCTAGGTGGAAATTTCATCCAAGACTCTCCCCTAACTGAAAATACTGCCAAACCAACTATACATCATTTATTGAGAATTTTCCTCCTCGCCCCTTGAGTATAAGCTTGGAGAGATACCCGTTGTTTGCTCTTTGATGAAATATTAGAAAGATTGACTCCTAAAGTAATTCTACATTCATAATTTGTAGAACTTGAAAGTAGGGAGAAGTCAGCATGTGAGCAGAGAGAGACTAATGTTGCGGCTCAACGATCCCTAGAGGAAGAGGTATGATGTTAAGTTTACATAATCAAAATTTTGATGTGACATTATTCTTGATTGTATTATTTATAAAGCAGTTTTGTTCAATTACATGTTTCTAATTTGAACTTGGTAAAAATGCAAAATGTTTTTAAAAAAGCAACATTCATTCTCAAGTCAAAAATTCATATGATCAAACTGCAAATAAAAGAGATAAGGTACACAACTATAATTGTTCACTGGCATGGAAGTGCATTAAATAAACTTCTTCAGAATTAGAGTAGCATACAATGAGTGACTTTTACAATATGGTGGCATTTTGTTGATGTCTCTATTTATTTCCAGATTGAGAGATTGCGTAAGGAGGGTTCACATTTGTTGGAACAGGAGCAAGAACTGTTGAAGGAGCAGCTGCACAACCAAGAGTTAGAAAAACAAGGTATTGCCATTTACATTTATAATGAAATGTAAAAGGATTACAAGATACAATGTGATATGATGGAATGGAAGCAATCTATCAAAAATTGGTTTCAATCAATTCTGACTCTTTTGAAAATTTGATATATATCTGATCAAATCTAGAAGTTATTAAATATTTAAGATGTAGATATGTCCAAGTTCTTTAGAATTGAAAAGGGACATTCACTTTTTCAATACTTTAGTCAGATAACCTTAAAATGGAACATATTATCTTGAAATTAAGTTAGAACTGGTTGGACTTTTTTCAAAAATAGGAATGTTGACTGAGCACAAAATAAGATTGTTTTTGTTACATACTTACTTGTCTGTATCTCTTTATACTTCATTTAAGATGGTTTAATAGTTGAGTTGAATACACAATGGTTGAGTAGTTGAGTTGAATAGGCGATTGTTGAGTAGTTGAGTTGAATACATGATGGTTGAGAAGTTAAGTTGAATACACAATGGTTGAGTAGTTGAGTTGAATACATGATGGTTGAGAAGTTAAGTTGAATAGGCGATGGTTGAGTAGTTGAGTTGAATACATGATGGTTGAGAAGTTAAGTTGAATAGGCGATGGTTGAGTAGTTGAGTTGAATACACAATGTTCAATAGAGCTTTACAAATTGGTTCATGATCATGATTTCACTCTCTATGGTATTTTTAAAGTGTTTTGCATTTTAAAAAGTTGCCACTTGCGACAAGATTTGAATGTTCAGCTTGAGAGAGCATAGCACATATGAAAAAATCTAAATATATGCATCAAGATATCACAGCTCATTGATTCATATGTACGAGTACTTTTCATATTTTCAGAGGAAGATGTAGTTTCTGAAGTGAGTCCAAAGTTGAAGATAAAGTGGAAATGTAAGAAAGGAGATCTGAACAATGGTGGATACACAGAGGATATCATATCAGAAATACTCAATAAGGTGCAGTAATACTCGAATATGCTCAGTAATGATAAACCAAGTGATATTTGTATGAAAACAGCATTCTTTTGCTTTTAACTGATTGTCAAATTTTAGTGCAGATTCAGGACTAATTTAGCAATTTGAAGCTACTAACACAAACATTTACGAATTAATATAATTTATTTAGCTTAAACAAGGAACAATATGGAATCATCTTGAAACGGTAAAACAGCAATTGAATGATCACACTAAATCTGAGTATTGAAAAATATGGAAAATAGCTTCTGTTATCGATATACCTTTTAGTCTCACTCCAATAAAATATATTTATTATACATCAATAATAAATAAAATCATCTGGACCGGCTGGTGTCAACCTATGAGAGACTTAAGTTACTATCTGAATATATGTGTGATTCTTAAGCATTGTGTAATTGTGAAATTGAGATGTATAAAATCTGGTACCTGTTTATTCCAGTATGGTGAAGTGACTGCTCTGATCCTGTCTGCTAAGAAAGGAGGGAGTGCTATAGTGGAGTTTAAATCAGCATTCAGTGCAGTAAGTTGCATGCAGAATTCATTATTACCATGCATTGGAATGCAGAATTCATTATTACCATGCATTGGAATGTACATGTAAAATTTAGATGTATGAAGTATTTCATTGTCAATTCAATGTAGCCACAATCATTTTAGATCTTCTAGAATTACACGATTATTCTCGGGGAATCAAGAAAATATCACTGAAATCTGTGTTTCTTTCCAAGGTGTCTGTACATTTACATAAATTAAAATATACTACAGTACAAATTCAAGATAACTAATTTTATTTTAATGTAACAATGTACATAGGGGTACATAACAAACAGGAAGACATCCAAGGTCATCCACAAGGTTCAGTATTTTGAAATCTATATTTACATGTATAGTACTTAACATGAGTTTTTACATATTTAACACCATCCAGCCTTTTGTTTGAATAAAGACATTGACATTGGGCATGCAATTTTATTTCAGCAATGTGTGGTTGATGAAGAGAAGGGATTACCCAATAATCCTTTATCATTTACCTGGTTGTCAGGGAAACCTACCAATACCCCCTCTAGTGGTCAGAATAGCAACCAGAATACACAATCTCCAAATAGACATGAACAACCCTCCACAACAAGTTTTCCCATATATAGTAATATGGTAAGATTGAAAATGATAAAAGATGCTGAAAAATATAAAATATAATAAAATTGTGTATTTTTCAACATTTACTGGTGTGCAGAATTGGCATTTCATTTTTATTAATGCATTTCTTTTATGAATATGAGTGTTAATATTGACTCACATATTTTAAAAATCTTGCAATATGAACACCTGGTAATTCAAACACTTTTGGCCCGTTCCTGTGGCATTCAGATTAGACATATTAATTCACTAGGATTTAACTTCTATTATGATTCGGATAAATGTTCTTTTGTACATGTATAGTTTTCCTCTGTGTTTCAGACTGGAACAACTGAGAGTGAAGACAAAGACTTTGAAAGTATTGTGCTGATGAGAATGCGCCAAGCTGAGGAACGCAAACATCTCATAGATCAAATGAAGGAAGAGGATGGATGACAACACACGAACACTTATATTATTCCTATTCAGTGTGTAGCTTGAGTAAAGATGAAGATGGTCTTTGAATGAACCTTAGACCTTCTTATGGAAGAATTCGAGAGTGAATTAGATGACATGTTATGAAAATGTGCCTCATGTTTCCGTAGGAAGTTTCCAAATGTTCCATCTGCTGGAGGGTATTGACCTCTAACACCAGTATCCCATCTGAGTATTAAAGGTTGTGTATATACAAGATTATTTATATCATGTCAATGTTTGTATCATGCACAATCAATCCTTGCAATGCTCATATCATACACAATCAATCCTTACAATATTTGTATCAAAGCACAATCCATATGATGTTTGTTCCTTTCCTATGGTACCTAATACCTATCATGTTTATATCATATAGTAATTAATGTTTATGTCATATAACGCATAATATAGTGCGTTAAGATGTGTCAGAGGAATTGGAACAAGGACATGTATTAAACTTCAATGTTGACCATCACATACACCAGAAGCTGAGATTTTGACTTAACTTTAGCAGACACATTTTTAAAATCTCGTTCTGTTATAATATTTTACTAATCAATTTATTTTAAACAAATAAATTTTTATAAATGTACGATTTCTTATTTTATTTAAATTCTATCAACCAGGCTGTTACTAAAAGAACAATGGGGTGGGGGGTATGAATTAGATAAATATCTCCAAGTAATGATACAATATGGGGTTAATCCAGAAATTTATTTTGTAATTGGATTTGTAACAACAGCAGACCATATGAAAAGAATAACTTGATGAGATATTTTGCCCTTAGACTGCTATGAGGTACCTGTGGAATATGTGATTTTTGTCAGAAAATATGTATCACATGAAACAGAGATAGACAGGAAGACAGGATGTATGGAATTTCTGTGATCGGCGTATGTAACAAATTCTTACAACTCCCAATAACTTAACAAATACGGTTTAGACTGGCTTCAATTTTTTTTCAAAAGTTCAACTCTGACTTTATATTTAAGATTTGACCTTTCATGACCTTTTCAAGGTCAAAAAAGGTCAAAAAGGTATTTTTTCAACTTGCTTCAAATTGACCAATTCTTTTTTTCAAAATCATCTAGAAGTTATCAGAAGTTCAAATATGACTTTAGATTTGATCTTCAATGACCTTCTCAAGGTCAAAAAGGGATTTTTTCAACTTGTTTCAAATTGACACATTTTTTTCAAAATCATGTACAAGTTTTCAGAAGTTCAAATCTGACTTTAGATTTGACCTTCTCAAGGTCAAAAAGGTCTTTTTCAACTTGCTTCAAATTGACCAATTTCTTTTTTTCAAAATCATCTATAAGTTATCAGAAGTTCAAATGTGACTTCAGATTTGACCTTCAATGACCTCTTAAGGTCAAAAAGGTCAAAAAGGTATTTTTTCAACTTGCTTCAAATTGACCAATTCTTTTTTTCAAAATCACCTACAAGTCCTCAACAGTTCAAATCTGACTATAGATATGACCTTCAATGACATTCTCAATGTCAAAAAAAGATTTGACCTTCAATGACATTTTCAGGACAAAAAGGTTTTTTTCATCTTGCTTCAAATTGACCAATTTTTTCAAACTCATCTACAAGTTCTCAGAAGTTCAAATCTGACTTTAGATTTGAGATTTCACCTTCAATGACCTACTCAGGATCAAAAAAGGTATTTTTACAACTTGCTTCAAATCGACCAATTTTTTTTAAAATCATCTACAAGTTCTAAGAAATTAAAATCTGACTAAGATTGAATAAAATTGTCAGTAACAAGGTGGTGACATTTTGTCATAATAAATCTTGGGATCGTATTTTATGTTGTGGGTTTTGTATTTTACTGCTCTTTGAAGGTCTCAATGTCACATTATTCAAATAGTAAATTCCTGTGTATGCTGGTTCGTCGAACAATATGTCCTCTTCAAATGATAAAAATTCCAAAAAGATTTAGTCCTGAAGAAAAAAGATCTGGCACCTATCCAAATTTCTTGGAATCTGATGTGTGCAACTGAACTATTTAATTTGGCAGTTTTTCAAGGGGATAAATTGAATATCTTTATTTGTGTCATTACCTTCCGCCTAATCCAATTTAATTGTTGATGAACAATTTAAAATGCTCTAAATTAAACAATTTTAACAGCTCAAGCCATCGTATAACCAGAAGTTCACCAAACCAAAAACGAGACAAATTCCAAGGGATTTTGGCGACTTTAATTTAGCAATTTTTGGGCTTGCAAATTAAAGACAAATACAGTAATGTAACACATTGGATCAATATTTTCATCTCATACTCATTCTAGTTATTTTTTTATCTGTACTTGCATACATTATTATTTGCTTTATTGCTTCCTATTTTAAATCTTATTAGTACAATACTTGTATATATGCTTATTTACAAAAATGATCCCTACTCATAAGAGTTAGATTAAAAGCATATGAATCTTATACTATACAATGGGACCTAGATATATTTAACAAACAGTATGCTTTTATCAAATAAATAATTATCATTTATTTAATATCAACTGTGCACTTTCTGCATAATTACAACAATAGCATAGCATAACTATAACTGTTTGACATATGGTTTCAAATGTTATGAGTACATTACATGTACATAGGTTATGGTACATTTTACCAATGTAATGGATAAGGGCCTTTCCTATTTACACACTTTCCTGGAATGAATGGCAATGCTGAATAGACTTCCCGATTTGGTTCAAAATGGCAAATACAAGAGCTTTCCAAAATGGAAGACGTGGTTTCTCTAAACCTCAATGTAGTAGATTCAATCACATAAGTCACCGCTGTTTGCTCTGTGAAACAATTCCTCTTCACAAGTAAATTCAAGTATATTTCACCAGAATTAAAAGCTATTCCAAAATTAGAGTGTTGTTTTAGGGCCACAAGATGTGCCTGCATTTCAATCATTAAAATCTCAAGAATTGACTGCACCAGTGAATAACACTGTTAAAAATTGAGACAATTTACAAAACATCAGACAAAATTAAAGGATAGAAAGTGTAAATGTTAGAAACCTCTTCAAACATCATGCCTATGTTTTCCATAAACAAGTAATTATCAAAAAAGAAGATATTGAAGATACAGAAATGCCCAAATTTATTTTTTGCCAGACATGCCAGATAACCTTAAAATCAAAGGTTTATTGTTGGACTTCTTTGTAAGCATTAGAAAATAGACGTTGGCATAAATTGATGAGTTCATATAACAACAACTGTTTCTGGGTTCAATTAAAATCAATAGAAGGAACACATTCTGTTGATGCACATCCCGTAAATGAGAAATATACATAACAAAGACTTCTGTGATGACACTATTGATTTTTTAAAATATGCTTGAGACAAAAAATCTAAGCAAAACTAGCAAAGGAATATACTTTCCCGAGAAATATTCAAATGTGTTTATACATGTATAATATACATCTGCTTGTTTTTATAATGCAAATATGTAATTAGTCTTCACATAAATTAGTTAAATATTACATAATTACATAAACAAGACACATGGTGATAAATATCACACTTTGAATAGCAAAATAATTTACAAGTAAACATTTTAAAATCATCAAACAGCCATTGAATTAAATTGTGGGATTAATCTTTGAATTTATCCAAACATTGGTGAATTCGTACAATCTTTAGGATTTTTATCCAAATCTCATCCACCATAACATAGGTGGATTGATTTTCCGATTTTTCTAATGTAATTTGGATAAATCTTGGGGATTCCCCCAAAATCCTAGGATCATATATAAGTTCACCAAATATTAATCCAGATCAATAATCCAAAAAGATAAAATTTATCCAGATAAATTCTTGGATCGTATAAATTCATGGCCTCAGGACTTTTGTGAAATTGTAGATATATGGGACTAGTTTTTTTTGGATTTCACGCCAGTAGGCTCATGCATGCAACTACTTATGGGATAAGGAGCCATATCTCATATAATTCTCTGAATTCAACAAATCCCCCTCTCTCACATCTCTCTGAAATATTCCTGGTAGATAAATATTCTGGTCAACAATTTGTTGGATTGAGTTAATTGTTTCAGAGTCAGGATTACTTTTATTTGTTTCTTTGGGTTCTTGACTGAGTTTTATTGTACAGCTCTTGTAGTGGCATTGTAAAGATGCTAACTGTGCAAAACCTTTACCACAATATTGACAACAGTATGGTTTTTCACCAGTGTGAAGGTATTCGTGTACTTTTAGATTATGCCTTTGACTGAATGCTTTTCCACATGTGGCACATACATATGTTTTATTATGGGATGCTCTGTGTTTATACAATAGTGTTTTGTGTTGAAAACTCTTACCACATTCAGGGCATATATGAGGTTTAAAATCATCATGGCGATGTTCATGCATTCTCATGCACGCTCTATTTTTGAACCCTTCACCACAGATTGTGCATACGAATAACCTTGAAGGGTCGTGTGTTTCTCGATGATGATACAAAGACATTTGGCTTTTAAACGCCCGACCACATGTCTCGCATGTGAAATGTTTTTCATTACGATGAGTCATCATATGTTTACTCCATTTCACTAAGTTTTTGTAGCTTTTGTCGCAATGTCTACATCTTAGGAATCTTCCGTCTTCACAGTGTTGCCTCATATGTCGGTTCAGTTTGATATTGGTGCTTGTAACTTTGTCACAGTAATCACAATGGTATGTAACATTGTCTTGTTCATCTACTCGTATGAAGGGTTTTGGACCTGAAACATAATAAACAATTAAATGTTAATTAAAATACATTTGTCTCCACAACTGTTGGCTGGACTGAATAAGGAATATTAATCTTTATGAATTATTATTGCTCAAACAGTATTCTTCAACCATTAATTTCACCCAACTTTAAATTATTGGTGGTTAATTATCATTCATCAGATTGATTTACATTTGAACTCCAACATAAATTCTTATTCAACAATCAATATTAGCTAAAACATCAATCCTTACTTAACATTTGTCTCCACAACTGTTGGCTGGACTGAATAAGGAATATTAATCTTTATGAATTATTATTGCTCAAACAGTATTCTTCAACCATTAATTTCACCCAACTTTAAATTATTGGTGGTTAATTATCATTCATCAGATTGATTTACATTTGAACTCCAACATAAATTCTTATTCAACAATCAATTTTAGCACAACCAATTTAGCACAATCAATTTTAGCACAATCAATTTTAGCACAACCAATTTAGCACAATCAATTTTAGCACAATCAAATTTTCACTCCACAATCAATGCAAGCTCAAACAATCAATTCTTACTCAACAATCAATTGCCAACAATCAACTCTGACAAAATAATTCTGATTATCAACTCATTTTTAAAGTTTACTGTGAACTTATTGATTGATTTATTTCTATAGCTTTAAGGATGTCCCCAGCTGGATAAAATTGAACTTGATGATCACTGACCCCTAATTTTTATTGTCAATATTGGAAGTATAGAGTACAAAAAGTATTTTTGTGAATTTAGGAAAAGGTTAAATACACCAAAGTGTGATTTTGGGTGTAAATCTGATTCTTATGTATGGTCCTATTGGAAGTTCCCTGTCTACTAAGTCAGGAATTGACATTTTAGAGCTTTAATGGACTGACTAAGAATATAGCATATGCTTTTCAAAAGTTTTCATATTAATATTAACTGTATGCCAGATAGGATCTTACACAGCCAATCTGCAACAGTACTGTACCATTTTGGAAATGGTACTATACAGTACCGTGAAATATGGTACCATAAGGTACCAACGACTAAAACAATACCATATGTACCGTGAACACTGTACGGCACTTTGCTACAACGGTACCATACTCTTAATGTACCGTACAGTACCATGATTATTATAGAGTGCGGATTGGGGGTGTAAAAAACCAAACTTGAGCAAAAGTTGCAAAACTTTTTACAGAAAATTCTAAACCTGAAACCAGAGGACATCCTTAAATCAAGTTATATCAATAACATATTACCCGACTCAACTGAATTCCTTTGAAAGCACTATATGGACATATCCACATGTCCACTCGTTTCCATATAGTGAACACCAAAGGTCTCTTTATGTATCTGATGCACATTCTTATTACAAGTTCTATCATGACATTTTAGAGATGCCATCTGAGCAAACCCTTTTCCGCATATTTCACATCTATATGGTTTCTCGCCAGTATGGATCCTCTCATGAGCTTTAAGGTTATCTTTCCGTGAAAAGCTTGCCCCACATGATTGGCACATAAAGGTATTTTTATGAGTGTTACGCATGTGTCGGGTTACCATTGCCTTATGTTGATATCCTTTACCACATATGGTACATTTGTGTGGTTTAAAATCACTGTGGCTACTTTCATGAACTGCTAGGTTATGTAACGTAATGAACTTTTTGCCGCATATCTGGCACATGTGTTTCCTAACACCTGAATGAATTTTTCTATGATGCCCTAAGGAGTTCACATCGCATAACTTTTTCCCACATATGTCACACTCAAAGTGTTTTTCTCCCTTGTGTCTCATCATATGCTGGCTCCAGAAAGGTAGCGTTGCAAACCTTAGTTCACAATGATTACAGCGGTAAGGTTTATCACCATGGTGATCTTTCATGTGTTTTAAAAGTAGTGAGCTATTTGAGAAGGTTTGTGTGCATGTGTCACAATGGTAGACCCTCTCACCATCTTCTGTAACTGTTATAAAGGCATGGGGACCTGAAAATAGAAAGTAATATTTTAAACTTCATTTGTTGACAATATAGGCCTAGTACTTAAGCGCCTTCTCACATTCTCCGAACACAGGGCTCAAGACATCATCCACAATGTCCCTTCCTTCTTCAAATGAATTAGGAGGTACAAATTCTGGAGGCCTGTGTTCAAAGGATGACAAGCTGCACAAAAAATCAACATGTAGTGATCTCCCATGGACTTTTTCTCAACAGGGCATTAAGTCCTGATTTTAGATGTTTTACAGTTGCTCTGACGCTGGAGAGATCGTCATTTGATTATTTATTTCATTTAAAGGATGGGTGGTAAAATGCAGATAAGTTTTACTTTCTCTAAAATATTTTTTTACAAAAAATCACAGCTTGGATGCTAGACAATGCATGGGTGGTTTAACTAACAAAATAAATTGTAGAGTACTAAAGTGTAATGCTTTGAATTACTTCTTAAAAGTTAGCCTAAAACAACCAAGCATATAATTGTTAGAGAATAACATTATCCAAATGTGCATGACAGTCTAGATAAAGAAGAAAGTTTGAATGTTAGAAACAGATTAAATTCCAAAGATTCTCATGGTGCAATCTGTTTAGTGCCCATGGGTGCAACACTAAAAAGGTTTCAATTTAACACACATGGTTATATAATACCAACGGTCTTTTGTATGAGACATGAAAGACCTCAAAGGCAAGCACAAAAGAGACATTAGGTGCATTAAAGCTGTAAAGCACCTCGAATTTATTGACAATTTATCATGTGCTAGAATTATTTTTACACATAGCAAAAGATTTTATATAATATCATTAAAAAGATTTGTGCAGCATGGGTACAGGATTGGGATGTCCGTTCATTCTCTACAAAAATGACAAAATGAGATGACACCACCATTGTCATCTCCAAAGATCAACTAAATATACTCTACCTGTCACATAATCACTGACAGTGGTTCAGGGAAGCTTAGACACTAGGCTATGTCTCCCAGGTCCCACAAACGAGACCACTCACAATTTGACACAGATTGCATGACTGATGCATGTTCATAATGGGTGATGTCTCAAACCATCCTCTAAGTCACCACTCCCAAAACTATCATATCTTTTAATTGATATTGTATAAAATATTTTGCAATTATGAAAAGAAAGTCCAAGACTCAATACATTGTGGCTGATTCATTCCACTCAGGTGTTGTTTCCTCAACTCAACATTCAATTCTACGTATCCCGTGCTAAGTTTGAAACAACACCTTAGAGGAATAATCAGTCCAGAATGCACTGAATCCAGGACTTAAATATCTCCAAAACTGTCATCAGATTTTACCTCACAAAGAATCAAATCCAATTTCAAATTAAAATATCTTCAAGAAATTTGGAGACTCTGGGACTAGCAGAATAGAAAGTGAAATTTTATAAGGTTTGAGACAAGTGATAGTTAGCAAATGCACCTATAATACAGTTCGTCTTCATCCATGATCGCAAATCACAATTTATCCTAGAATTCTCACCAAACATCATTCTTGCTCAACTGCTGTTTTCACTCACCATCATTCTTTCACAACCACACAATTTTGGTCAAATAACAGTCAACTATCAGTATCTTAAATAACTCAAGTTTATTTACTTATTTAAAATTATACATTTTTATTATATTACTTAATATATAACCAGAGAGATGAATCAACACAGAAATATCAGTATCTTGTTGTAACTATAATTTATTAAATGTACTACTAAAATTTACAATCTGCTAGTAAATGATGTTTAGGTAGCATCTTATACTACTATGTATATTGCATAAAATACTTGATTCTTGGACAAAGGAATGCTTTTTCTCAGGTAGAACTGAAGAGTCACTATACCAATTTGAACTGCCTCAGAAAACACTATCGAAGGGTAACATAAAGATTCTCATATATAAAACAACATGGCTTCTCCAGATGCACCTTCTGAATCAGTTTGTTTTTAAGAAATTAGGGGTGTTCAGTAAAATCCAGTTTATCCGAATCATCTTCCTGAATATAAAACAATCCTTCAAAATATCCAAAGGATGCACAAGCTAATATAAATACTTGAATTGTATAAATAAGAGTATTAAAGTCCAAACTGTTACATTTCATGAGACCACGTTTTGTACTAATGCTTGATAGGTAAATTAATTTTTCCAATTTAACACAAATAGAAGATCATGAAACTTCACCAATAAAAGGTGAAATTGATTTGTCAAAATAAAATTTCTCTTAAATAAATATGTGACAATATACATACATATGTTACAAAACATGTATATATATTTATCGTATGATCTGTAAAATGAAGCCCTCTGATTGGTCAGTTCTTGTGCTGTACCAATCTGTATTGCTACTAAGGTTGTCCCTGTTGATCATCTCACTCGCAATACAGAAAATATTGGTACGGAGGGGACAATCTCAGTAGCAATACAGAGGATCACACGATAAAAACGTTATTGAATGATTTGAAGTGCAATACAGGATATATTCTGTCTCGATATTCTGTATTGGCACTTGACTTCGTCTCGTTCCAATACAAACTTTCTCGAACATAATATATCCTGTATTGCACTTCAAATCATTCAATAACTTATAATACTTCACTATGGACATAAACAGACAGAGATCTTTACAAACTGAGCTCAATCTGTGTACCCTTGAGTATTTATCCAGAATTGTGCCTTTTAATACTAAACAGTCAAGCAACACCAACAACAAGCATTCGATTGCTAATATTATGCGTTAGCCTATGAGAACATATCTAATGAGACTCCTATTATGAATGCAATCTTTATGTATCTTCAGGGATGCTACAGGTTTTATTGTGACATTGCAGAGATGCTGACTGTGTGAATCCTTTACCACAAACTATACATCGATATGGCTTCTCACCAGTATGGATTCTCTCATGAGTTTTAAGATGTTCTTTCTGTGAAAATCTTGCCCCACATGACTGACACATAAACGAATGCTTATGAGTGTTCCACATGTGTCTGGTTATCAATGACTTATGTTGGAATCCCTTTCCACATATAGAACATTTGTGTGACTTTGTGTTGCTATGGCGACTTTCATGTAATGTCAGGTGGTCTAATTTCCCAAATCTTTTGCCACATAGCTGACACATGAACTTCCTGACACCTGAGTGTATTTGTTCTTCATGTTGAACTAATCCGCCTAAAGTACGTAATTTTTTCCCACATGTTTTACACTCATAGTGATTTTCTCCCCTGTGCCGCATCATATGCTGGCTCCAGTGATATAATGATCTTAACCTTTGTTCACATTGATTACAACGGTAAGGGTTATCACCATGGTGATCTCTCATGTGTTTTGCAAAATGAAACTTATTTGAGAAAGTGTCTGTGCATGTGTCACAATGGTAGACCATCTCATCAACTTCATTCACAGTAATATAGACATGTGGACCTGGAAACAGAAAGAAATATTTTAACTCCATTTTCTGAGAATCTTTTGAGTATGTGATCAAGTTCATCAAGCATAAGTATATTAGAATGATACTATGTCTGTAAGATAAGATCCCAGTTCATATTTAACTTGCAAGTCCTATCTAATGTCTGTAAGATAAGATCACAGTTCATATTTAACTTGCAAGTCCTATCTAAAAAATGACCCTAAATTAACCTTTCATTTACTTGCATCAGCCAAGGACCTATTAAAGGCCCTGTATAAAGTTTAAATTACATTGGCTGTTATTATAGTCCTCCCTAATGTTTTCAAAATGTGATATGTGAAACTTTTCAATTTAACTTCAAAATGTTGATTTTGAGTGACTTTTTGTAATAAAAATTTATTATTTATGAATTTATTTCAAATTAAATTTTTATTATCATGCACATTATATTGTTCAGCAATAATGTACAACAATGTATAACATACATTCTAATCTATTTTGTTTTGAAACAATTGGATGAACACATGAATTCATGTGCAGAATTCAAAAAGGTTCAGAGAAAAAAAGCACTTTAGAATGCTAGTTGTCTTGAATCTAATCGTACATGCATGTTTAAAAACATGAAACACATACGTTCAACCTAGTAAGGCCAACAATATTTGTTGTTTATTTTGAAAGGTAAGCATATTTAAAAATAGTTTGCCACCTGAGCAACATCACAGCAATTTCTGGTGATATCACAAACATTTTAAAATGATTTAGAAGTTTATATTTTGTATATAAAATCATCAACTGAATGGTTGAAGTAATATAACTTTTGCCTGATCTATTCTATAGAGTAAAGAAAATAAAGTGTTTTACAATGTTAACACATGATTTGATGAACTAATAATCTAAACTTTGGTTTCTAAAATGGCAGAAAATTAAAATATTTGAGAATTGCATGATAAGATGAACACTTTTTTCAAGTCATGAAAAGTAATATTTGAATGATTAAACTATATTTTCCAACTATATACAGGGCCTTTAAGAATGATTTATCATTATGAGCACTGTGAAATACAACAATCATATACCATCCCAACACTCTAGACTCAACATACACTTTCAATCCTTAATCATTAATCAATATGGTAACAAAATAAGAAAAACACACACTTTATTTTTATATTTTTATTTTGAGGAATGATTTACATGGGTTTTTAAATAAGTGAAGAATATGAACTATTAATACTAAATACTTCTGCACTATTATCTAGAACCAATTTGCATTGTTAGTTAAGAAGACTCGTTACATATAGGCTAATATGTACGACTATTGTGTCCTTATTTTTGTCATGTAACAATAGTTCCTTTGTGTATCTAATGCACATTCTTACAAGTATTTTTATTGTGATATTGAACAGATGCAATCTGTGCAAATCCCTTTCCACAAACTTTGCATTTATATGGCTTCTCGCCAGTATGAATTCTCGCATGAGCTTTAAGATGTTCTTTCCGAGAAAATGTAGCACCACATGATTGACACATAAACAAATGTTTATGGGTGTTCCACATGTGTTGGGTTATCAATGACTTATGTTGGAATCCCCTTCCACAGATAGAACATTTGTGTGACTTTGTGTTACTATGGCGGCTTTCATGCAATGTCAGGTCATTGCGTCTTCCAAACTTTTTGCCACAGAGCTGACATATGAACTTTTTGACACCTGAGTGTATAAGTTCTTCATGTTGAGCTAATGCACCATTAGTACATAATCTTTTCCCGCATGTTTTACAATCATAGTGATTTCCTCCCATGTGCCGCATCATATGCTGGCTCCAGTTATATAATGCTTTAAACCTTTGTTCACATTGATTACAACGGTAAGGTTTATCACCATGATGACCTTTCATGTGTTTTGAAAAATGGAACTTATTTGAGAATGTGTCCGTACACGTGTCACAATGGAAGACCATCTCATCACCATTCACTGATATATAGACATGTGGACCTGGAAACAGAAAGAAATATTTATGTAAGTAATTAAATGATCCCAAATCAGATTTCATACAGCAACAAGAAATTCCTCCAACTGAGTAATCCTTCCATTTGCTTGCATCAGCTAAGGACCTTTTATGAATTGTATGTCACTATGAGCATTGCGAAGATGTCTTGTAAATAACTTTGTACTGAACTGAAGAAAATGGCTAATTGACCCCACCTGTTTGCAAAATAAGACTATACTGTATGTGTGTTTTGTTGTATTCAGACATACAGATTAATAATGTGATCTAACTTATGTTGGTCTAAACTGAGTATTTTGTATGTCTGTTTTATATGTTAATGTTTTCTATTTTTGGTACTCCACCATTTAGGAGGGCAGGGTGTTCAATCAAAGGGACTCCAGTCATCTTCATGAAAATCAACTACAATGGGTTTAAAGACTTTAATATATACAGCTAGATTTAAGACAACCCATCATTTTCACCTCAACCAGTCCAACAATCATCTACCATCCCAACACTCCTATTCAACATGCATTTTCACTCAACCATTCCTCATGTTTAACTGCACTATCAGTGCAAAATTTTCTCCCACACGTTTTAAACTCATAGTCATTTTCTCCCCTGTGCTTCATAATATGTTGGGTCTAGTCATTTAATGATTTAAACCTTCATTCATATTGATTACAATGGTAAGGTTTATCACCATGGTGACCTCTCACATGTTTTGCAAATTGAAGCTTATTTGAGATGCAGATGAATAATAGAATTACGCAATGTCTGTGAAATAAGATCATAGTTCATCTTTACTGGCAAATCCTTTCTAAAAATGATCCAAAATTCACCAACTGAGTTAATCTTCCATTTACTTGCATCAGCAAAGAACCTATTAAAGGCCCCATATAAAGTTTAAACCACTTTGGCTCTTATTAGTTTATTGGTCTCTTGAACACATTTTAGGTACATCGGGATATAAGTCCAATAAGGCAAATCTACATCTACATATACAGTGTGCATTTAGTAAATATTTAGTAAACAAATAAAACATATATAGCAAAACATAAGAATTACAATCTGATTTTAATAGTCACTAAGTAGTATAAAACGATTTAATGTCTATTTTGTAATACTTTTTTGTAAGATTTTATATGAAGAAGTTCTCAGATTTTGGGTCACAAGGGGTAACTTTGCCCCCCTCTCCCCGTTTGTGTAGGTAACATGCCTCTAAACTGTTGAATGGTTAAAACAGCTTCAAAATGGTCAATAAAAGTGTGAAATGTGTTTTCTGCTCAAATAGTGTCCCGTTTGTCATATGGTAGGGTTTAAACTTATAATCTTTCACATAATATTTTGTAATATTATGAACTCTTGTAAAATAATCACCAATTATGTCATTAATCATATATCATCATGCGCTAGCAAAGAGTATAAAAAATTAACTATTTGTATCAAAATGAGAAATATTATTATTTGAACTATTTGACTAACATTTAAAGATTGAGCTAATGTTTTAGGTCTGATTGAGAACAACAATAAAAAAGAATGTGTTCTTCATCACCTACAGGGTGGTCCAAAAAAGTGAACCCCTGCAACAGGCTATATTTTCCTTAATTCATGCATGAATTTGCTCATATAATCACATCCTGTAGAGAAAGGTATAAAATTTTGGTTGACACCATAATTTATTCTCAATCTTGAATTTCGAAAAAATTACAAGACTTAAACAAACATGCCTCAAATTAGATTTTGTGCAAATTTTAACCGATGTGATTGATGGAAATTGTTGATACATATTAGATGATCTTAAAAAAGCTTTCAGTGAAAGATTATAAGTTTAACCCCTACCATGTGACAAATGGAACACTATTTGAGCAGAAAACACATTTCACACTTTTATTTTAAGACCATATAGGGTTATGTTGCGCTTTCACTAGAAGATGTTCTCGTCTTTGGAAACATTTCTTTTGATCACAATACCTTTGCAACTAACAGAGGTAGGATGCTAATTTCTACATCATATTGTATGGGATTCAAAACCAAACAAAGTCAGAAAACATGAGGTTTCCCAGACTCCGGCTTAAAAGATTTCCATGGGAAGATTGTTGAAGGGTTGAAGAATCGCAGATATTGAAGTTCACATTTTACCCATTTTCAGTGATGTTTCGTTAGGACTTATAATTTCTGCAAATTTCAATACTAAGAAAAATGTATAGTACCAACAAAAATTTTAAACCTTCCTCTACAACATGTGAAACTATGAAAGGATTCCTTCAGGTAATAAGGGAAATATAGCCGGTTGCAAGGGTTCACTTTTTGGACCACCCTGTATTATATTTTTCAAATTATGGAAGTATTAAAATCATTTTGATTTTCCTACTCTAAATTATCGACCCTGTTCAATTTGGAGATTGAGCATTGATAACCGTACCTTAGCTATAGAGTATAGATTGTCTGATGGCATAATTCTGTAAAAGACTAGTCTCAGTTTGGAGAAAAAGTTCATCAGTCTACTGCACGTTATACGCCTGCTTTGGATAATTTGATATTTTTTACATATTGTAGATTTAAATGTCCTCTTTTGAATATCCATAATTCAATTTGGGTGATATTTGTATGTTTTTCATTAAAAAATTATTAGCACACTACACTACATATTGTTCAAAATGTTCTGCAGTGTGAAAATGACTTTCATATTAAATACTGTACTCCTATCAAAAATACATACCCTCTTCATAAATCTTTATGTATTATTAGGGATCTGGTGTGTATTCTTGTTACAGGATTTATTATGACATTTTAGTGATGCCATCTGTGCGAATCCTTTACCACAAACTTTACATATATATGGCTTCTCACCAGTATGGATTCTCTCATGAGCTTTAAGATTATCTTTCCTTGAAAATCTTGCCCCACATGATTGGCACATAAACGAATTCTTATGAGTGTACCACATGTGTTTGGTTATCAATGACTTATGTTGGAATCCCCTTCCACAGATAGAACATTTGTGTGATTTCACGTCCCCATGACTACTTTCATGCACTGACAAGGGATGCATTCTTCCAAATTTTTTGCCGCATATCTTGCACATGAGTTTCTTGACTCCTGTATGTCTTTCCTCTTCATGTTGAGCTAATGCACCATTAGTACAAAATTTATTCCCGCATGTTTGACACTCATAGTGATTTTCTCCCCTGTGCTTCATAATATGTAGGGTCCAGTAAGATAATGATTGGAACCTTCGGTCACATTGATTACAACGGTAAGGTTTATCACCATGGTGACCTCTCATGTGTTTTGAAAGTTGGTGCTTAGTTGTGAAAGTTTGTGAGCATGTGTCACAATGGAAGACAATCTCCCCAACTTCATTCACTGTTGAATAGACATGTGGACCTGGAAACATAAAGATATATTTTAAACTTTTTATTTTGGCAACATAATACTAAAATACACCACACTGCTACAGCTGCTGTAACGTTCTACTTAAAGACATAATAATGTAATAATCATATCCGAAAATTTTCGAACAGCTGCAAGAAATTCCTCCAACTGAGTTAACCTTCAATGTGCTTGCATCAGCCAATACAAAGACCTTTTAAGAATACATGTAATATAAAGATTATGAGTATTTTTGTGAAGATGTCTTGCAGACTGCTTCATGTAATGCTGTGTCTAAAATGAAGAAAATGGCTTGAATTTACATGTTAGTATTTTATATATTCATTGAAGACTGATAATTCAGACTTTTTCCAATTTATTACATAAGCACAAAGAAGAGGTCAAATAATGTTACAGCCAGCATTTTTTGGAATAGAATTCAACGTCTGCACCAGCGTTTGATGGTTTATGGTCTGAAACAGTTTAATATTATACTTTTGTAATCATTTTAGGTTAAGATATTTTGTCATGTTACCCCCCTATCACACCAAACTCGTTCTTACCCGTTCTTGCCAGTCCTACGAAAACGTCGTAAAACGGGCTCAATCTGGCTGTGGTCGGGAAATATGTCTGAAATAATTAGCTTCTTCGTTCTTAAACAGTCTTCAATACGTCCATCTCGTTCGCAGTTCGTTCAGGTCGCACCACGTCGGTGTGCAACGTCGTAGAACGCGTCCCTTAGTCTTGAAGGTCATCATGAACTGATAACAGAACGGTATGGTCGCAATCGAATTTTGAATCGATTCAAAATTCTAAAATCACATTCCCGTCTGAGAATGTTCATAAAGTTCGTAAATAGACCTTAGAAAGTTGCAGCTACGTTCATTCCGTTCGCACACAGTTTTGAAGAACGCAGTGGCAACTTGTTTGGTGTGATAGCTATATTTTTGCTAACTCGTTCATAAGCAGTGTTAAATACGTTCTTAATCAGTTTAAACCCGTTTGCAATGAGTTCTACCTCGTTCTCAACACGTCCTCAGACAGTTCAACTCGTTGTTAAAACGTCCCTAGTAGGATTGAAGTACGACGGTTCCGTTCGTAGTACGTCCAGCTCGTCGTTAGTACGTTGTCACTCGCTTTAATTGTAGAACGTGACGACCACGAGAACATTTTGAGCATTGTCTAAGTTCTAGAGGACCTACCCGTTCGAGTACGTTCGATGAAGTTTGTAAATAGATCCCAAACTGTTCTTAGTACGTCCAGTCCATTCGTACACAGTTGAAACCCGTTTTCGAGAACGTAGTGAGAACTAGTTTGGTGTGATAGTAGGGTTAGTGCCATGTCTTTGATTATGAACTTATTGATTAAGTTATGTCCAAATAAATGTCAAAGTTAATTTGTTTTCACTTCTGAATAAAATGCGGAGAATTTATGTTCTTGTCATTAAATTAATTGATATTTATATTTCTTCAAAAAGTTCTAAAAAAATATGAATGATACATTAATAAGCAATTGAGAATTTAATTTTGTAGCCTCAACTGTTGTGCAGTTTGATTTGAATGTCAAACCTAAATTTTCACCCAACCAACAATTCTCCCTCAACCTGTTCAATCATATACCACCCAAATACTTTTTCTCAGCATACACTTTCAATCCGCAATCATTAATCAATATGGTGACAAGATAACAAAAACATGCACTTTATTTATTATGAGATTTTTATTTTGAGGAATGATTTACATGGGTTTTTAAATAAGTGAAGAATATGACCTGATCATACACTGTACTTCTGAAATACTTCTGAAAATATTATCTAATACCAATTTGCATTGTTGGGTAAGACTAGTACCATTAGTAACACTATTGTATCCTTGTTTTGTTTGTCATGTACCACAGTTCTGTGGAGTATCTAATGCACATTCTAACAAGTATGTTTATTTCCCTCAGGTATGTGATGCACGGTATTCCTATTGTGATATTGCAGAGATGCCAACTGTGCAAATCCCTTTCCACAAAAGTTACATCTATATGGCTTCTCGCCAGTATGGATTCTCTCATGAGCTTTAAGATTATCTTTCCGGGAAAAGGTCGCCCCACACGACTGGCATATATAAGATTGATTATGAACGAGCCACATATGTCGAGTTATCATTGACTTATGCTGGTATTCTTTTCCACATATGGAACATTTGTGTGGTTTAATATCACTGTGGCTACTCTCATGCATCCTTAAATTGTGTAAAGTTTTGAATTTTTTGCCGCATATTTGGCATATACGCTCCATGTTAACTGAATGTCTTCTCTCATGATGACAAAATGAGCTAGCATCGCCAAATTTTTTGCCACATTTTTTATACTCAAAGTGTTTTTCTCCTTTATGATGCATCATATGATTGCTCCAATGTGGTAATAACTTAAACCTTTGTCCACATTGGTTGCAACGGTAAGGTTTATCACCATGGTGACTTTTCATGTGTTTTGAAAAATGAAACTTTTTTGAGAAAATTTGTGTGCATGTGTCACAATGGTAGACCATCTCATCAACTTCATTCACAGTAATATAGACATGTGGACCTAGAAACAGAAAGATATATTTTAAACTTTTTATTTTGGCAACATAATACTAAAATACACCACGCTGCTACAGCTGCTGGAACGTTTTTTCTACTTAACGACCTAAAAATCAAGCAGATAATTATACAAATGCACTGTTAAGATTTTCAGCGTTTAATTCCTGAATCTTCCCCATGGTCTAAAGAATCAAATTCCTCAAGTTTGAACATCTTTGTACCATGAACATTTTCTTATGTGGACCTCAGTTCTATTCATCCCATTGGTTCCCATGTTGAACCAACCTCTGTAAGATGGGTGAACCCAAGAGTATGCAACTACAAGATGTTTCATTGTATACATCATAGTATACAATCAATACCCATTGGTTCATTCCAATGTGGACTAGATGCACAATAATGTGTGAGGAGAGGCATTTTAGTCTTCCATGTCATAAGTTTGGCTAAATTCTGAAATCACCAGCATAAATCCATTTACTTCAAGCCAACTTCTCCTTATCATGTTATCATTGTCTATATTTGCCACTAAAATAATATGTCAAGATATATTAGAACACTGTAATTACATTTTATGGTGCTTTTGTATCAACACTATAACACAATTTTCCTCCATTGGAAATCTCATATTTTCCTCCATTGGTAATCTTATGTTTTCCTCAAGTGGAAATCTTATATTTTCCGCCATTAGTAATCTTATATTTTCCTCCAGTGAAAACCTAATATTTTCCTCCATTGGTAATCCTATATTTTCCTCTACTGCCAATCCTATATTTTCCTCCTTTAGTTATCTTCTATTGTCCTACACTTTCAATACTATATTTACCTCCATTGGTTAACTTATATTTTTCTCCAATAGAAATCTTATATTTTCTCCATTGGTAATGTTCCTCTATTGGTAATGTTATATTCACCCAATGGAAAACTCATATTTCCTCCAATGGAAATCTTTTATTTCCTCCAATGGAAATCTTATATTCCCTCCAATGGAAAACTCATATTTCCTCCAATGGAAATCTTATATTTCCTCCAATGGAAATCTTATATTCCCTCCAATGGAAAACTCATATTTTCTCCAATGGAAATCTTATATTTCCTCCAATGGAAATCTTATATTTCCTCCAATGGAAATCTTATATTTTCCTCCAATGGAAATATATTTCCTCCAATGGAAATCTTATGTTTCCTCCAATGGAAATCTTATATTTCCTCCAATGGTAATCCTATATTTCCTCCATAGGTAATTTTACATTTCCTCCAATGGTAATCTTATATTTCCTCTATTGGTAGCTTCATATTGTCCACAACTAGTAATCTTACAATGTATTTTTGTTATCATACACATAATGTTCTCCAATGCTGAGCAATTATTTAACCATTGATAATTTACATTTCCTCCAATGGAAATCTCATATTTCCTCCAATGGAAATCTTATAGTTCCTCCAATGGTAATCCTATATTTCCTCCATTGGTAATTTTACATTTCCTCCAATGGTAATCTTATATTTCCTCTATTGGTAGCCTCATATTGTCCCCCACTAGTAATCTTACAATGTATTTTGTTATCATACACATAATATTCTCTACTGTGGAGCAATTATTTAACTTCAAGAATGTACTTTAAATTGAGTCACTTTGATGCAAGTGTTATATAGACCTATAGAAGAATATTGTGATGCCCTTCCTTTCTCTAACTAAACTTAACTTTCTCCCCTTTATAACATTTCTATTTTCATTATTGCTGTCATGTCTATAATGTCACTATTTGGTAACAGTGATCATCTGCTTAAATTCACCTATCTCTGAACATTATAACCACATAACAGAAAAGAATTGTATCAAAATTGCTTGTTATAATCTGGTAGAAAAAACACGGCTGCATCAGACCTCGGTAGTCAAAAAGAGAAGACACATCCTATATCTTAGTAAATAGTACCCAAAATGGCATTTTCAATGAGATTTTAAAATGGGTTGGGTACTATTTACCCTGGGGTTAATATGGGAAAGAAACGAGTTCAGTGTCTTAATTTTGGGTACCTTCCCAATATGAACTTTGTAAACAGTATCCGGAACTATTTTCCATGGGAATTTAACAAAAGTTTGGGAACTATTTACCCATTTAATAAAGGGAAGGAACCAATTCAGTGTTTTACATAAACTGAATAAATAGTACCCCTAACTACTTTTTCAGTGTCATTTTAACATGGCTGGGTTGAGTTTAACTATTTACCCATTTAATGTAGGGAAGGAAGCAATTCAGTGTTTTATATTAATTGAATAAATAGTACCCCAACCTACTTTTTCAATGGAATTTTAACATGGCTGGAATGAGCACTATTTACCCATTTAATAAAGGGAAGGAACCAATTCAGTGTTTTAAAATTGAATAAATAGTACCACAAACTACTTTTTCAATGGGATTTTAACATGGCTGGAATGAGCACTATTTACCCATTTAATAAAGGGAAGGAACCAATTCAGTGTTTTAAAATTGAATAAATAGTACCACAAACAACTTTTTCAATGGGATTTTAACATGGCTTGGTTGAATACTGTTAACTAGAGTTAATAGAAGGAAGCAGTCCACTGTCTCATTTGAAGATGAACATCATATATTCCTTATTTATTGTTAACAACATTAACATAATGAGACAAAGCTACAACAAAGAATGCTACAGACAACATATTCTTTTGAAGACAAACTTTCAAATGCACATCAAAAATTGAAAGACTCTGAGAGCATTCAAAGAAGCAAGAGTGTTTTATGTAATATGTACTTTGCAGTTCATGTATTTTATACAATTTCTTCTTGGTCAACAAGTACATGTAGGTCCTATCTAGGGGTTGGTTTTTGGACAGTCATAACTTAGAGTTCCTTTATATGTCATTAACATCTTATTACGATTCAATCATGAAATTCTAAGAACCGTAAATTATGATCCTATCAAAAACAGACACAGGAAGTCTATTTAAATGAGGATTATTTAAATCATTGTTAATCAAAATTGGTATCATTGTTATTTTAAATTTTCTACTGACATTTCCTTTTCTGTCTTTTATTATACAATGCTATCATCAGCCTTTGTTAAATAGAATAAGCAGAGTGTAGATGTATAAAACATGTCCTCGATATATGAAGCCATTCTTATTAATCAAGCATGAAGGTAGATACTAGATAGTAAGAAAATATAATTTGAAGGTAAACAACACAGTCCTACAAGGGTTTTCCTACATTTCACCACCTTATTCCAATTATTAGAGAAAAATGCATAATTACCTTCATGCTGTATTTTATGATGCGCCACGTCACCAGGTGTCTTACATGCTGTGCCGCATATGTCACAAGCAAACATGCCATGTTTCTCCTCCTTGTGTTTCCCTAACATCACTCTGGTATCAAAGTGATCGTTGCAGCGTTTACACACATGATTACCTACAATGGGAATGAGATAGAGCTTCACCTTTTTTTACACCTCAGCTCTGAACAGTTTCGTCCATTTCACTGGATTTGCACATATTGGTGTGTAACTTCTCAATAAAATGTACATGTTTTGGATGAGATATCACATAAGGAATTTAATTTTTTTCCTAAAATTGTTTAGATTTAAAGAAGTAATCCTTCTATTTCATTGCTCTCTTTTGGTTGTTTGTAATCATAGTCACTCTATCAACACAAGCATGAATGATCTTGCAAGGTGTGTTCTTTAAAGTGTGCGCCTGATCTGGCTACGTATATAACAGAGTTTATACTGGCGGATTAGACTAGTTCATTTTTTATATGTGTGTGAAAGCTTTCTCTTATTTGCGTTTTTTTCGTTTAGTACGGTTTTGTTATACTTGCCGAGGTCATATAACCGGGATAAAACAATGATTATCGTTGACTGCGCACACACAAAACATTTACGCCGAGAGAACAGTGTTATTAAAAACAACAAGCTTTAGAATACAAAGCCCAGTAGTGTGATAATAAGCTGTACACTACCACTGCTGCATGTACATATTAGGGCTCATAAAGAGTGGATAGGGAGGTTGTGTTTGTCACTTTTAAATTTTACATTTCAAAATTGCCATTTTACATGTCATAATTTCTTGGTTCCATTCGTTTAGCCGATCAAAACATTGTAAAATAATAAATCGTCTGTTACGTATAATCAATTTTGTTCAGTTTTGATTATCAACACCTGGACGCATGCGCATTTTATAGTTTATCAGGCACTTTAAGACGTACTAGTTTCCAATATCAAGTTTAGACCAATACATGAGCCTAATTCTGATTTATCAGCATATCTCTTTATCTAACGCTTGTGACAGAGATTTCTTTCAGCGATAGCACAGCAGGCTACAGTGAAACCAACAATGCATGAGATTAGATGAATGTCAAATGTGTCGACGTAAATACTTGGCAAAACCTTCAATTTTCTGTACAACACTTGTAAATTTCTATGCATTGAAGGTTCAAACAAGAAATGAGAAAGAAAGGTTCACGTTCAAAACAATCCCTTACCTTTGTGTATTACTATATGCCTCTCTAATTCCTCTTGCGTTTTAAATCTGGCATTGTTACATATGGGACAAACGTTACAACCATGCTCTTCTTCAACATGATTATTGAACTCATCTTGCGTCATGAACTTCTTTCCACAGCCTCTCTGACATTTATAAATTCCCGTTTGCTTTTGTGATTTGAATTTGAATTTCATACCACCTGAAAATAGAGCTCTCTTATAATCTAATGACAAAAAAAAACATGCTTGATTTTTCAAAATTTTTCATGGATAAAATCAAGTATATATTATCTTTAGCTTGCTTCATGTATGTAGCCAGGCAATTTCATTGCCAAAATGTTATAGAAATGGAGATTTATTCTTATATTTTTCAACTAAACCTCTGGAAATGAAGTTCAATAGTCATAAATTTTCTTTGCCTATTTTTAGTTCCAGGCTATGCCCATCTGTGATATATTTTGATGATATATTTGTGTACTATCAAAATATGATTTATCAAGGTTCTTTAACAGAATAAAATAAACTGAAAAAAATACAAAAACCATATAAAAATGCATAACCTGCCAGGCGCCTTCGCAAAAAAGTTGGAGACCATAACAATATGTCATCACTTCTAGTGGTGACAGAAAAATGATTCGAAGCTTTATTCTTACGTTCATGTTGTGTGAGATGTTCATCAAGGAGTTCCTGGGAGTCAAAGGGTGGCACCTTACAATTGATGCAACAATATTTCTGATGCTTTATCTTCTTGTGTTCAATCAATTCAGGTCTTGATGAGAAAGATTTTTCACAATCTGTGCACCTTTTCTTATACTTTTCTGAAATTAAAGATTAATTTTCATGACATAGCTAAATATGTAATATCACATCAATTAGGCCCAATTGGAAATAAGGACTCAACATTTTGGTAACAAGGCATTTACATGACAAAATGTCACCACCAAGTTGCTCACAATATTATGAATCTTTTTTTACCTTGAAGAGGTCATTAAAGGTCAACATCTCAAATCTATAGTCAAATTTGAACTTTTGAGAACTTGTAAATGATTTTGAAAAAAAATTGGTCAATTTGAAGAAAGATTGTTGAAGGTAAAATCTGAAATCTTAAGTCATATTTGAACTTCTGAGAACTAGTAGATAATTTTGAAAAAAGAAATTGGTCAATTTGAAGCAAGTTGAAAAAAGACCCTTTTGAGCTTTTTTAACCTATTTTGACCTTGAGAAGGTCATGGAAGGTCAAATCTTAAATCTTCAGTCAGATTTGAACTTCAGAAAACTTGTAGATGACTTTGAAAGAAACTGAAGTCAGTCTAAACTAGGAATGTCACGGGACGAAAATATTTCGGGGCGGTATGGGAATTATCCATTTCAGGACGTGACATTCGGGATGGGACGAGACATAACCAATAAAATAGTTAATAAGTTTAAAACAGTTATCTTCTTCAGTTAACTTCCGGCTATGCTTATGCAGCGCAATCTTTTGAACGCCAAAAGAGGGCTGCGCATGTTGCGCAAAAACTTGTCATCTGAGATTATTTTTAAGTTGTTACCTTTCTCGCCAGTGCAGTTCTTTGTTATTGTTTAAATTTAAGCATATTTCAAAGGGAAACAATGTTATCGATAAAACTGCATGTTCTGTCCTGAATTTTCGTTTATTATAATCACTTATAGTAATTGCCACTAGATGGCATTTACGCATAAACATAATCCGGCAGATAAGTTGTAAAACGAAAGAAAATTCTAGTTTAGATCAAATTTATTGTGCATTTGGGAAGTTTTAGGGTCATATACAGGAGAAATAGTATATCCTGAACATGGACTGAAATCTTTGGTACACAAAGGTTGTCCCATCCCGTCCCATCCCGAGACCAAAGTCCTGAGGGATGGGACAATATCGGGAAACCGTGACATCCCTAGTCTAAACAGTATTTGTTAAGTTATTGGAAGCTGTAAGAATTTGTTACAGACGCCAACTGCCATCCGCTGATCACCGTCACAAAAAAATATAACAATATAACAATATGTCACCACTTTTGGTGGTGACATAAAAAGCAATGCTAAAATTTTTTGTTAGTCCTGAACATTTTGGGAAAAAGAACTCAACATTTTAGTAAAAAGGCCTATTCTCTGGGTATCTTAGGCCTGAATATTTTTAAATTCAAGAAATTCCTAAATATTTTGGAAATAAGGTCAAAATATGATGGAAAAATTTCTGTATAGGGAACAATTAAGGCAACAAGATTTTTAGTGTAAGTAAATTGACCAAAGTTATACTTCCAGATGGAATGTTATAAAAACCCTTCGACCTTCGACCTGCACCTTCGACCTTCAGCTTCGATGTACAGGGTATCCAAAAAGCGGGCCAAAAAGAAAGTTATAAAAACCCCTCGACCTGCACCTTTGACTTTTCTTATGAAAATTGTCAAAGTCCAAAAATATTTCTTTGAAAAACGACTAAGTCCAACTTCACATAGATTATGAAATTGAACGGAGCTCTGTCCTCGTCGAAAGCTATAGCTGTCATCTCTTGAGTTTACATCGGCGAAATACTTTATATGCCTGGTGACGTCATCACTTTTCGGACAAGATTTGAAAGTTAAATAACAAGTTATTGACGCCATATCCTGTTTTAATATTGATCACACAACAAGACTATGATTTGAACTCAATAAATAGAACAGTAATTGATCGCTACTTACTCTAATCTTACTTCGACTCAATCGAATCAAAACCAGGAAGTAAGCTCTAAAAAAGGGAAACTTCCATTTAAACTACCCGATTGACTACCCGATCAACATCAACAGAATCTTAATTTGATAACATGAAAACGCTATTTCACCCCTGTAACTATACCTAGAGTACTGCAAACGTTGCTACAATTTAAGATCTTAACGATCTCACTTGTGAACCACAAATCAAGTGACTCTTGCGTGGTCTGAGATCGGCAAAAATAGCTTCTATAATATTTTCTTTTTGGACACCCTGTAAGTCGAAGGTGAAGGTCGAAGGTGCAGGTCGAAGGTCGAAGGGTTTTTATAACATTCCCTTCCAGATATGTTCAGACTAGCATTCTTAGATCAGACATAAAACAATTTTAAAATGTCTGAAAAAATATGCCCAGACAATACTTATTTCTTTCACTGATTATTGGTCTATAAAGAAAAGACAGATTTGCTCAAATGGAACATGATTAAACATTTAATAATTATAGATTCATATTTTTTTTGTTATTTTTTTTTCTTCCCAACTCACTTTTAAATCTTCCTCCGGGCTTCTTTTCATAGGATTTCTCTGTCAATGGGATTTCTCTGTCAATGACAAAATCTGGATCTTCAATATCATCGACCATACTATCATCCTCATATTCATCAGTCTCATCATCATCATAATCAATGACTTCCTGCTTCTTCTTTGGGGTCTTCTTCTGTGTTTTGTCTGCTTTGTATTTCTGTCCAGGAGTCCAATCATCATCTTCATCAGCTTTACGCTTTTTACGACCTGTTTTGTTCTTTTTTTCAGTTGGATTAATGTCATTATCAAAATCTGTCTCTTGTGGAACTAAATAGTCGTCGTACATATCATTGCTTGGATAAGCCGTATCATTGGGCTCTTGTTTGATGTTATAGGTGGATGGTTCGGTTAATTCATCATAAACATCATCAGTTGGGATATCATCTCTTGGCATGCCATTCTCCACTAAAGATGAATCAATAGCAGATAACAGTTCAGGAATGTTAAGTTTAACTGCGAGACGAGAACATTTCACAGCATCCTTATTGGATAAAGTCACATCTTTGCCATACATGTAATCGAGAGCAAAGTTTATAATACTAGGTGTGAACTTTAAAGTGTCATCCACTTGGCCAGATAGATCAACACTTGTAAACAATGTTTCCGAGTCAGATGAACAAAGCTGTGCAACGTATGAGCTAAACTCACAGACGATTGCTCTATGAGCCCACACACTGCTTCCATCTGATAATTTAAACTCTAAATCTTGGTATAATCTTTTATCTCGTATGCTATTCATTTTTACTCTCAAGTATTTATTGTGTATCAAAAGATTTGTGTTCGTTGCCGTTTTCATGACAACTTCAGCTTCTGATGTTTCAGGTTTCATCATTTTTGTTGTTGTATCCATGGCAACTTCAGATTTCATCATGTCAAGTTTTGGTAACAAATCCAAACCATTGTTCATTTCTTGTTCTTTCTCCATATCATTACCCTGTTGAAAGTAAAGAAGAACTAATTATTATAAAATTTATTTCATCTTGTAAATTATCATAACGAAAAATGTATTTGATGCAGGAAAACTAGACAGTAAGAATAACCGGAAATTGTTCCCACTTCAGTAGGAACTGTTGGTGATGCTTTATAATTAAGACAAAAATATGGACAAATAAACGAAAGTGTGAAGCGGCCGCTCCCTCCACTCCCCCCCCCCTGGCTACGGGCCTGCAGATGGTCTTACAAATGTCTATCCGGGAGGTTTAGTCTGTCCACATACATGTAGAGGATGAGTAGAGTAATATATGTATATATTAGCACAAAGTTAGTCTTAGAAATCTTTAAACAGTTCATTTTTCGCATCTCTACGCATAATATCATGGTGACATTGTTTCACATATGTTCGGTAAGTTAACTTATTATAACTTCCGGGGCCATAAATTCATACAATCCAAGAATTTATCTGGATAAATTTAATCTTTTTGGAATATTGATTCTGATTATATAATTGGTAAATTCGTACGATCCTAGGATTTTGCAGAAGCACTCGTTGGCATAAGCTGCACCCTCAAAACCCGGATTTGCCATTATCAAAATCCACCTTTGCAAAAATGTGAACGGTTCATAATTAGAGTCGTTTGTGTTATTTTCGAGAGTTTTCAAACCTGGATTTAACTGCTTTTATTAGAAGGGTTCCTCATTATTCATATTATATTGTAAGATTTTAACCCAGACTGACACAACAGAAATTGTCAACACCGAAGGATAGTAATAGCGCCGAATTGTATTTAATTCTAAGAAATAAATATGTTTCACGTTCCTAATCTCTACTCGTCAATCTCTCCTTGTTTTAGTAGCCGTTGTACTGATATCTATCATAGTCAAAATAGAGAACAAACGAATATAAGGGGTCTTCTAGCTTTTCACATTTTAGACCAGTCAAAATACATACCTATTTTTAATATATTTAATGCCTTGATAGATACAACAAAATAACACGTATGAAATTCTAATTAAACGAATTTTTATATTTCGTGGCCTCATTTAACACTTATTTCGTTTGGGATGGCCTTAAACCCTGGTTCGCGAAACCAACATTCAAATTTAAGGGATTCGCACTTGGGTGTGACTGTAAACCTCCTGTTCACTGTTGTATAAATTATGAATGTAGTTTCGCACAGGTGTCAACGGAAACAAACAGTGAACCCTGCTTTCCTGAACCCCAGTTTCCAGGATTCGCCTCGCGTGCCTTCGACTCTTTCTCGGATTTCGGGGGAAATCCCCAAGATTTATCCAAATTACATTGGAATTTGGATAATATTTAAAACCGTTAATTTGAATTTCAAACCTACCCTACACTCCAAAATATCATAAGTTCCTGGAGTTCCCAAATTTATTAAAAGAAGACAATGTCTGATGTAATGATACTTTCCTGAAAGAAGCAAGGAAATTAGGCTTGTGAGGTCACGGATAGTGGGAAGTCCTCCATCTAGGAGGAATATACACCAGGTAATGCAGCTAAAAATTAAAAAAATATGAAAAAATATGGTCACCTGTCCTCTAGATTCAATTTTTGAATGAATCATAGCATAATGTACAGATTATTTGATATCATGCTATTCTTGAAACATTTATACGCAAAAATAACTGGGTCGCTCACCTCTTATGCCTATATGTGTTCAGTAATCATCAATTCTCGTGAGTAAAATTTCTCCAGGCCATTGAAAGTTCCGCTCAGTAAATTGACAATTTCTACTGCGCATGTGTCAATGACCTACTTCCGGTTGTGAAACACTGGGCGAAATGGTTTGGTAAATTTCAAGCCATTTGATTGGTCGAAAAAATCACGCGCCTTTGCGGGATTTGCTTATTTGCTTTATTCTCGCGAGATACAGCGCTCCGTCCCCTTAAATTTTTATTTTGAACAACCATTATGATTTGGTGCATTATCTGACCAATAAAGCAGATTTGGAGGAATGAATTTTTTTTTTATTTTTCTGTTTAGTGTTTTCTACAGGCCCTATGTGTCTCAGGATATTTGTTTAACGAAAACTAGACAAATAATTTATTTTAAAAATAGTACATATTTTTTATTTTGGATGGAAGCTGCGTTACCTGGGAAATAATATAAGTAATATATGGAGGACTTCCCACTATCTGTGTGTGAGGGTCCTATTCATGACATAACTCTTACATTTCCGACTCAACTTGTGACTATTTTTTAAAACTTACAGAGTTTAGGCCTATGATTTCAACTCAGATTCATTTCATTTTTGCACAAAAAAAATTCAATTTTTCTGAACTTCACCTTGCTTCACCTTATTTCAAACAGATTTACATATTTTTTCACAAAATAGGACTCATTAACACTTACCTTAAATCTTTGAACAATAAAATCTCAATAATAGTCACGAGGTTTTGCCAGTATTGTCAATAATTTACTGGATATAATGCAGAATTTCGTAGGAGACATTTTGAGCAGGATCTAGGCGGAGGTCATACAAGAACTGTCAATATCGTCTTACATTAAAACCGCGTTAGCGAGAAGAATTATAAAGGAGGTGTATCTATTCTACCTCTAGACACGGACCTGAAGAAAGTCTTAAAGTCCGCGCTCTAGGCTACACTTGAATAATGTAGTACCAATGCTCCTGACAGAAGGATGGTTACCTGGTTATGGTTCTTCCAATATTATCAAGATCTTGATATGTTGTAGATCTATAAATTGAGGGGCATATTTTTCAATGTTAAGGTTCAAATTGTATTTTATTCAAATTATATCACTGTTAAATTATATATCTGCTTTAAATGGGCTTATTAACATATTGCGGAGTATTGATGTAGATGTAGATTCTGCTTCTCAATCATCATTATCTATCCTCTCTTGAAGCCTATGCTGTATTAACCAAAACTCGTCTGGCCCAGTAATCTACTCCCGAATCTGAAATGTCGTAGATCTACGACGTCAGGAGTAGATAACTGGGCCAGACAGGTTTGGTTAATGCTGTATACAATAGGTGAAGTCCAGGAGAGTAAGGTATATTTATTTGAATTACATAACTGGCAAATTGAATGCATATTGTCAAGGAAATTGCCATTGTTCAGAATTGTAACCCATGACATCCAGCCTATAATTTGGTGGAAGGTAGCTAAATTAGATCCTAGAATTTTTGAAGTGTTGCAGGATGGTGGTTAACTACTGTTTGGAGAAAGCAACATAATGATTAATGTCAATAGGTGGTCTAACGGAAAGATTTCCGTATTATGTAAAATGTGCCTAAAGAACCAGAAACACAATCACACATGATACTGGACTGTGAAGGTCATACTGCTTTAGGTCAAATATTTTGAAAATTTTATATAATATCTTCAAACCAGCACAAAATTATCCAAAAGAGATTCTCGGAGCAATTTTTGGTGCAGGGAGCTATTTGATGTTGATGAATATAAGCAAATGCTCCTATTCGCGATAAGGGTTCAGGTGGTAATTTACATAAATATCTCCGATGATGCATCGCTTTGGAAGGGACAAATTTTCATTGGCCCGCCGAACGAGTTGAATACTCTGAACATTTCTCGGCTTCTCGTCTTCCATCAGCCCTGAAGCATAGTTATATGATCCAATCTATTCAATTATCAGAAAGATAATCAGAGATTCAAAGTAACATTATTTATATTTCTTTCGATCTTCGATGACGTCTGAGCAATTTCTGGGAAATCAGCGATGACACCGGAATTGGACGGCATTTTCAACTACAGATTTCTTCGGATTTTGCGATTGTAGTTCAAAAAGCCTTGTAATACATCTTAATTACATACATACCTATCATTTGTGCAAATCAATTCTACATAAATGTTTAATAGAGTCGCATTGTGGCATTGAAAATAGCACCCCTGTGTAATCCCATGGAAAAGAACCCGGATGTAGACGAAGTTGTACCATAGATGAGAGCTCTTCAAATGGGAGGTAATTAAAGTGAACCAAACTAAACGTTATCGCGTATTGGAGTATTGCTGTTTACATCCATAAAATGTACATAAATAGACCAGAATCTGATCACAATTAAATTGTATATTATATATATGTTATAATTAAAAGTAAATAATGTACTGAAGTTTTTATTTAAACACATCAAATTTGTTTGATGAAATAAAAAAAATAAAAAAATAAAAGGAGTCTTCACCATTTTACAATTTTTGATGGACACCAAATTTTCTACTTTTGAGTTAATGTTGAAATAAGTGAATTTATAGTTGGAATCAGCTTTAGGTTTATTGATCGTCATACAATGTAAAGTTTGTTTAATTCAAGTTCCAGTTAGTAATGTTCTTTGGTGAAGAAATAAGATGTGCTGTGCAACATCCTTTTTATGTTTTGTTCATTTCAACCTTGGAGTAAAACGTCATCTGTGGGGAATCTCCAGGGGCGGATCTGGGAACCAACAAGGGGGGGGGGCAAATTTCATGTGAGACAGAAAAAAGTTTTGGGCCCCTAACACCCAAAAGTGGCCCCTAATTTTGAAATATTGAGGCCCATTTAGACTTTTTTGGAGCAAAACTTTTTTGGAGCCCAATTTTTTTGGGCCCCCCAGCACCCCCCCCCCCCTGCAGGCATCCCCCAGATCCGACAGTGATCTCTGTATGGGCTCTCTAGGGCCCTTTGCTTTTTGTAGATATGGGAGGTTATTTCAATAAATCTCATTCTTTTGGGAAATAGAGGAAATGGTAAAAAGTAATTTCAAGTTTAGGGTCCTTATAGACCAGCATCCTTTATATGACAATTTGTTTTCGATAGAGCGAATTCTGTTTCGACCAATCAGAAACGACCCTACAAGGAAAATGACGGCCACGAAGGCGTGTTACAATTTGCAGTTTTTAAGACAATTTACTCGGATTTTATTCCAATAATCCAGAAAAGGTAAAAGCTGTAATAATCCTTCATATCGGGAGTTATATATTGACCAAAGAAATGTGTGTAGCACTGTCTAATTATTGTTCAATTTCAGTGCAGTAGATTTAATTCTTTTGTCTCCGCCATGTTGAATTTTTTAAATCTAGGTCAAGTTGTGTCTGAACCTTTTATGATGACTTAGCCCAAGCCAGATCTCTATGTCCATCGGTAGACTATGTCAGTATAATATAAGAACAAAACCAAAACGAGAAATGCAGGATCCTATTTGTTGACTCACTCTGATCTCCAAGTTCCTGCTCCTTATGCCTGCAAAGTGCAATTTCTTCAACCACAATGGCTCTGGAAAAAGAATAAATTTGAATGATATTTTCACCACATGTTTACTACCTACCAGTATGCGATAGGCCCTTTGACCCATGAGGTGAAATTGATAAACTCTGTCAAACAAGTCAAATTTCATTTCTTTTGTAAAAACAATCCTACAGACTGAGTTTTCCTTTGCCGAGACCATCTCATTCTGATCTACAATGCCTTCAGTAGAATCACAGATGTTGGCCAGATCATTTTGTAGTAGGATCTCATAGGCTCAAAGAATAATTCAGAAATGCATCACTTACTTGGAAAATTTCAAAAAAATATGACCACCTTTCAAAACGTTCCTTATACAAAATGGTACCTGCTTCCCCATGACAGATTTTGCACTTTATTCATAGCTGAGATCTTCATCTTTCTATTTCTACTTGTTTAGTTTGAGTAAATAACCTATGGACGACTGAATGAGGTTACATCTACTATCAACATACCGTAGTTTCACTACAGTTGTAAATAGCACTTTGGGGTATATTTAAGTGTCACTACTGTAAATAGCACTTCGAGTATACATGTATATAATACAGAGCTGGCATTAACGCCATTGTCTACCATTTTTATGCATATTTAATCAAGTCTGACGCAGAATTGTCAACTCATTGCATTAATGCATTTCATTGACGCACTTTTATCTACAGAGAGACTAAGGCTATTTCCGGGGAATTACCACAATACAAGACAAATGTTTCATTATTGCGACACTTAAATCATGGCAAAAGTCACTTGCATCATAAAAACAATGTGTCTGGTACAAAATGAGGTTGCCTGGATATGCAGCATTCCAGTTTGACATGACATGAAGTCTCATTACAGCACATTTATTTTTGTACTCTAGATTTATCCAAAATGAGCATAATTATCATAATTCAATTTGACCCACATTTTCCAAGTTTGACCCACTTTTTTGATTGAACTGGGTCATGTGACACACAAAGTATTGAGTCTACCGCCAGTACCGATAATATATATATATGAATATAAATGGCAATATGTGTTGAATTTTTTCAATGAATAACCTTAGTGACTTGAAGAAACTGGAGATTACCTCATTTCAGTAATGCTCGTAATGTACTCAGAAATAATTTCCAAAGTTCATGGTAGACATTTTGAAATGCTGGCCAATTTAAAGATTGAAGTGTATATGTATCTCTTGAGGACAACCACAACTTTTTTGGCTTTGAAAGGACGTTTAAGTTGAACACCTCTTTTCAGAGTCTCAAGACTAACTGTCTTAATGTTAAATAACCTCTCTAAGTGGCACACCTCCCAAATGGAACACTTTTTGATACACCAAAGATGTTCACTAAGAGAGGGGTTTTTCTGACGTAAATATAAAATTTGAAAATTCTTTGTTTATTGAGTGCAGTTGCACCATCCTCTTGATTTAGTGCTGGGAGATTGCAAATAAAGCTGTAGAGATTCAATAACATAGATGGCCTCCCTTTTAAATTTGCATTTATAAATATCATTTGCTTGCCTTGGTTTTGGGCACTGTAGTCACATCTAACTTGACCTGTTCCTATTATCTTTAATTTCAGAAATAGCACCATGGAAACGTTGGAGAAGTCAGCATCGGAGTCATTGGAACTACTAGCAAAATTAGATACTATGAAGTCCGAAACATCTGATACAGTGGCTCAGGCAACATCTAACGAGAGGCTTAAACTTCAAAATAAACATCTCAGAAATAAACTTGGGAGTGTGCGGGAAAAGGGATTATATCAAGACTTAGAGTTTAAATTATCAGATGGAAGCACTGTGTGGGCTCATAGAGCAATCGTCTGTGAATATAGCTCATACGTTGCACTGGTTTGCTCATCCGATTCTGACAATATAAACCATTCACAGACTCTGTCCACGACTGTTGATTTATCTGGTCAAGTAGATGACACTTTGAAGTTCACACCCAGCATTATTAACTATGCGCTGGATTATATGTACGGCAAAGATGTGACTTTAACCAATGAGGATGCTATGAAATGTTCTCGTCTCGCAGTTAAACTTAACATTCCTGAACTGTTATCTGCAATTGATTCATCTTTAGTGGATTCTGGTATGCCAAGAGATGATATTGCAACAGATAATGCATATATAAATCCCGATCCTGATCCTGATCCTGAACTAAGTGAACCACATACTCATAACATAAAACAGGAACCCAGTGATACAACCTACACAAACAATGAAATGTATGATGACTATTTAATACCATTAACAGGATTTGAAGGGGACAATGAAACAATAGAACAACCAGATTCTCCAGTTAAGACCCCACCAGTATCCAAACGCAAAAAGCGAAAAACAAACGATGATGAGGATTGGACACCAGGTCAGACATCATCTAAGAAAAAAGTAACGAGTAAGAAAACTCCAAAGAAAAAACAGAAAGTTGAGACATTTGAAGACAGTGGTGACCCCGACCATGACATACATGATGACGTGGATTATAATGAAGATACAGATGAATACATTGAGCAGGAAGAGCAGGAGAATGATGAAGAAGATGGTGAAGTATGGGATGGTACAAAGAGAATAACTGGAAAAGTTAAGCTTAGAAATGAGGTGCAGAAAGTGAACACTAGAGTAACTGAAAATAAATATATTATCAATAAATCCACAGTGTCGGAGGAAGATGAAGAAAGGGAACAGAAATCCAAAAGTATGTTCACAATTTTAAAACACAGAAATAATAGAGAGTAGAAATAGTATAATTCAAAAAATTGTTTCTGTATTTTGAATGATTTTTCAAGTTTAAGGGAACTTTCTGTACCCTGCCATGTGATCTGTCTCGAATAAGCCACCTGGTGGTGAGACTGGTACCTACCTACTGGCATCCTGGTTGTTGGCATTCAGTGTCTGTAACAATTGGCAGGTGGTGACATTTTGCATTTTAATGCCTTGCTATTCATACTCGAAACACTTCTCATTTAATAAAAATAGATGAAGAATGTATTGTATTTTTTCAGAAAAGAAGAAAAGGAAGTTTATTTGCACTTACTGCAAGGAAGTATTCACATCAAGACCAGATCTCATAGAACACAAGAAGGTACAGCATCAGCGATTTTGTTGTAGCAAATGTAAGACACAATCCTTCAATTCCCAGGAACTCCTCGACGAACATACAGCACTTCATGACCGTGAGTAACATCCTGAGTTTATATTGTAATCAGGAACCAATGTTATGTACTTTAAAATTAGTTCCTAAAGGTCATACTTAGCATTTGTCCATTTAAGAAATCAGCTGTCTATTGTGAATTAAGAAATGGAGATGAACTTCTCAGACCGAACTGGCTTTTATTGGTAATTTCATTAATTTTTGATGAGAGTCATTTTTTACCATTAAGTAGATCAATTTCAAATCCTCTGCTGTTTTCTTTTTCAGAAGACAGAGTTGAATCTGAAGGCCTTATCGCAAAAAAGCATTTGAAATGCCGGCACAAAGGTTGTGCTAAGAGATCTGCAACACAGGAGGAAATGAATGTCCATGTTGAGGAGGAACATGGTTGTTTTACATGCTCTGTGTGTAACTCTGCTAGATTCAAGACTCAAGAAGATCTGGAAAATCATGTTGTGACACATAAAGGTAAGCAAAAATATTTTAGAAAATATTGATGCAATACATACAAAAAGCGCAACAAAGTGGACCTTTTAAAGAATTAATCCCTCCTCACATATGAATAAATCCACTAAACGCAGCTTTGGAAATATGCACATCCTTGCCAATGCGTTGCGAAGATTTCTGAAGGAATACTTTTGCATACGAACACCCAAACAACGCAGCGATGTACAACTATTTAAACGTGAAAATTTTTTACTTAGCCCTATTCATCAGTACACACAAGTTGACATTGGGGCTTTTCATTCATATTTGAGGGGGCCTTTAATCTAAATCCATTATGCAGAGGAAAGTTATGTCCAATGTCCTTTTGTTTCTTTGACCTGTATAACTAACCTTCTTTTATGACTGAGAAGTTGCCTGTTTTCTTTAAAATAATTTTGTGGATATGTGCAGTATGTGTTATATTCATGCTATTTTTTCTAAATCAATAAGATTTAAGCTGAACTGAGAATTTATGAATTAATTATCCATTTTTTACAATTAAAGGTGCCCACAAGTGTAAGCTGTGCAATGATCGGTTTGGAACACGACTCCTGCTAGGAAAGCACAAAGAGGAGAAACATGGCATGTTTGCTTGTGACATATGTGGCACAGCCTGTAAAAGTCTCGGCGATGTAGCACATCATAAAATACAACACGAAGGTAATTATGAATTTCTTTCTTACTGGTTAGAAAGAGCTGGTGAACAAGGAAAATTGTCATACCAACATTCAACAAAACAACAGCTCAGTTCAACTCAATCATTATTACATTACAACACAGCACACAATAATGTTACATTAGAGCCAACAGAGCATGACATGTTTATGTATAGTAAGGCATACATCTACCTTATAATCTATTTAATAGAGACTAGAACGAGATAAACAATTTCTAACTAGAAAATCATGTTCCAACACTAACCTTACCAAGTCCTCTTATACTTACCAAGTCCTCTTATACATTTGTGGAAAAAGTTTGCATTAAACAAATCTCTGCACTCATTTTAGTTTGAACATGGTTATATTAACTAGAATTCCACATTTAACCAAGTCCCTAGTCCCCACATGTATTTTAGTAACACATCTACAACTATAAATCTACAAAGTCCCTACAAACATTTTTGGAGCAGGTTTATAACTAGAACTTCACAATTAACTAAATCCCACACAGGCTTATTCCTAAATAATGCAAATGAATATGACAACAGTTAAATAATCAGTATTCATTGAAACATGACCTTACAAACATACAAAACAAACAAATCATGAATAACATCAAACATACATCAAAAACATAGACATTAACAGCATATAATATTGTTATGACTTCACTAAGCAGGAAATGTTAAGTTAATGAAAACAGAATCAATATGTCATTGGATTAAATTCATATGTTTAACCAGCTCTTTCAACCAGGATTAAAAGGTACATCAACAATGAGTTTCTTCTTCTGAGAATATAAATAAGAAAAAGATGCCATTATTTAGAAAAAGATGCCATTTTTACATTACTACCAGTGATACACCAGAGACAGGGAGACCCCAATAATTCAATACATGAATGAAATGGCTTTTATTATTTTATTCATATTGTAAAATTTATTGAGAAATTTTTGATGAGTCTAGATTTCCAATACCTCCTCCCATTGAGCAATTATGAAGTGCCTTATCAGTGTATAAGTGCCAGTTTTTGTCTCTCCTATCATATGATATTTTGTACCTTTAAATGCACAGCCAGGTCTCATCTGTATTAACTGGTTTGGCTAGATTACACAGAATTGTTACATATTTTTTCCCCATCGGAAAAAAACATTTGTTAAGTTGAACATTAACTGTATACAATTTCCTTGTGTGATTTTGAAATAAATAAACAAACTTAATGTTCAAATCTAATTAATTTACAATAATTTTAAATATAAACCAGATCTCTTAACTGAACTTTGGTTTTGTCACTGATGCATACTTTGAATCTGTGCTGCTGCTTTTGTTGCTATTCTGATTGAGCTATTTATGTTGTGAATGAAACAAGTTGATTTATGAAGTGTGGTAGCAAGTTGAGTTTTCTAATCATTGTAAAACATCCCATTGAAGATGAGAGCAAATGATTATGATATCTTTGAGAAAATTTTTGGGGAGAAACGGAGCTCTTATCAGAAAATATTTAGGGTGTAGTGCAAATTAATATACATGTATTCTTTTCCATAGCCATTTTATAATATGCCCAAGTAAGCATTCATTGAATGTCAAAATCATGTCTGGTAAAAATATTGCTGAAAAAATGGGAAGTGGGATTGCAATGGGAAAGAACCTTCCGATTCTCATGTTAGAAAATCTCATGAGTTGATGTACATTTTAATTTTAATTTTCTTATCTTTATATAATCTCTTTCACCACTGTGTGTTCAGAGGTGGCAATATGGTTTACTGTTCGATCACAATATTTAAAATGACATTCATACAGTATCCATCCAGCTCTGTTTACACAGTGGTAAACTTATAGTGAAGTTAACATAGAATGTAAAAATATATTTAATGAAGATACTAGTACATTTTTTAATATAAATATTGCATGTAGAAGTAGGTTATTTTACTAGTCTGTACATCAATTTAGCATTTCATCATGCCATACTGTGGTAATGTGCTAGGCCCTGATATCTGCGAAACCTGCCCTTCCCATGGCCGAAGCATCATTGGGGCAGTTATCTAGGAATACATACCATACCTTTCTATACCCTATTAGCATTGATTAGGACTTCGAAGTGCAAGCCTGGGCCTTTAATCAGTAGAGGTAACATCTGGGATAGTTTCAGATCGTGGATTTTGATATGAGATGCAGATATAGCATTGAAGAAATTGGCAAGAACTTGATGAGTAAAAATCATTCCATTACTTTTCTTTGGAGAGATGAAGATACAGCTGACGGCAAAAAAAACTAAAGAAGCTGAAGCAATGAGAAATATCATCTTTGAATCTAGGTTACAACCTTTAATTGAAATAATCAAATCAAGTCCAAAAAGAAGGGTGATCAGACAGGAACTTGTAGGTTTCACGCTCAGTATGTCATGTCACCAGTTTGCAGTTTGATCATACATGAAACACTAAGGGACAAAGTGAATATGTTTTTACCACTGAGTCAACATAGGAACATTGGAGATGTGGAGAATGAATATTGCGACGTGTGAATTGCTGAAGAAGGATTATCTTTTTAGATTCTTGGCAATGTATCAAATAGATCAAACTGGATAGCCCTCGACTAAATGAAATGAATGATATACTACAAGCAAAGATAACATAGTCAGGAGAGGAATGGGAAAATGGAAACTAATGAAGAATGATAAATTTGCTTGGATGAATATAATAAGACGGAATATATGAATCGGACTACAGATTTATGTTTATTGTATTGATTATTGTTGATTTCCTTTTTAGGATTGATTGATTGTTTCCTAAGGAGCATATTCCAGTAGTCTTGTGCAATATGACAATTGAGGAATTCTTTAAATTTTAGGACATCCTCTTCACCTTTCAGTTATATTGACGATGATATCATCTACAGTTGTAAGCAGTGTTATACCACCTTTACTTCAATGTAGCTGAGACAGTTACTGTATGCAAATTATTTTAAGATAAAGCATAATGCTGAAATTGCTTAAATATACTTACTATACAGTCACATTCAGATATTCTACAAAATGAAAATGGGGTTCCCACACTCTTGTTCATCATTTGCATGGGAGAATTGTTGTTACGATCAGTGTGAGACTACCAGCCTAGAATGCCAGAAACACTTCTAAGAGTTCATGTGTAAAGAATGTAGAATATGTCGATCAAAGAAAAGATGGATCATATATTTGTGACATCTGTGCAAAAGGATTTCCTCATCACTCTTTTAAGCTGACACATATGCATTCACACTAAGTTATGTGTGTGCTCATCTCATGGAAGTATCTATACCGGAAAGGATCCATACTGGTGAAAGTCATTTGCTTCTTTGGCATCTTTTTTCTTGCTTGCTTGCATTTTATCATCTCTTAGTGAAAACCTATATACAAAATGACAGATAAAATATGTGCCAATCAATAAAAATTGTTTCAGAAGGCTTTCCTCTAGGATTGATATTAGTTCCATCATTTAACTCCAGTTCAGTTGTTACAACCATCAAGATTATTTCTTTGTAATTTTATTTCACTTTGAGTTGTAGGTAATAATGATAACCTCTATATTACATGGAATGCAGCAGGGATCGAGTCTATAGATGTGACACATGTCAGAATTTTCTGAGGCTAGATAGAATAGTCTCTGAAAGCACTCGTTGTCTTTTTAGATAAAGCGCAACATATCTATATTGTCTTCATATAGAAATGCGTCATCAGATAAATTATTATAAATACCAAATATGCCAGAAGAAATTCAAAATATGGTGACTTTGAAGACTCAAAGGACAAATGTTCATGAAGTCTCATAAATGTAAACAACATGTAGAAAAAAATTCACACCTCAAGGGACATGAGAGTGTATGTTAGTTCACCGGTCATTATTGTGGCACAAGTACATCAATGAGACATTATCTTGAACATTCATGAAAAAATCCATCGTAAAATTAGAGAGTATCAGAGCGAAACATGTGGTGAACAATTCGTATCGTTAGTACCTCAGTGTAAATACTCGCATCTGATTGGTCAATTAGCGGTCAACATTTTTGCCTGTACCCCACCTGTGCATCATGGGATATCATATTATTGACCGCGTATGTTACTGTACTACACTTGTGAATTATGGGGAATATGACGTCATAATGTTTACAGAAAAAACATGGTAGACGGACATTTTGTAAACGTTGATGAAAGTGATATTTTGACTTTGCTAGACGACAATAATAGCAAAAATACAAATAGAAACGTAAAATTAACATTAATTTACCAGCATATATTTTTTAGCTGACAGTATTTTTAATTCTGATTGATTTTTTTGAAAATGTCGAAAAATAGTTAAGTGCTCATCTAATTGATTATGTATTGTACACTGTAAATATTATGTTCATATTTTGTCGTTCATTTTAAATAAAAAAAACAAAAAAAACAGTGAGTACGCAGTGATGTGCCGAAAACAGAGAGTTTAGCTACCACTGTCTTCAGATTTTCTTAAAAAAATATTGCTGGCGTGGTTCGGAGAAAAGATTGTGAAATGAAGCCATGATTGATGACTGTTGTCTATATGTGTATTATTAGGTTTTTCGAGCTAACAAAAGAATTGTAGACCTCTCCATTCGGTCAACCGTCAAAATCATATACCTCGACTGTAAACCTTGAAACTACTGTTGACCTCGACCTTCGGTCTCTGTCAACAGTAGTTTCTCGGTTTACAGTCTCGGTATACAATTTTGCCGGTTGACCCCTGGAGAGGTCAACAATTGTATACAGTTGGCAGCCTAGAGTGGACATTCTGAATATACACAATTTATGACAGGTTAGGATTGATAGAACGGAAGAGGAATATTTATGATGATGATGATGATAATGATGCTGAGAATCTATTTGTGAATCATAATCAAATGAAATTAACCGAAAATGCAATATGCATGTATGGTGAATGGACTCATTTGAGAATGCAACTTCTTGATGTTGGTTGTTACACGTCTCCTAAAATCCTGACTTATAGAAAGCGGTATGGTACAAATCTACTAAATACAGCTAATTTTATACCTTTATTTTAGATCAACATATCACTTTCAAAGCCTTTTATGCTAAAATACTTTTGTGCTAACATATTTTTTGGCTCTGCTTTCCAGCTGACAATGACTATCCAAATGCTACTGTAAATACAGATGGGATAAAGGTCTATAGATGCGACATCTGCGAGCAATCATTCCCAGCAATAGGGCGTTTTTCTACCTTCCTGAAGCATATGAGGGAAGAACATGATGTAGTGAAGCCTCTTAAATGCCCCCAGTGTCCACAGAAATCAAGTACTTTTTGGCGATTAAGGAATCATATAAAAACTCATAATCAAATCAAATGCCATGCATGCCTAACATGTCAGAAGAAGTTTAACACGAAGGCATTGTTAAGGACACACCAGATAAACGTGCATGAATCATGTAGATCAGATCATATATGTATGACATGTGGAAAGGGATTTCATGCCAGAAGGACATTGATGCGGCATGAGAGTACACATTTTACAGAAAAACCATACGTTTGTCCACAATGTGGAGTCGCGTATGCCTTGAAAGAATTTCTCCAACGGCATATGAAGTCACATGACAAGGCTTTTATATGTCAAACATGTGGTGAAAGATTTGGACGAAAATATAATCTAGAACAGCATGAGAAAATTCATAGTGGTATTAAAGATTATGAGTGTAAATCATGCGGGAAACAGTTTACACAGTTGGCTGCGTTATGTGGACATACAAAGACGTGTAGTATGAAAACACAAGTAGCAATCACTGAACCCATGGAAGGGTTTGGTGTTCTGTCCTGTGACACTGTGAATCAACTTGTGCACTCTTACCAACCACAAAGTCTGCCTACAACTGGAGGTTTAGATACAACCAGACATTTAGATGTAACTGGACTTTCAGAGGCATCTCAACATTTAGATGCAGCTAGACATTTAGATGCAGCTAGACATTTTGATGCAGCTGGACATTCAAATGCAGCTGGAAATTCAGATGCAGCTGGACATTTAGATGCACATGCATATTTAAAAGATGCAACTGGATATTTAAAAGGTGAAACTGGACATACAAATACAACTAGACATTTAGATGCAACTGGACATTCAAATCCAACTAGACAGTTATGTGAAACTGGACATACAAATACAACTAGACATTTAGATGCAACTGAACATTCAAATCCAACAAGACAGTTTGGTGAAACCGGACACACAAATACAACTAGACATTTAGATGCAACTGGGCATTTAGATGCAATTAGACTGTTAAGTGCAACTGGACTTTCAAATGCAACTAGACATTTAGAAGCTACTGGACATATAGATGCCCCTCTTGTTCCATTCAGAGACTCACAACCTTATACCTGATATTAATCTATTTTACAATATTTCATTTAGAATAAACTTATGTATAATATACTATTATGTATAACTTCATTGACCCTACGCAAGAACTACTCGATTTCTCTTGTCATTCTAAATAAACGCATTTTTGAATTTGAAAAAATCAGCTCTGATGTGCATGAAATAAAATATAGATACCTGAATTACATTTTGTGCTCAAATTTTGGTCATTACATTGAGGAAAGCAGAAAGCTCCTCAGCTTGACAGCTAGCATATCAATGAGACTAAAGGAAGAGAAATTAGTAAGAGAAATTTTTATTTTAGATGTCTTATTTGGTGATTTTGCAGAACATCTATGCTTTATTTTGTGATTATCAGGTTGAGTAAACTTGAAGGGGATTTGGATAGAACATTCAATCTGTTTAACTTGGACATTTTACAAATGCAAAAGCAGACTAGTGCCAAGATCTTATTAGGTTTTGAATTGCTGGGCAAATAGCATGGTAGCCATTTTGCTCTTCAACATCCTTCTAAGGTGTCCAGAATCTGTACCTCCTTCAAATTGCGTGTTCTTAATCGGGGAAATGCTAACTGCTTATAGCAGGGAGTAAAAAGAAAGAAGATATTCTGGATTTTGAAGCCCTGTGATCGGAGCATGGCTCTTCAAAGGTTGACAATTATTACTGTGTGTCTTGTTTAAGTTCACATAAGTTTTGAAAAAATTTTAATCTCAAACCATAAGTATGAAATAAAAAATGGTAAACATGGGCATGTAGCTTAAGATAGTAACGTATCCTCAGAATGTTTTATAAACCAGTGAAATATTCTTATTATTTTCAGGTGAACAACCATATCTTACAGTTGATGCTAATGGGAGGCTGGTGTACAATTGTGATGTATGTAGGACACAGTTCAACTCTGGCATGGCATTAAGGAAACACATAATAACTGAACATAACAATGAGCTCCCTCTAAAATGCATGTACTGCGAAAAGAGGTGGTCTGATTTCGAAAATTTAAGTAAGCATGTACTTAGGGAGCATAAGCCAAACCAGTTGAAATGTGAAATGTGTTCCAAAACATTCTCAATTGCTGTGAATCTTTACAAACATGTCAATGCAATACACAAAGGAGGAAATCTTAAGAAAGTCCCTCATGCTTGTCCAACTTGTGGAAAAGTTTATTCATCGAGAAAAAATATGCGGTTGCACCATGTCAATGTTCATGAATCGTGTCGAGATCATATATGTATGACTTGTGGAAAAGGATTCCTTACTAAAAGTACATTGATTAATCACGAAAGTATACATAGCACAGATAAACCATATGTTTGCCCACAATGCGGTGTCAGATATGCCATGAAAGAATATCTCAGAAGACATGTAAAATCTCATGACAAGCCATTTATATGTCAAACGTGTGGTGAAAGATTTGGACGAAAATATAATCTTGAACAGCATGAGAAAATTCATAGTGGCATTAAAGGATATACATGTAAAACATGCGGGAAACAATTCACACAGTTGGCAGCCTTATGTTCACATACAAACAGTGCACATAGCATGGAAAAACAATATGTTTGCCAGCAATGTGGTGTCAGATACGGCTTGAAAGAACACCTCCGGAGACACATAATATCTCATGACAAGCCATTTATATGTAAAACATGTGGTGAAAAATTTGGGCGAAAATATAATCTTGAACAACATGAGAAAATTCATAGTGGCATTAAAGGATATACATGTAAAACATGCGGGAACCAGTTCACACAGTTGGCAGCCTTATGTGGACATTCAAAGATATGCGTTGATTCTGGTAAAGAAAAAAGTCAAAATTTCATGGAATCTCAAGAGAGAATTAGTCAAACTGATTTTATGCCTCATGCAGCAATGCCAGTGTTGAATCAACAGCTAGGGTATGATTTTAAGATAGAAACCAATAGTCATTTATAAAATACACTTGCAGTTTATGTCTCATTAGATAGTAAATCCAGTGTTGAATCAACAGCCAGGGTATGATTTTAAGATAGAGACCAATAGTCATTTATAAAATACACTTGCAGTTTATGTCTCATTAGATAGTAAATCCAATGTTGAATCAACAGCCAGGGTATGATTTTAAGATAGAGACCAATTGTCATTTATAAAATTCAATTGCAGTTCATGATTTCTCTCTATCTTTGTTCATTAAGACTCATGAATGCTTTAATTAAGGAATAAATAATGATAGGCCATTCAATATGGTGAAATTCAGCACGAGTTGGACAGAATGTTGTACAAAGCACGAACCGAAGGTGAGTGCATTTGTACTAACATTCTGTCCAACGAGTGCTGAATTTCACCATATTGAATGGCCTATCATTATTTATTCCGATTCAAACATAAAAATTAGTAAACGCCGTGTCTGTGGAACGGGCATGAAGGAAGAATACGCATGCTGTCAAGATTCTGAAGTCGGCCGGAAAAATTTTAGAATTTGTTTGGGCTGTTCTATTTTACTCCCCGTTTTAGATTTTATACGGTGTATAAACTTGAAGTCAGCCATAGTTAAATAGTTACAGTAGTTACGGAGGGAGTAAAAAAGAACAGCTATCCCCGGACAGAGCCCCAGATGTGCAGCTGAGATGTGACGTCACTCAAAACAATGCAAATTGCAGATTGAATAGAGCATGGTCGTGCATCTATGGAGAATTAGAGAACGTTCTATATTGGCTATGCTGCATTCTGATTGGTTGAGAAATTCGAATAGAGCACGGTCATGTTTGAATGGTGAATATTTGCATTCTCTCTCTACTATACCTTGCATTTGGTGTTCATGAGCAACCCATCTGGCTTATTAGTAATGATTATGTGATATGTTTTTATTTGTCTGTTCCTTATTAATGGTTTATCGGGTGACTGTTAGATTTTGATAAGGTACTTACAAAAACATACTAAACAATACAATTAGACAAACAGAGTATCTTATGCATTTCTAGGGGTTAGGTATAGTAGAGTGATTCTGCAAGCTTTTCTGATCTGACAGTGTTTAGTACATGTATTAACATTGTAAACCCGAGAAATGAAGGTATAATTGAAAAACAAAAATATTTTTGAAATCATGCATTTTTGAAAAAATAAAAAAATAAAATATGATTTTTTGGCCTACTCTGTATTTAGTACTCATGTATTTATTTGAAAAAATGCAAACTTTGAATTTACAAGTATTATCTCCATCCCAGATCTTTATGTAATTATCATGAAAATAACTGTATAAATATATGTATTCCTGTATCTGAGAACATTCCTTTTACTTAAGATTTATAAATAAATACAATTTCAATTTTGAATTCTGTAGTTCTCGTGTTAGTTGTATTATAAATCTATGAGATTCAACTCTGCCACAGCCATAGTTATTCAACAATTTTTTATTTTGTTAAGTTATAGCCATAAAAATGAGTAAGAATGTACAATATGGGGTAGCACAAGAAAATAACATATTTGATGCTTTGTTAAAAAGGAATACATGTACAGTAGTACTATATTTTGTAAATGTTGGTATTATATAGCTCCATACCACTTGTCAAATGGTTGACTTGTTAGGTAAAAAAACTAAAACAATTACAGTATATTGTAAAATATTTTTTTGTTTCACACTAATCTAGTACAGTAATCATACCTTTCCTTTAACTATTCATTGTGTTCTTAGAACAATGGGTTCAGTAAAATATATCCTCATGTCAATTTCCAAAGATATTCTGATTGTTAGCTCACATGGTGAGCTTTTGCAATCACTCACTTGTTTTTCATTCATTTGCTTTCGTTTTTTTATCCAGTCGTATACAGTATTCTTCTTTTTTCAGGTGAACACCCATATCTCACAGTTGATGATTATGGCAGGCTGGTGTACAATTGTGACGTATGCTCATTGCAATTTGAATCCAGCTACAGACTATTAAAACATATAAGAACTGCACATACATTTAAGCATCCATTAAAATGCATGTACTGTAGCAAGAGATGCGCAGGCTTTGAGAAGCTCGGCAATCATGTTTTGGTGCAGCATAAGCCAAATCAAATACACTGTGATTTATGTCCTAAGGTATTCCCAATGCAAAGGAATCTAGAATACCATGTGAATAATGTACATAAAGGAAGATATGCTGCTATGCAGCTCCCTCAGACATGTCAAACATGTGGAAAAGTATATAGGAATAAATATAATTTAGGACTACACATGAGAAAGGCACATGCAGAGAGGCCAACCTATACATGTCCAACTTGTGCAAAGGTTTTTGTATGTAAAAGAGGTCTTCGTAATCATATATCGATGATACACGGGGATGGCAAAATTGGGTTCAGGGATAAGGAAGAAAAGCTATCACGTGTGTGTCAAACTTGTGGAAAGGTGTTCATGACCAAACAAGGTCTTATGATTCACGAGAAAAACCATTCAACTATCCGACCACATGTGTGCCAATTATGTGGTGTCTCTTATAACATAAAATGTCAACTCAAGAGACATATGAGATCCCATGAGAAACCATTTACATGTGAGGTATGTGGTGATAGGTTTAGCCGTAAATATAACTTGAAACAACATATGAAAGTACATACTGGAGTAAAAGAATATGAGTGTAAAACGTGTGGAAGATGTTTCACACAGATGGCTGCCTTGTGCGGGCATACTAGAACTTGTAGTAAGTCTGGCAAAGGAGAAAATATGATTGTTGATGCAAATCTCATCATGCGATAAGCATTTTAGGTTCTTTGTTGAGCTGGTCATATCACTGCCAATACACACTCTTGCTTTAGCTATGACACTAGAACAAACTCACAATATCATAAGGTCTGGATAATTCCCTATGTAAAGGGTAAATATGACTTTACAAGATTTTCCATGAAATAAATTAAAATATTCTGGGGACTGGGAATAATGTAAAATACAATGTACATGTACATGATGTATTATTATTTGGATGGCCTATTTATAATTCTGTTAACAGCAGTTAAACTGCGTGTATATCTGTTATTACTAAAAATATGTATGAATATCTCATTACATTGAATGGTGCTTATAATAAATATATTTCATTTTTTTATGAAAAATATTCTTTGTTAGTAAGGATGTGAAAATTCAGGAAAATAGTAAGGAAACCTATGTATAAACATTATTTGGTTTGGCTCGATAATATTGCCAGTTAAATGTTTTGGATGTTACCATGGATGTCACATTAATTAATTTTGATGTCATGTTATTAGAACCACTTTTTGATCCCAATGAATTCTGAAGTTCAGATGCCACAATGTTAATAGTTCAGAAATATTTTGTGTGCAGTACAGTATTCTTCTTTTTTTCAGGGGAACATCCGTATGTCACAGTTGATGCTAATGACAGTCTGGTGTACAATTGTGATGTATGTTCAGCAACGTTCAAGGCCGCGTTGACATTACGGAAACATTTAATGAACAATCATAATTTTGAGCGTCCACTAAAATGCATGTACTGTGAAAAGAGGAGCTTAAATTTTAAGAAATTAAGTAACCATGTTTTAAGGCAACATAAGCCTTGCCAAATGAAATGTGAAATCTGTTCTAAAGTTTTCTCTTTACAATGTAATCTGGAAGCCCATATTGTTAACATACACAAGGGAGGAAATATTGCCCAGAAGATCCCACAGATATGTCCAACGTGTGGAAAGGTTTACCAATCGAAAAAATCCCTCGCATCGCATGTACTGATGGTACATGAAGATGGAAAGGTTAGGTTTAAACAGAATCAGGCAGCAAAGCCACCTGGTGTGTGTTTGACGTGTGGAAAGATGTTTAGCACTTTAAAATCATTGAGAATTCATGAGAAAAACCATTCAACTATCAGACCACATGTGTGTCAACAATGTGGCGTATCATATGCTGTGAAAGATCAACTTAATAGGCACATGAGTTCTCATGAGAAACCATTTGAATGTGATACATGTGGGGCAAAGTTCAGTCGGAGATATAACCTTAAACAACATGAAAAAGTACACTCTGGAGTGAAAGAATATGAGTGTAAGATTTGTGGGAGACAGTTCACTCAGCTGGCTGCATTGTGTGGACATTCTAAGACATGTGGGAAAGAAGAACTGGAAGTAAAAACTACTAATTATGGATCTGACTATATAGCTTACAACTGAACACATATTTACAAAAGAATTAAGAGCACAGTGAAACCTGTAGGTTATATCCGAACACCACTTTATTCTGAACATCACTCAATGTCTACTCTTGCTCTCAATTTTGTTACCTCCCATAGACTCGCATATTGAATAAAGCTTGAAATGTGAACACCTGCTAATCTGAACACTTTCAGTAAGTCCCAATGGTGTTCAGAATAGAAAGTAAGCGAGACAACTTAGTTCCCTGTTTTAATTGTTCCTTTTTGGCTGCATTCTATATATCATATATGATATATATATGGTTCAGTTAACATTGAACATTCGGTCATTGAACTTGAAAGTGTTCATCTTAAATAGTTGTTTCACAGACAAGTGTGTTTTACTTGACAGGTTTTACTGTAGATAATCTGCAATTTTCCATCCCTATTCAGTTGAATACCAAGCTACTATACTTTAATCAGTTTATTTTATAAATGTACTTGATAACAATTTGTGTTTTTTGGGCTGATATAAAATAGCAGTTAATGTAGGAGTTGAAATCCATAATGATATATTTATTCATTTAAACATGTACTTGTCGCTATTCTTAATTTGAGGTTTGTTCAAATGAGGTGCAATATATTAACTTGAGGAATCCTAAATGTGATTTTAATATTCATTTTTCAGTTGCAGGCATTGTTATTTATTATTGGCTGTCAGTGTATATGATGTAATTGTAATTATTTTCAATACACCAATGGTAATAAAGATTATCATATCCAAATTTTCTTAAGTTTGTATTCTTTTTACAAACGTCTCGCTCACATTGCAGTGCAGATATGTTATAGGTTAATAACATGCAGGAATATAATTGATATCTGAAGTGAGCTGGTGATATATATCACCTGCTGATATCATATCACCCACTCATCAGATCTACGACGTCACAAATTCAGAGAGTAGATACTGAGCCAGGGGACTTGACTATAAACCCTCATAATCTACTAAGTATAGAATAAATTAGTAATTAAATGCTCGATTTTTGATACAGGGTATATCCCTTGGTTAAATTACAATTTATATTGTATTTCCCTCAGATATACCCTGTATCCAAAACCTCCCATTAAATAACCTGTATATATTCAATCAAAATGACGACATTGCTGGGGAATACACTCTACACACAATACATTTTCAAAGCAGGGGTACATTGAATAACTCTATCTATTTTTAGTCACATGGTATCTGATTGACCAATGAGAGAACGAGTATCACAGCATGGAAATAATAAATGTTTATATTGTTTTCTGAAGCTGGAATGAGTTTTATGTAGACCTTAAACTATTATCTTTTTCTTTTCCAGTGCTTGCAAATCAGCGTCCATTAGTCGCTGTTGATCAGCATGGCGTGAGAATATTCAACTGTGATACTTGCGAAGAAACATTTCCCAAACCTATGAAACTTTTAACTCACATGGAAGGACACCATGGATCAAATCCATTTAGATGTCTGGAGTGTTCATTTCGCACATGGTCTATACCATACTGGACTGAGCATAGGATGACTCATAGAAACCAAGCCAATTTTCAGTGCAATATTTGTAATGCTAAATTAACAACCAACAGAAGCCTAGATCTTCACATGAACACACATGATAAAAATAAATTCTTCATTTGTCAAATATGTGGCAAAAAACTGAAATCTTATGATAACCTGCGATTTCATGAATTCTTACATCAAAAAGAAAAACCACTTGCATGCAAACTATGTGGAAAAGCATATCAACATAAGAAGATGTTAAGAATACATATGAAAACACATACAAAGCCATATATTTGTAAATTCTGTGGGAAGAGCTTTGGAAAGTCATATAATATGATGGTTCATGAGAGACTCCATACTGGCGAGAAGCCATACAAGTGTGAACATTGTGGTGGAAAATATGCACAAATGAATTCCTTGATTGTTCATTCCAAAAACTGCAACAAGAGGTTGATCAAGTTGGAGTAATATTATAAGACAAAAGTAGAGATGTATGGTGAAAAGTCAGCTTATTTCTAGCATTGCTTAAATAATATACATACAGTACATTGCTTTAAAAATGCTGAAATTTGTATTTTAGCTGTAGATTAATCTTAAATTGCTGTGTATTTTTCAGTATTGGAAATAAATTTAAAGTATTTTTCATTTATTCTTTACTTTGAAAATATGTGCATACTTATGATGTCCTCAGTTTGGTGTAATATGGTTATGTAGCATGGTCTTTCTTTGATGTAATTTTGAAATTCTTTGAATTACTCAAATACAGAAGTATCAAATGAGTTGAGAAACAAAGTTAGGTCAAAGGACAATTTTAGGATATATATCAGGAATAAGATGTCCAGGCATTAATTCACACAAATTATTCAATGAGATATTTCCTCCAGAGTTTTTTAATAGTGAAATCTGAATGGATCCGAATACACATTTCATATTAATAGAAAAATACATGTTTTGTTTGTCTAGACTGAATACTCTGTGGATGAATTTCCTGTGGTGTAATACATATATGCCTACTGCATTATCTCAATTTATTTCATAGCTGCAACAGAACCTTCAATGAAAAGCATTTGAGGAAACTGAGGAGTTATTAAAAAATATCCAAGTTTGAAAAGAATTAGGCAGTCAAGTGACCTATTATGGTTATAGTATCATTACTACCAGATTTGCAGACCTAGTTTTGTGAATTATCATTCATTATCAAGTCGCTTGTAATGAATCTTACAAAGCCCCTAATGTATTTGTGTTATTTTGTTATAATTTGAAATCAAGAAATACAATATAAAAAAAAGAATTTAAATTAATTTCGTTGATTCTCTGTTTAACGGACATATGGATCAATATTGATTTTTTCTTCATTGTTTCAGGACCAAAGCCATTTGTGACTGTAGATGAGAAGGGAACAAGAGTTTATCATTGTGACACATGTGAGGCAACACTTAGAAATAATCAGCTGTTTTTTGCTCACATGAAGAATCATCATGGACCAAATCCACTGAGGTGTAAAAATTGCCCAAACAGAAGTGACTCACTCCATCAATGGACAACACATATGGCAAGTCATAAAGATGAAAAAAATTATCAATGTCCCATATGCAGCTTTAGTTTGAAAAGTAAGAAAAATCTGGATCGTCATCTGTTAACCCATGATGATACTATATTCCATGTATGTCATATATGTGGCATGAAATTGAAGACTTCAAGTCTTCTGAGACGACACTCATATATACATAGAGACACAAAACCACACATATGCCAGGAATGTGGAAAAGCTTTTAGTGATCCTATTAGGCTAACAACTCATAAGAGGTGTCATAAACAACGTTTTATTTGTAAGAACTGTGGAAGAAAATTTGGACGCAAGGACAATTTAATGGTTCATGAAAGGATCCACACGGGAGAAAAACCATATGAATGTAAAAATTGTGAAAAAAGCTTTGCACAATTGTCCTCCCTGTGTTCTCATTCAAAGACATGTGGAAGAGGACGAGTGAAATTATAGCCAAGGAAAATGAGGACACATGTTGGTGGCCTCCCATTCCTTAAAGGGTTGTACTAACTTTATAATTGTAATGCTATAAATATAATCTTTAGCAGAAAATACTTTTTGCCTCATTGTGATTTCGCTGTAGTCTTTCTGTTTTGAATATTAGTGAGTAGATTTTGGAGTGTTTAACATGTGTGTTATATAGTAAGAGTTTTAATACATAAAAGTCTTTATCATGTCTCCACAGAGGACTGCTAATACACATTTACATAAAAACAGTTATATAATGATCAAAAGTACCCACAATCTTAGATTTGACCTCTGAAATCTACTGTCCACTACTCTTCTGGATACCCAAAATTGACATGCAGTTATGACTTCAACAAATTTTGACACCCTTTAATGAAACACTACTTCAATGAAAATTGGTTTGTATAAGAGAAGATTAATGTTCTAAACCTTACAATTGTTGTATCAGTTTTGAATTTACTCAATTCTCGGTTTGTATTTCTAATACATAGTTACATTTAAACATGAGGCATGTTGTCTTGTATTGATTTATTTTTTCTTGTTTCAGGGCCAAGACCATTTGTTACTGTTGATGCGATGGGATATAGAAACTACCATTGTGACACTTGTGATACAACAATGAGGGACAATCATATCTTTTTTGCTCACATGCGGAACCATCATGGACCAAAACCATTGAAGTGTAACACTTGTCCCCAAAGATTTCCTTCTTTTCATACTTGGACTGTACATATGATGTCCCATAAAGACCAAAGGAATTTCCATTTTTGTCACACATGCAAGAAATTTTTTTCAAGTAAGATCAGCCTAATTGGTCATAGGGTGTCTACTCATGATAGTATCGGTCATGTGTGTCATATTTGTGGCTTTAAGTGTAAAACCAAAGCAGGGCTTAAACACCATGTTCTTTTACATAATGAACAGAAACCACATGTCTGCAAGCAATGTGGAAAAGCTTTTCGTGATCAGATGAGGCTAAGAGGTCATGAGAGAGAACATAATCAACGTTTTGTTTGTAAGTTCTGTGGAAAAAGATTTGGACGTAATGCCAATTTAACAGTTCATGAGAGAATCCACACTGGAGAAAAACCATATGAGTGTAAAGCTTGTGGCAACAGTTTTGCACAAATGAACTCTTTGATTTCACACTCTAGGACTTGTGGAAGGAGACCAATGAAATAGCAAAACAGAATGAGATATAAAACAGAAATATACTATAGATTTATATAAATATACATTACTCTTGTCTTGAGTTTATTACATTCAGAAAATACACATAATCCCATGTATCAAAAATATCTTTATTGTTGCCTGTCTATTGTCAAATTCCTATATACATTTTACTATCTAGTAAAAACAACTCTAGATAATCCTCTGTTGTTTGCTGTCATTAAAAGAACCCCCTGCGTTTGTCAAGCACAACTACATACTGCTCCAGTTGACCTGCTCATACGTATATTTTTCTAATATTGTATTTATAACAATAAAATATAAAAAGAGATTGTGGTGCATTCCAAACAGGAAAACCCAGATTCATATAAGAGCAGGCATTTCCTAGTATGTGTGTAAATTGTCATTACAATGAAAACATAAATTTCGACATATCTGACATAATGTACTCTTTTGTTACAGGGTCAAGACCATATGTGACTGTAGATGAAAAAGGAAATCGAGTCTATCATTGTGACACTTGTGATGCAACAATGAAAAATAATCTGCAGTTTTTTACTCATATGAAGAACCACCATGGACCAAAACCAATGAGGTGTAGCAGGTGTCTATATAGAACAAATACTTTGTATGATTGGACGCTACATACTATGTCCCATAGAAACGAGTCTAATTACCAATGTAACATATGCAATGCATGGTTGAAAAACCACAAAACTAGAGACACAAAACCTCACATTTGTCAGAGATGTGGTAAAGCTTTTCGTGACCCTATTAGGCTAACAGCTCATAAGAGGGAGCATGGCAAAAAGTTTATCTGTGAGTTCTGTGGAAGAAAATTTGGACGCAAGGATAATTTAACAGTTCATGAGAGAATTCACACTGGAGAGAAACCATATGATTGTAAAAGTTGTGGAAAGAGATTTGCCCAAATGAACTCATTGCGTTGCCACTCAAAGAATTGTGAAAGAGGACAAATGGAATAAAGGAAAACACAGGGAGATATTTATGACTGGAATTATACTGTAAATTTTTTCAATTACTGAAATAAAATACAAAGAAGGCTATTTATTTTTAAATAGTACCAATAATTAGTTTGATTTTCTTTTAGTTAATCAAATTTATTATTTAAAGTGATGTTCTGGTATATAAAAACATTTTATGAAAACTGTTTATAATTCATCAAAAGTTTATCAAATAATATGCACCAGCTCCAATTTAAAGGTAGAGATAGAAGCAAAATTCGAATATGGCCTTCTATAAACTGTGAACGAAGTCAATATTTCACCCGGGGTTTATTCGTCAATAATACCCTAGGTAATACGAGTAATGTTTGACGTCATAACGGCAGTCTGTAATAATGTTGGACCATAAATTCAAAATATTTTTATGAGTTTTCATGTTCGAATGTTCAGGGTACAGAAAATGTTTGTGCCTAGCTCTGCAGGGTTTATTCATTGATATAACACCTGATCTTTGGTCTATATTTCTTATTCTTAATTAGTGGTTATTTCATCATATTGCAGTCAAACGTGTTTGAAGTACAAATTGATCATGAGAGCCATGCATTCTGATACTCATAGCATCTTTCTGTTTCACCTGAAACATCTCAGGGCTGAGAAGATTTGAGATGTCAATGGTTTATCATGATGAGAGCCATGGTGTAGTTGCTAGTGGCACTTTCAGCTGAGGCAGTTGGGAAGACATGGCTTAAACATGTAAACCATTGAAACAATCACAATCACCCAGGAATAGCCTGACAACGGTAAAGTCAAATACCGTTGTCACAAATGGCGGACATGACCGTCGCTTCAATTAGATTTTCATGAACTGTATGTTTGATAGAGCACCTAGACTAAATTCCTTTGGAACAACAATCAATCAAAGTGTCTTAATACTCATTGTACAGTTAATAATGTTCTACCATCGAAATAAAGTCTTTTATTTACCCGATCAAAATGAGATATGGGACAACGGACACTGTAATTACCATGCCGTTGTCTTTTTAAATTACTCAAATTCAGATTCCGTTATCATTGACGATATCGAAGACGCTATATTGTGGTGATTCATGACCCAATTTGATCGAAAATGGGATTTCATATGATACATTATCACTTCAGCTTTATGCATGCACAGAATTTAGCGACAATAAAATCCCATGAAATGAGGACCAAGTGATGAAGCAGTTGAAGCGACGGTTATGTCCGCCATTTGTGACAAGGGTATCTGACTTTACCATAGTCAGGCTATTCCGGTGTGACAATGGAGATGTTGCACCTTTCGAACCTGTAATTGAGCTCTCTGTCCGATTTTGCAGACTGATTCTACAATATGTTTTTGCACAACCAAGACTCACATTCATTTTATAACAAAAAGAACACATAGTTAGAGAACAATTAACAGGGTGGTCCAAACAATGTTATCATTTTGTTACCTTTTAAGTCTTACTCATTTATAAAGATTGCAGATTCGTTTTGAAACATTGTATTTCAGTCAATTGAACAATTGTCGATTTGGCAGAATAATCAGTTTGTCTTCATGTTATTTTGTATTAATTTTTTTCATTGTTTCAGGACCAAAACCATACGTGACCGTAGATGAAAAAGGAGATCGAGTCTATCATTGTGACACTTGTGATGCAACAATGAAACACACTCATCAGTTTTACTCCCACATGAGAAATCACCATGGACCAAAACCATTAAGATGTAAAACATGTCCATTCAAAGCAATACACCTTTGTAAGTGGACTGACCATATGATGTGCCACAGAGAACAAAGAAATTATGAATGTCACATATGTAATGCTCGTTGTAAAAGTTTTGTGGCTCTGTCTATTCATCGGAAGGTTCACGATATTAATAAGTTTCACATATGTCATATTTGTGGCACAACAACAAAGACATTGAGCATGCTGAGAAAGCATTCTTTGATACATAAAGAAACAAAACCACATGTATGCCGGGAATGTGGAAAACCTTATAGTGATCCAACTAGGCTGAAATGTCATATGAAGGAACATGGTCGACATTTTGTGTGTAAGTTTTGTGGAAAAAGATTTGGACGCAATGCTACTTTAACAGCTCATGAGAGAATTCACACTGGAGAAAAACCATATGAATGTAAAGCTTGTGGCAAAAGATTTGTGCAAATAAACTCACTGAATGTCCACTCTAGGACTTGTGGAAGGAGATCAATGAAATAACAAAACAGAATGAGATATAAGCAAAACTATTGTGAATATTAAATGAAACACAAAGAATATATTTGTTTGGAGGGAAATGTTTATTTTTTATTAAGTAGTACCAGTAATTTGTTAGAACTTTTTTAGTTAATCAAATTTTCCATACATACTTTTAAGAGTGAGGTGTATAATATGTTATTATTTGATGAACTTTATTTTGTATATAATATAATATATTGCACCAGCTCCAATTTAATTATTATAGAGATTGAATATACTCATTCAAGCAAAATTAGAAGTTATTTTATTTTATCTTATTCCTGTCAAACATGTTTTTAGTACAAATTGTCCATGCTAGTTATTATAGTGTAGTAGAGCGTTTGGTACTTACAGCCAAGACAGTTTTCCTAGTCCATGAGGTAGAGCGCTTGATACTTACAGCCAAGGGAGTTTTGCTAGTCCATGTAGTGGAGGGCTTGGTACTTACAGCCAAGGCAGTTTTGCTAGTCTATGTAGTGGACGGCTTGGTACTTACAGCCAAGGCAGTTTTGCTAGTCCATGTAGTGGAGGGCTTTGTACTTACAGCCAAGGCAGTTTTGCTAGTCCATGTAGTGGAGGGCTTGGTACTTACAGCCAAGGCAGTTTTGCTAGTCCATGTAGTGGAGGGCTTGGTACTTACAGCCAAGACAGTTTTGCTAGTCCATGTAGTGGAGGGCTTGGTACTTACAGTCAAGACAGTTTTGCTAGTCCATGGTAGTGGAGGGCTATGTACTTAAAGCAAATGCAGTTTTGCTAGTCCATGTAGTGGAGGGCTTGGTACTTCCAGCCAAAACAGTTGGGAAGGCATTGATTGAACATGTAAACTATTGAAACAATCACAATGGAGATGTTGCACGTTAACATATTTAGTTGAGCTCATCTACAGGCTGGCAATTTATTCCCACCTCAGACTTTGTCAAATTGATTTCAAAATATGTTTCAGCACAACAAGCAACTCTTACATTGATAAAGGGTGTCCCAAAAATTGCACTGAGATAAACATGGCCAAAAATTGTCCCAATATGAACACTGAATAGGAGGATTATTTTCAGACTATTATTTTCAGACAATTAAATTATCTAAAGCCGATGCAAACATGAAATAACTATGTTAGGGATGAAGACTGAGACAATGCAATGATCATAAATATTTGAAAGTTTCATGAGGTAACACTTTTTAGTTTTAAAGAGAAAAGCTCGTTTAAGTACAATCATCAATTTGTCAATGTTAAATTTTAAGCATATTTGCATTGATCATGATGAGGGTAATTTAGGGCAAGTTGTCTAAGATGTTAAATTTCCCAGGAAGTAATATAATACACAAATTTCTATGAATTTTTAAGTGCTTATTGAAAACGTTCTACTTTTTCAATAAAGAAAAAACTTATTCTCCTCTTATTTGGATATGATTTTTGGGACACTCTGTATTACAAAAATAACAAAAACTTTTAACAGGGTGGTCCAAAAGATGTTACCTATTTTGTCATCTTCACTAATTTGTAAAGATTGGGGATTATTTTTGAATCATATTTCATTCAATTAAACAATTCTAGATTTAGCAGGAAAATCTGCTTGTCTTTATCTTAATATTTTGTATTAATTTTTTCTTTTTCATTGTTTCAGGGCCAAGACCATATGTGACTGTAGATGAAAAGGGAGATCGAGTCTATCATTGTGACACTTGTGATGCAACAATGAAAAACAACCATCAATTTTTCTCCCACATGAGAGATCACCGTGGACCAAAACCAATAAGATGTACAATGTGTCCATTTGAAGCAAAAGATCTTCATACTTGGACTGCACATATGATTTGTCACAAAGAGCAAAAAAATTACGAATGTCACATTTGTCATTTTCGTTGTAAAAGTAAGATGACCCTGATTGGTCATCGTTTAACACATGATAAAAGTAAATTCCACATTTGCCATATTTGTGGTACAAAAGTAAAGACATCAGGTATGCTGAATCGGCATTATTATATACATAAAGAAACAAAGCCACATGTTTGCCAGGAATGTGGAAAAGCTTTTTGCGATCTTAGTAGGCTGAATTCTCATAAGAGAGAACATGGCCGACATTTTGTCTGTGAGGTCTGTGGAAGAAGATTTGGACGCAAGGACAATTTAACAGTTCATGAGAGAATTCACACTGGAGAGAAACCATATGAATGTAAAAATTGTGGAAAGAGATTTGCACAAATGAACTCATTGCGTTGTCACTCAAAGAATTGTGAAAGAGGAGAAATGGAATAAAAGAAACCTCAATGAGATTTTACTAGATACTCTAAGAGCGAGGAGGAAAATTCTTAATAAATGGAGTATAGTTGGTTTGGCAGCATTTTCAGTTAGGGGGAAGTCTTGGATGAAAATTCTACCTAGGTGATAGCTTCACAGAGTGGTACATAATTCTTTTTTTTCAGGGATTAGCCCCCCACCCCCCAAAATAACCCCACCCCGGTAAAATAATTTTTTCATTCTCAATAACTTTAGATATCTTGATGTTTGTAAGTTACATACATAGACATTATATATATGAATCATTTGAAAAATAAATAATGCTAATCACTCCTACAGAATTTGAAAAATAGTACAAAGTATGTACCCCAGGGGGCAAATTCGTGACCCATTTTCTTACTATTTAGAGCCCCACTTTTCAATCAGACACTGCAAGACATTGGAAAAATTCACCTGAAGTGCCCAGTAGCAGGGCTATAAGCCCTGAAAGGTTCAAATTAATTGAATCAGTATGAGCAGAGAAAAAAATTGTTGATTTTTTGAAAAATTTGACATTTTTTAGAGACGTGATTTTGTGTATGACAATAGCTGAGGCTTATGGTTTCTAGATCTATCCCTCTTTGATAATAAATATGGTTTTGAAGTATGGAACTAAGATGTAAAAAATAATTAAAATGGGTTTTAAGGAAGTTAAAAGTTTAAACAAGTTCAAAATTCAAAGAATTGTACAATATCAGGTCTGAATTTACGAATTTTAGGTAAGACCTTGGATGAGCCTTAGATTTTTTACATCTGTCCCCTTTTGATGATATTTATGGTTTTGTAGTATGGAACTAAGATGTACAAAATAATTTAGATGGTTTTTAAGATGGTTTAAGGATTTTAACAAGTCCAAAATTTGAAGAATTGTACAATATAAGGTCTGAATTTATGAATTTCAGGTAAGACCTTGGATGAGCCTTATATTTTTTACATCTGTCCCTCTTTGATGATATGTATGGTTTTGTAGTGTGAAACTAATGAGTAAAAATAATTTAGATGGATTTGAAGGTTTAAGGATTTTAAATTGAGTCCAAAATTTGAAGAATTGTACAATATCAGGTCTGAATCTATGAATTTCCGGTATGGCCTTGGACGAGCCTTACGTTTTTTACATCCTTCCCTCTTTGATGATATTCATGGTTTTATAGTGTGGAACTAAGATGTAAAATATAATGTAGATGAATTTTAAGAAGGTTTAAGGATCTTAATGAGTTCAAAATTTGAAGAATTGTACAAAAATCAGGTCTGAATTTACGAATTTCAGGTAAGACCTTGGATGGGCCTTATATTTTTACATCTGTCACTCTTTGATGATATGTATTGTTTTGTAGTGTGGATCTAAGATGCAAAAATGATTAAGATGGTTTTGAAGAGTGTTTAAGGATTTTAATGAGTCCAAAATTTGAAGAATTGTATAATATCAGATCTGTATTTTTGAATTTCACGTATGACCGTGGACGACCTTTTGTTTTTTACATTTTTTTACATCTATATCCCCTTTGATGATATTCCTGGTTTTATGGTATGGAACTAAGATGTAAAATATAATTTAGATGAATTTTGAGAGGGTTTTAGGATTCGAACAAGTTTTGAATAATTGTACAATATTAGGTCTGAATTTGCAAATTTTAGGTAAGACCTTGGATGAACCTTATATTTTCTACATCTGTCCCTCTTTGATGATATGTATGGTTTTGTAGTGTGAAACTATGATGTAAAAAATAATTTAGATGCATTTTAAGAAGGTTTAAGGATTTAAACAATTTGAAGAATTGTACAATATCAAGTCTGCAATTAACAAATTTCAAGTATAACCTTGGTTGGTCCATATGTTTTTTAAACCTATCCCCTTTTCATAATATATTTGGTTTAGTAGTGTGGAAATATGTAAAACATAATTTAGATAGGTTTTAAAGAAGCTTAACGTTTTAAACAAGTTCAAAATCTTGGCGTATTGTACAATATCAGAAATTAACGAATTTAAAGTATACTCTTGCTTGGCCCTTATATTTTTTAACATCTATCCCTTTTTGATGATATATGGATATATTTTTAGTAGTGTGGAGCTAATATGTAAAATATAATTAAGATGGGTTTTAAAGAAGTTTAAGGATTTCAACAAGTTCAAATTTTTACGAATTGTACAATATCAGAGCTGATATAAATGAATTTTTGGTATTACCTTTGACGAGCCTTATGTTTTTTACACCTATCCGTTTTTGATGACATATATGGTTTAGTAGTGTTGAACTAAGATATTAAACATAAGTTAGACAGGTATTAAACAAGTTAAAAATATGAAGAATTGTAAACTGTGTAAACTGTGGATGGCCCTTATTCGTTTTTTACATCTCTCTCTCAATGATTATACATGTATAATATATGGTTGATAATATATAGTAGTGTGGAACTAAGAGGTAAAACATAATTTAGATGGGTTTTGAGAAGGTTTAGGGTTTTAAAGCTGTTCAAAACTTGACAAATTGTACAATATCATATCTGACATTAACGAATTTCAGGTATATATCTCTCTATGATGATATATATGGTTTAGTAGTATCACCCTATGCTTAGTGAGCGGACCTAATTTCAAGGGTGATGGTAAAGACGAGACATGGCGCCCAAAAACCAAAGAATATCAGTACCATAACATTTTAAGTCGTATTATTGCAGCATTAGGTGATGGTATTGTGATATTTTATGCTGTTTTAGAAGTGAAAGATGTTAAACTATGCATACCGTTTGTTTTACATCCAATAAAACGAATAGTTAAGATGAAACAGTCGTTTAAAGATACAATTTGAATTTACCGCAAGAAATTACAACCTAATATTGTCAATATGTCAATAATTCCTGATCGATGTCACATATAAAGATACATGTACCTAGATATGTTTTATTTTTTCATATATGCGAAATAAGGCGGTCTCTAGTTATGTACATCCAATACAAAATGAATGTTTACTATTCGGCGATCAGAATTTCGATGACGAGCAATGGCGATGTAATTTGCGAAGAGGAGTGGCTATGGGCAAGCACTTAGCTGCTACGTGTACTGCTAAATTCAGCTAAAATGTACACTGTCAATTAATAAATTAATGAATTTGGGCAAGGTTGTCATAGGCTTCAATCAATGGTAAAAACTTGCAAAACATGTAGTCACTTGATTTTATGATTTATCAAAAAGTGTTGGTTGTTGAACGAATAAATAGAATAACTTAAAAGAATTTTAAAATTGTATAAATGGTAACTGGCCCACACTTTTTAACAAATGTTGACAAAGTCATAAAAAATCAGACGCATGACAGATGTAGTCAGAGATTGTTGATGTCAAAGGTTGTTAACATGGCAGGTGTATTCAGAAATTGTTAACATAATAAATGAAGTCAGACTTTATTTACATGACAAGTGTAGTCAGAGGCTGTTAACATGGCAGATAGAGTCAGAGATTGTTAACATGACAGATGTAGTCAGAGGTTGTTAATATGACAGATATAGTCAGAGATTGTTAACATGACAGATGTAGTCAGAGGTTGTTAATATGACAGATGTAGTCAGAGATTGTTAACATGACAGATGAAGTCAGAGGTTGTTAATATGACAGATGAAGTGAGAGGTTGTTAATTTGGCAGATGTAATCAGAGGTTGTTAACACTGCAGATGTAGTCAGAGGTTGTTACCATGGCAGATGTAGTTAGAGGTTGTTAACATAACAGATGTAGTCAGAGGTTGTTACCATGACAGATGTAGTGAGAGGTTGTTACCATGACAGATGTAGTGAGAGGTTGTTAACATGGCAGATGTAGTTAGAGGTTGTTAACATAACAGTTGTAGTCAGAGGTTGTTACCATGACAGATGTAGTGAGAGGCTGTTACCATGACAGATGTAGTGAGAGGTTGTTAACATGGCAGATGTAGTCAGAGGTTTTTAACATGGCAGATGTAGATAGAGGTTTTTAACATAACAGATGTAGTCAGAGGTTGTTACCATGACAGATGTAGTGAGAGGTTGTTAACATGGCAGATGTAGTCAGAGGTTGTTAACATGACAGATGTAGTCACAAGTTTCTGCACTGTGGGATAAACTTTTGTCAGATTAATTTTTTCTGAGACAACATAATCACTGTTAACACATTGTGTAAATTGTTTATTGATCAGGTGGTGTATTATTTCATCAATGTCTTTTGATTTTCCGTGACAGTAGTAACACTGGAATCCCACATATCTGAAAATAAACAGGATAAATGTAATCCCTATTCCACGGCTCGTCCAAACATGCTTTTATTACCATAACCATTGCTCTTCCTTTCGAGGAATCAAAATCTCCTGATTTGACTGCAATTACGGCTCAAATTGGGAAATGGATGGGTTTACGATATAAATACGTTCATCAACAATAATTACATGCAATATCAAGGAATTCTATGCAGGAGAAGTATCATTATTTTGAAAATAATCGAAAAAAAATATGCAGAAAATTAATTTTTCTTTTCACATCACTTCGTATCCATTTCACATATAAGTATGAATCTTTCTTACATTACAAATCTAATTATGGGCATCTGAAGCATCAGTGCACCTAGTTACAGGCCAGCACATGGCCAATAAAGAGTAGAACTTAGAGAAATAAACTTACTGCTGGTCCGCCATAGTTAGGTTTGGGCGCCCTGTCTCGTCTTTACCATCGCCCTTGAAATTAGGTCCGCTCACTAAGCATAGGGTGAGTATGGAACTAAGTTGTAAAACATAATTTAGATCGATCGGTTTTAAGGAAGTTAAAAAGATTCATGATGTGTTAAAAACTGATGAAGTTATAATGGATTCAAAGTGCAAAAATGGGGGAAATGTGTTTATATACTCCCAAAATAATAAAAATGGTAACCATTCTTATGGAAAAATAATACATTATTATAGAAATCTTTAGTTTTCCTACACTAAAGTGTGCACTTTGGGGATTTTTAGCAAATAGACATGAAAAGGAATGACATAAGCCAGAAATATTCAAAAATTTAAACAATATTTTGTTTGGCTGCTTGCTGGATCTGATTCTCTCTTTAAGGTTTTGAAGAAGTTCAAAACAAAACAAATTTTACAATATTAGGTCTGAAATTCTTAACCTCTTTGATGATTTACATGGTTTTGTAGTGTGGAACTAAAATGTAAAACAAAATTTAAGAATTTGGGGTTTTAAGGAGGTTTATATTTATTACTTATTGCTAAATGATTATCTAGAAATTATCATCATTTTGCATTTTTTATAGTATTAAAAACAGGATAACCATCGATATTTCATAAATTTCATTTTTATTGGGATCAACTTCGGAATATCATAACTTTGCACCTCTACCCCCAATCACCTTGATCTTTACACCAAAATGTGTCATTTATGTGTGGCTCGAGCTAAAAATAATAATGATGGCACAAGAAAAACTTGCAAAAAGTACCATTTAAAAACCAGAGGGGTAGGTCAATTTGACCCCCCCCCCCCCCATCCCCTGCAGACATTAGGGTAAAACTTCCTTAAAACCCAAAATTCCTAAATTATGTTTTACATTTTAGTCCCACACTATAGAACCATGAAAATCATCAAAGAGGTTTAGAATGTAAAGAGCACGAAGATCATTCAAATATATACCTGAAATTTGTTAATTTATAACATAATTTAAACCTGATATTGTACAATTTGTCAAGTTTTGAACCTCTTTAGAACCTAAAACTTCCTTAAAACCCATCTAAATTATGATTTACACTTTAGTTCCATATTACAAAACCATATATGTTATCATAGAGAGATATATGTAAAAAACATATGTAAAGCTCATCTAAAGCTATACCTAAAATTCGTTTATTTCAGGTCTGATATTGTACAATTTGTCAAGTTTTGAACTTGTTTAAAACCTTAAACCTCCTTAAAACCCATTTTAATTATGTTTTACCTTTTAGTTCCACACTGCTAAACCATATATATATATCATCAAAAAGGGATGTTAAAAACATAAGGCCCAACAAAGGTTATACTTGAAATCTGTTAATTTCAGATCTGATATTGTACAATTCGCCAAGATTTTGAACTTATTTAGAACATTTAGTTTTTTTAAAACCCATCCAAATTATGTTATACATATAATTTAATTTCAACACTACTAAACCAAATATATCATGAAAAAGGGATAGGTGTAAAAAAACATGTGAACCAACCAAGGTTATACTTGAAATGTGTTAATTGCAGACCTGATATTGTACAATTTTTCAAATTTTGAACTTGTGAAAATCCTAAAACCTTCTTAAAATCCATCTTAATTGTTTTTTTACATCTTAGTTCCACACTACAAAACAATACATATCATCAAAGAGGGACTGGTGTAAAAAATATAAGGCTTACCCAAGGTCTTACCTGAAATTCATAAATTCAGACCTGATATAGTACAATTCTTCAAATTTTGACTTGTTAAAATCCTTAAACCTTCTTAAAATCCATCTAAATTATATTTTACAGCTTAGTTTGTTACTAAAAAACCATAAATATCATCAAAGAGGGACAGATATAAAAAACATAAGGGTCATCCAAGGTCATACCTGAAATTCGTAAATTCAGACCTGATATTGTACAATTCTTCAAATTTTGGACTTATTTAAAACTTTAACCTTCCTTAAAACCCATTTTAATTATTTTTTACATCTTAGTTCTACACTTTAAAACCATATTTAACATCAAAGAGGGATGGATCTAGAAACTATAAGCGTCAGCTATAGTCATACACAAAATCACCCATCTCGAAAATGTCAAAATTTTCAAAAAATCAACAATTTTTTTCTTGGCTCCTACTGATTCAATTAATTTGAACCTTTCAAGGCTCATAGGCCTGCTACTGGGCACTTCACATGAATTTTTCCAATGTCTTCCAGTGTCTAAATGAAAAGTGAGGCTCTAAATAGTAAGAAAATGGGTCACGAATTTGCCCCCTAGGGTACACACTTTGTACTATTATTCAAATTCTGTAGGAGTGATTGGCATTATATATTTTTCAAATGATTCATATATATAATGTCTATGTATGTAACTTACAAACATCAAGATATATAAAGTAATTGAGAATGAAAAAATTATTTTACCGAGGTGGGGTGTTTTTGGGGGGTGGGGGCTAACCCCTGAAAAAAAAGAATTATGTACCACTCTGTGAAGCTATCACCTAGGTAGAATTTTCATCCAAGACTTCCCCCTAACTGAAAATGCTGCCAAACCAACTATACTCCATTTATTAAGAATTTTCCTCCTCGCTCTTAGAGTAAGAACAGTTGCTGGTTTTATTTATCAAGCTTAAGTTATCCTGAAATAATAAATATATAAAAACTTAAAGCAAATATTTTTTTAAAGTTCTTTCAAAAATTAAATCATGTCACCACCACAATTAAAGTGGTGACGTATTGTTATAATATCCTACTTTTTTATGGACGGTGTTCGGCATTTGATGTTCGGCTGTTTGTGTCTGTAACAAATGGCAGGTGTTGAAATCTGCATGTGATCTATTCCATGTTTCTCATATGACTGATTCAGATTAAGCTATAAATATTAGTCACCTTTTATCCTTTATCTATCACATGCAACATGAAGATAATATCACTTGCATGACATGTCAATTATACAATGTTATTAACAATGTTGACTGTATATTATGATGGAACTATTCATTCAATTAATTATTTAAAAATGTGCATAAAATTGTACCATATTGAAGCTAAATGTTCTTGTAAATACATACTGTTTAAACAAGTCAAAAAATTCAGATTTAAACTTACACCTATTATTTTTATTTTCCAGGACGAACAGCATTTGTGACTGCAGATGAAACAGGAAGAAGATTCTATCATTGTGACACATGTGATGCAACAATGAGAAATAATCAGCTGTTTTTTGCTCACATGAAGGATCACCATGGACCAGACCCACTGAAGTGTAAAATTTGCCCACGAAGATTTTCAACTCTGTATGACTGGACACTGCACACGATGTCACATAGAGGAGAATTCAATTACCAGTGTAATATATGCAAAGCAGGGTTGAAAAATAAAAACACTTTTAGACAACATATGTTAAAACATGATAATAGCAAATTTCACATATGTCATATTTGCGGCATGAAATCAAAGACACGTGAAGGGTTTAGACGACATGCTTTTACACATAGAGAAACAAAACCACATGTGTGTCAGGAATGTGGAAAATGTTTTCGTGATCCTTCTTTTCTAAGACGTCATCAGAGAGAGCATCGTCAATCCCATATCTGCGAGTTCTGTGGAAGAAAATTTGGACGCAAAGACAACTTATTAGTTCATGAGAGGATCCACACTGGAGAAAAGCCATATGAGTGCAAAAGTTGTGACAAAAGCTTTGCACAGTTGTCCTCCCTGTGTTCTCATTCTAAAATTTGTAGAGGACAAATGAAATAAAAATATACTTGGTAAGGCCTGAATATTGTGGAAGAACAAAGTTGATTTTATTTTTGGAGGGGGTTTCAGTGATTTCCCTAGCATTAAGGTCAGGGTAATTTTGCCTTCTGCATGTGATCCACATGCAGGATCCACACTGGAGAAAAGCCATATGAGTGCAAAAGTTGTGACAAAAGCTTTGCACAGTTGTCCTCCCTGTGTTCTCATTCTAAAATTTGTAGAGGACAAATGAAATAAAAATATACTTGGTAGGGCCTGAATATTGCAAAAGAACAAAGTTAATTTATTTTTATTTTTGGAGGGGGTTTCAGTGATCTCCCTAGCATTAAGGTCAGGGTGCATGTTCGGAATTTTGCTGCAACCCTCAATAGGGTCACATGTTATTTTTCAAATTTGAATCACTCATTCCCCACAGTGTCTACATCTCTCACTTTTGTACAACGAGTGCACTAATGTACCTAGAAAATAATGTAAAGAAGAATGTTTTGATAAAATGTATAAAAAACAAGAAAATTCAGTTAAAAAATTCAGAAAATTCCTAGAAATTCTTTTCACTGAATTTTTATACATTTTACTAATTTACAACACAAATCTTCTCACAAGTCTTTTCTAGACACATAAGTGCACTCTTAGTGCAAAACTGGAAGATGTAGGCAATGTGTGGAAGGAGTGATTCCTGTTTGAAAAATAACATAATACTCAATTTGCACCTTGGCCTTAAAGCAAGTGTTCTCAGCACCCACCTGAGATTTTGAAAATAGGCTTGCACCCGCCTGTTAAACCATAATGAAATTAACTTTGCCATTCCACAACTGCAGACAATATATGGAATGAAAAGTTTGAAGGATGTTCCTTTTTATGTTCTTCTATCCTGAATCAATTTGTACTTATCAATACAAGCTATATATACAACATATATATATGAGTTACTAGTTTATGAGCAGTGTGTGGGAATATATAGGCACAGGTGCCAGGGGGAATAAAAAAGGGTAGGGTGCTTCCTCTGGTGTGTCTGAGCGTTAACATCAGCTGCCTCTAGTCAGATCCACTAACAAAACAACCTTTTTGGGGTTGTCGAGTTGGCAGAGAGGGCTTGAGCACCAGCACGTTCAGGCTAGGCGATTGGGTGCCATAACCACAAGGTTACGAGTTTGAGACACATGTGCTCCTTGTGTTTATTCATTTTAAGTCAAAACCTTTTTGAAAAAAATAAGAATTTATCCAGACATTTATTAACTTATGATGATAATGCATTTCATGTGTGGCATATATGTGGAATGAAATTAAAATCATCAACTCAGCTTACACGCCATATCCCAACACACAGTAAACACAAACCACATGTGTGTAAGGAGTTTGGAAAGGCTAACAGTGATAGTGATGTGCTAGTTTGTCATATGAAGGTCCATAGTAGACCATTCATCTGTAACATAATGTGGAAGGACATTTGGACGCAGTGATATCTTAAAGGTTCATGAAAGAATCCACACGGGAGAAAAGCCATATAAGTGCAAAAGATGTGACAAGCTTTGCACAAAAAGTCTCGTTTATTAAACATTCAAAGAAATGTGGAAGAGGGAAATTAAATAACAATGTACATAACACTATTGTAGCAAAGTCGTGGCATAGCCAAGATTAATTTAGCAAGGCAAATGTGAATAGGCAAGGCAAATTTAGGCTTAGCAGATATATTTGATACTACTTTCATGAAATTTAGAAATTTAATTCCAAAGCACAATTTTCAGGAAATTATTCAGTCATGCAGGATTCAATATTTTTTGTATTTTACCCAGTCATTGATCAACTGCAGACATCTTATTTAATTTGTGTTTTGTCAAACTTGAAATGTATCCTTATGTAACATTAATAGAAACATTTTCAAAAGTAGTTGAAAATAAATAAAAGATACATTATTCATTATACATGTAATTGTTTTTCTTGCTAAATATTTGTGCATCATTTAGATTGTCTCTGTTTGCCACACTCATACTGCTCTTTTGCTTTGAGGTCTTGTTTGTCTTTCCTTATTTGGGTATTTTCACCTCCCAAAGATAGAATTCATTGTTATACATCATATCATGGGTGTTGGTGATATACAGATCATGCACTACAGAATATACCATCATTATGTACAACTGTATCATATATTTTGAATTTCAGCTTTTCTTAATACATGTAGTTCCAAAGATTACACTTTCCATGCTTTATTGAACTATGTCTTTGTGTGAGTATTCACCTATTTGTTACACTCACTTGTATGATCATATACTCATCTGATTTGAAACTCTTAATAGAATGTTTAAGTTGAATGAACCATAATAACACATCATAATAATCTATGACTACAAATCTGATCCAAGTATAAGTACTTTCTGGACAGATATTCACTTAATGTGTGACGTCATAATGGCGGGTCATAGTAATGGTGGGCCATAATGAATATTTGATAAATTTTGGTGAGTTTTCATGTTTGAATCGTAATAGAAACTTCAGAGCAGGTGTTATATCGCTGAATACATACCTTAGGGCTAGGCACAAACGCTCACTCCCTTTTGGTCGCTCAGGGTACAGAGAACTGTAGTATGTAATCGTTGATATAGAACCTGCTCTTCTGTCTATATTTCTTAAATATATTATAACTTATCTAGCCAATATTAATTGAAGAGGTGACTTTCCAAATTTTGTAGGAAATACTTTAAAACTTTGGTTTTGATAATATATCAGGCACATTTGATCTCAGCAACCATATGGTGGCCCTAGTTTCCCCAAAATCAAGAAAAATATGCAGCACAAAAGATAAGCAGTATGATGTAGATTTTCTAAATCTCATTTTTTGTGAAGCAACAGTCACCATGTGGCCATAGCAGAGCAGATGTGTTCAGGCTTTAACTGCACAAACAACTTGATGGGATACTACATTGAGCTTTCTATCTATCTTATCTCATTTTAAAGATTAGAATGCCATCATGTCTAATAAAGAAATCTTCAACATTCAGACTGAAAAATCAGACCTCAGTTTATATTGTGTGTATATTTTCTTATTTTTGTTCCAGGACCAAAACCATATGTGACTGTAGATGAAAAAGGAGAACGAGTCTATAATTGTGACACATGTGATGCAACTTTGGATAACAACCAGCTGTTTTTTACTCATATGAAGAAACACCATGGACCAAATCCAATGAGGTGTACTATATGTCCACACAAATCTTCATCTTTCTATAATTGGACAGAACATATGATGTTCCATAGAGGAGAGAAGCATTATATTTGTGAAGTGTGTGGTGAGACGTTAGCATGCAGAAAATCATTTAAGATGCATACTAAAATACATTCAAAAACTATAACAGGCATTTGTGATATATGTGGTAAACTGTTTAGTGATACCTTTGATTTGAATGTGCATAAAAGTCGACATAGTAATATTAAACCTTTTATGTGTAATCAATGTGGGAAAGCATTTCAGCATAAATCCATTTTGACAACACACTTAAAAACTCATGAGATGAAATTTGTTTGTCAGACATGTGGAAGAAGCTTTGGACGAAAGGATAATATGAAAGTACATGAGAGGATCCATACTGGCGAGAGACCCTATGTTTGTCATTATTGTAACGCATCTTTCACCCAGATGTCTTCCTTATCAAGTCATAGTAAAACCTGTCATATGAACAAAGTTAAATAAACAGGAATCTACACTGGCTGTGTGTCAATCTCAATATTGTGGCGCATCTTTCTCTTGTATGTCTTATTAAACATTACATTTTTATTATTATTTTTTCCACAAGTTGTAATAAGATTTTAGTAAGTCAAGAAATGTCATAGATAAAATAACTTGGATAAGTGATGTGTTTAAAGTTCTATTTTCAATTGAATCATTTATTTATGTTATACATGTATACTGAAACTTAATATGGCAATTTCCAATGTGGTATTCAACATTCCATTATTAATTTTTTAAAACATTGTAATATATTTTTAGTAAATTGTAGAAATGTCATTGATACAATAATTAAGATAAGTGGTGTATTTTAGTTCTATTTTTAATTGAATTATTTTTTATTTATTTGATATACTAAAGCTGATATGTTAATTACTGATGTGTTATTCAACATTCCATTATTAATTTTCTAAATGATTAATTGTGATGTTCTTTACAAATGCAACACAATGTCTGTGTAAAGTGTAAAGAGACTTATAGACACCTTGTATTTAAACAGCAGAAAGACACCTTGTATTTAAACAGCAGAAAGACACCTTGTATTTAAATTGCAGAAAGACACCCTGTATTTAAACAGCAGAAATCTAAAACTGAAGAAAAAATAAGGATCATGAAAAGCAATAGGTCAGAAATAAAAAAAATGCAATAATGTGTATAAAAAATGTTAGAATTGTTCCTTGTTTTTATTCAAAATGTTTATCTGTATGAAAATACTGAATAAGACGCAAAAGTCATCAGAGTCATTGTCTGTCTTTGATTCTTTGTGGTCTTCCATTAAACAAAAGAAACCAATGCATATACAGATATACCAAGTGTCCAGGCCCATTTTAAGTAACAAACTGCTCTTCTTTTTATTAATACTTAATTCAGTCTGATGATGATGTAGAAATCGAATGATTCTTTCCCGAAAAAAGCAAGGAAATTCACAGATGCATTCATACTCCATTTTGTACCAGAAAACACCCTATGATTAGTGATCGTACCAATTTCGTATGGCGCTGATAAAGACGAGACACGACACTTAAAAACCAAAGAATATTTAGTACCATAATTTTTGAAGTCGTATTATTATAGCATAAGGTGATGATATTGTCCGATTTTATGCTGTTTTAGAAGTGAAAGATGTTAGATTATGCATGCTGTTTGTTTTCAATCCAATATAATGTATGTTTGAGAAAAAAAGATGTATTCACTATGGATTAATTTCCGTAGTGATTTGTACTGTAGGACTGCTTCATGATCACTCATGCCTGGAACCACAGAGATTCTTTCTGGGAGGTTTGGGCATGTAGTGAATACTAAGTCAAGGATGTTATGCCAATGATGAGGTTCATTTGAACATTTGGCAACATTATATCGTCTCTGTTTCTGTCGGATCATTCTCAGTATCCTGTTGGTAATCCACGGTACTTTGAATCTCCCACTTAGAGTTTTACTTGGAATATGCTCATTGATTGACGATATTAATGTAGATATGAAGGAGGACCAGTTGTCTTCAACTGATCTACTTTCAGAGTTCTCTTTGAATTGGCTGAACTTAGATTGTAGAGTCTCTTTAAGTCCAGTCCATTCTGCCCGCTTGTATATGTGTATCTTACACCTTACGAGGTTTCTTTTCTGAATTTTCATTTTCAGGTTTATATCACATAGGACTGCCTCATGATCACTCATGCCTGGAACCACAGAGATTCTTTCTGGGAGGTTTGGGCATGTAGTGAATACTAAGTCAAGGATGTTATTTTGTCTAGTCGGTTCCTTGACTAGTTGGGTTAGGCCATGATCATCAGTTATTGTAATCATCTTCTCATTAAGATCATTAGCATCATTGACCTAAGTTGCACACCAGCGCAAGGCAAATAAAGAGGAGAACTTCGAGAAGAGAAATGAGAAATTAGCTTACTGCTGTCTTTACCAGTGCCATTCAAAATTGGTACGATCACTAATCATAGGGTGGAAAATAACAAGTGCAGGCATAGCAATTTTTTTTTAAATGTTATCATTCCACCTACACCTTAAATAACAGTGCAATTTGCTTTGGAGCATAAATGTAGCATAATTATGGAGGATGACGAGAATAGCAATGCAATATGTTCAGAAGTTGAATGAATTATGATAGGTAAATCCCATGTATTATTACATGTATAGCAGTAGTGTGCTTCAGAATATGAATGTAATATAATGGAGGTATCACATTATATAGCAGTGAGGTAGTGAATTGAACAGCTACCTTGAAATCTTGAAACTCAAGTTACCTTTGATGGGTTGTTACTTATATAATGCAATGCAGTTATATGAAGGATTAGACACACCTTGCCTCACTTTATGTGAAAACTATATCATAATCGTGAAGAATGCAATTATTGCGGCTTTCTTCAGGCTGGAATATATTAAAGCAGTGAAGAATCACCTTAAATAAGGCTACAGTGCAATATATTTTGGAACATAGATGTTTAATAATAGTGAAGACATATAAGTATTCTTGGAACATATTGTTGTACACAGGTAATGGTGAAGGATCACATAAATGGATTCTGTTGTCAAGGGTTTGCTTAGTCATTTTTCTTGATCACATTCCATGAAATTTTGAATGTTTAAATTGTTCAAGTAAACCTTATTCTTCTCTGCAACAACCATATGTCTGTGAATTTTGTGGAAAAAGATACACCAATAGTGAAAGTTTGAATAGACATCTGACCTCACATAATCCTAAGATGACCAAATGCAAGCTATGTCAGAAACGTGTGAGAAAGGACTTATTGAAAGGGCATATATTCAAAACACACACTAATACATTTACATGTGAAACCTGTGGGCATCAGTTTTCGCGGAAAGATAATTTGCAGGTCCACCAGAGAATCCATACTGGAGAAAAACCTTATAGATGTGAAACATGTGATAAATGTTTCATCCAAATGTCTTCTCTCAATAATCACAAGAAAATATGCCTTAAATTGTCCTCTAAGAACATTGACGAAAACAAAATGTAACATATTAATAATGGATCACATTAAATAACATTGCAATGTGCTTAAGAACATAAATGTAGCATTTCCACATCAACATTGCATATATAGCAATGTAGCCATGTCTTATATGCTCAGTTTCCTGGACTGGTATGCTTCCATACAGGAATGTAATATCATTGTGATCTTATTAAACAGCACATTGTGCTTAGTAACATAAAATCTATCATAAAAATAAGGAATCACTGTAAATAACAATGTAATGTGCTTTTGAATATAAGTATATCATATTGTTCTTCTGCTTGCAGGACCTAAGGCTTATGTGACTATGAATGAGAAAGGAGAGAGAGTTTACCACTGTGATGGATGTACCTGTACTTATAAAAGCACTCGGCAATTCTTTAAATGTATGAGGAGTCACCATGGCAAAAATCCATTGATATGTCAAACATGTGGAAGCAGGAGTGATACCATTTTTTATTGGACAAGGCATATGAGGTCACACACTGATATGAGGAGCTATGAATGTCAGTACTGTGGAAAAAAATTAAGATGCAGAAAGTCCTATCTAGAGCATATAAGCTTAGAAAAAGGCAATCAAGGCAAACAACAATATCGTGTCTGTGAAATTTGTGGGAAAAAATTCAACAAGAGTCAAGACTTGAATAAACATTTGCCCGTACATAATCCTAAGATGATCAAATGTAGGATATGTGGAAAAACAGTGACAAAGCACAACTTGAGAAAACATATATTTAATAAACACACTCATACATTTACATGTGACACCTGTGGGCGTCAGTTTTCTCGGAAAGATCATTTGCAGGCCCACCTGAGGATACATACTGGAGAAAAACCTTATAAATGTAAAACATGTGATAAACATTTCATCAATATATGTCCTCTCAATAGACACATGAAAATATGTCTTAAATTGGCCTATAAGAACATAAATGAAAATAATTTGAAACATAATAGTGATGGATCACATTAAATAACAATTCAATGTGCTCTAGAACATAAGTGTAGCATTATTGTAGAGGATGACAAATAGCAATTCGAATGTGAAGGGAATATGAAAGTGAGGGATCACATTATATAATGTAGATACACTTAATTTGACGCTACTTATTTTGGCAGATTTGCTCAATTTCAGAACATCTATCTATTCCACATCATTTGAGACTGAATACTCTATCTTTTATGAGTACTAGTATCTACAACTATTTTTGATGTTATGAGTATTGGCTATTAATTTTTTCAATTTTTCTTTAACATGTATTAATATGACTTCAGTATGAATGAAATGTCCCTTGGTGTTCTGGTCCTGGATTGTGATATTGGTTCTCGATTGGAGGGGAGAGGGGGATGTTAGACATTGTTTCTTTTCATGTTAGATCATGGTTTTGGGATATATGAGGGTCTACTTTTCTTATGACAGATTTACACTTACAGATTGCTTTTCTTCTTGGGTTTCTTTAAAGTTTTTAGTCACCTTTCCCTTTGGCATTTGCGCTTATATATTCAAATATTGGCAGCTATTTAATTTGGTGGAGTTCTGACTAAGCTCATGTTTTATCTGATCTGGAAATAAACATTTCAGATTTATGTGTTCTGCTTTAGGTAAGTCTTGGTATAGCACTGACATCAAAACAGGAATACTTACACAAGGAAAATGGTTGCAAATTACAAATTCTCTCCAAAATAGATCTGAAAATTGGTGGATTTTTAATTTGGCAGATTTTTTTGATCCGCCAGTCCATCAAATTAAAGCGGTAAATCAAATTAAGTGAATCTTCAGTAGCAGGGAAATGTGCTTTTAAACATGAAATACATCATAAGAGAGATTTCGCTCATATGTGAAAGCAAAACTTATGTTATGCCTATAGCTATAGGTTAGTGAATTAGTGGCATTTTGCATGAATTTTTACTTATATGTACAGAAATGTTTATTTTATCAATCAATTCTAATGTTCTTTCACCAAGAGTGAATTGTTTTCTCCTCCAAATTCCCTGTTCATAAGGTGGATTAGATAGTAATATGACTTCATGCCAAATATCACTATACGATGCATCCTTTAAAATCCTTAATACTCCCATAGTTCCATTTTACATTTTTACTATATTTCATTAAAAAATTAATTTCAAGACTTATGGGACAATTACGTTTTAAAAGTGATGTCTCAAGTATAAATTGATAGAGCTGCTGGACAAGTGATGACATAGTACACACTTTATACATTATAAACATAAAGAATTGATAAACATGTTATCAGTGCGGTTGCGAAATCTCTCTGTGAAGGAGCACAATAAGTAGAAAAGCCTTCAAAACATAACATCAGTGTCAAGGAACTCTATATTTTTGCTCCATCGTATTAGACCATAAATATAACATATTATTGAAATAATCACATGAAATAGTTATGTCCTTGATACAGTGTTATAACAATAATGTATCATAATAGTGAAGGATCACATTACATAACAAAACAATGTCCTTCAGATCATAATGTAAGATCATAATAAAAAGCTGTCAAAACATAAAATCAGTGTCAAGATAAAGAACGCTTTATCTTTGCTTCTAGTTTGCATTACATTACATCATTAGTCCATTTGATCATGAGAATAAAATATTGACCGAAAGGGATCACATTAAAAAAACAGTATGCTTCCAGACAAGAATGTAACATCATTGTGATCTTATTAAATGGTTAATAGTACATTGTGCAATATGTGCTTAGGAACATAGAATATATCCTTTAATATAAATATATCATAAGATGAAGAATGACATCATAGTATAGTCATTTTTCTTTTATTCTTCTGTTTGCAGGACCTAGGCCTTATGTAACTGTGAATGAGAAAGGAGCGAGAGTTTACCACTGTGACGGGTGTACCTGTACATATGAGAACAATCAGCAATTTTTTTTATGTATGAGGAGTCACCATGGCAAAAAACCATTCATATGTCAAACATGTGGAAGCAGGAGTGATACCATTTATTATTGGACAAGGCATATGAGGTCACACACTGATATGAAGAGCTATGCATGTCAGTACTGCGGAAAAACATTTAAAAAAAGGGAGGCCTGTCGAGATCATGTAAGATTAGAAGAAGGCAAACAACCCTATGTCTGTGAAATTTGTGGGAAAAGATACACCAGTAATGAAAAATTGTATAAACATTTGACCTCACATAATCCCAAGATGAGCAGATGCAAGATATGTGGGAAAAGAGTGAAAAAACACTACCTGAGAAAACATATATTCTTTTCACACACTAATACATTCACATGTGACATCTGTGGGCGTCAATTTTCTCGGAAATGTAATTTGCAAGTCCACCAGAGAATCCATACTGGAGAAAAACCATATAAATGTGAAACGTGTGATAAATGTTTCATCCAATTGTCTTCTCTTAATAGTCACAAGAAAGTGTGCCTTAAATTGTCGTATTCAAACATTGACGAAAACAAAATTTAATATGATAGTGATGGATCACATTGAGAAAAAGCAATATGCTTTAGACCATAAATGTAACATTGTTGTGGAGGATGATTATATAGCATATTATATAGCAAGGCAATATGCTTTTGCGCATAAATGTATAATAATTGTGAAGGATCACATTCAACAACATTACATTGTGCTTATTAATGCTTATTGTATTGCGATGCTGTTTAATTGGCAATACTTGTAGAAGTTCAATGGGAAATGGATAATTGACAATTTCAAAATGTTGACTTTTAAAAACCCCAAGAAATAATAAAAAAAATCAAATTCTGCAGTAAGGGGAAGAGCTAGACTAGACAACTGATTGATATATTTGCTTTACCTATACATAAAGTATAGTATATTTCTATAATGCTTTCAATCTATGTTTATATTATAACATATTCCTTACCCAGCCTAAAGTTAACTCCAGATAATTTTTGAAAATTATGAAAAAACTTCTATCAAAATCAAATCAGATATTTATGTAAATATTTTTAGAAGAAGCTGATAAAATAGTTTTGAACTGTAGGATAAAAAATAAGTCTCGAGTAATGGCATTGTAGATGTGTATCTCCATTTCATTGAATTCCCTTTATTAAAAAATGTCTATGTTTTTAATCAACAATTTTTTCCTCAATTGTGTTTAATAGTTTAAAGCCATATTTTATATCAAAACACTATTTTTTGTTATATTTCACAATTTTGGTAAAATTTTGTATATTGATTCTTTGCTGAAAGGAATGTCTCTGAATTTTAATGCAGATAAGGCACTTTATAACAGGTATGTTATAGCTTGGATACTCATCTTTGCCATCTACATGCACCCTTTATAATTTTATTGGAAACACCTTATGCAATAAGCCATTCTGTCTAACTTTATCTAACTCTTTGGTGAGATATATTATTAATTCTGTGTTTTTTTCCGGATGGATGGACTGACAGGCGGAGGGTTTCACTCTACCCTACTGAACTTCGTTCGTTGGGATAATAATGCATTGCTCTTAAAAGAACTAGATCCTAATATTACTCATAAAGACTGACATTTACAGGGTGTCCAATAAATAAGGTGAAAGATATTGTAACTTTCTTAATATTGCACCAATCTTGATGAAATTTTCAGAGTTTGTAGCCCAAACATTTTTACCTTTATTCTGTGAATTCAAAGCGTCTTTTATTTGATTGGCCAGAGTTGTGGTTGCTATAGTAACCGAGACAACAAAAAGGCGGGGCAAGTTTGTTTACATCACAACTTTCCAAGACATGTTTATTCTTTCTGATAGCTTTATTCATACTCCCAGGTCTATTACTACCACAAATACAATTTAAAAACTGTCCTTAAGTCCCATTGTTATGAAAATAAGCTATTCAACATAATTTCCATCTCTAGCTATACACTTCTTATGCCTATTCACCCACTCTCTAAACACACTTTCAAACCCATTCTTGCCCATTTCCTGAAGTCTTGCTAAGACATGTGATCTGAGTTCACACACAGCTATCCTCACTAGTGAAACTATTAGGGCACTGGGGCTACCCCTACTTGCACACCCTCCATATTCCCCAGACCTTGCACCCAATGACTCTTACTTATATGCAGAACTCAAGCGTGACTTGAGAGGAAATACATTTGGAAGCACTGATGAACTCAGATCGTATGTCTTAGCAAGACTTAGGGAAATGGGCAAGAATGGGTTTGAAAGTGTGTTCAGAGAGTGGGTGAATACATGTAGGCAGAAGAAGTGTATAGCTAGTGTAGAGATGGACATTGTGCTTAATAGCTTATTTTCATAACAATGGGACTTTAGGACTGTTTTTATATTGTATTGGTGGTAGTAATAGACCTGGGAATATGAATAAAGCTATCAGAAAGAATAAATATGTTTTGGAAAGTTGTGACGTAAACAAACTTGCCCCACCTTTTTGTTGTCTCGGTTACTATAGCAACCACAACTCTGGCCAATCAAATAAAAGACGCTTTGAATTCACAGAATAAAGGTAATCAAATAGAAGACGCTTTAAATTCACAGAATAAAGGTAAAAAGGTTTGGGCTACAAACTCTGAAAATTTCATCAAGATTGGTGCAATATTAAGAAAGTTACAATATCTTTTACCTTATTTATTGGACACCCTGTATATCAAATGAATGGTCCTTTGAAACTTTACAAGATTTTACAAGATTTCTAGATTTACAGTCTACCTTTTTATTATGCTTTGGAACATAAATGTATCGAAACAGTGTAGGATCACACTACATAACAAAACAATGTCCTTCAGATCATGAATGTAAGATCATGATAATAAAAAGCTGACAAAACAGTGTAAAATCAGTGTCAGGATAAAGAACACTTTATCTTTGCTTCTAGTTTGCATTACATTACATCATTAGCCTATTAGACCATAAATATAACATATTATCACATGAAATAGTTATGTGCTTTATACAGTGTTATAACAATAATGTATCATCATAGTGAAGAATCACATTACATAACAAAACAATGTCCTTCAGATCATAAATGTAAGTTTATCCTATAAATGTACATGTATCATTATAGTGAAGGAAAATAAAGAATCTGTAACTGACAATAAAATGTGCTTTTTGGAATGTAGATGTATAACCAGCGATTGAAGATTGAAAGCAATCTTACATGGTAGCTCTAAAGACATGCACTTAGAGTCTACCATCAAGGAAAAATAGTTTTAAAGAAAAAATGCATTCTTTTTACTCTTAAAGGGTGAATTGAGAAATCCTATAAAGGGTGAATTGAGAAATCCTATAAAGGGTGAATTGAAAAATCCTATAAAGGGTGAATTGAGAAATCAATAATAGGTGTTTTTGTTGAGATTTTGGCAAAGATCTTAGTTTTGTATCACACATTCTTCCTTCTGCAATTGTTTTTTTTTTCAATGGACAGATATGAATTTCAGAAACCCATGATATTGTTTGAAGTAGGAATACTAACAGTTTCCATTACTGATGCTATGTCTGCTCAGATAAAGGCACACTACCCTACCTCGATAGCGCATGCGCGAATTTTTTGGCTTTCAACCACGTCGCTTTTGAGTATTTCGACTGCTTAGTCAAAAGGTTAATACGTTTGGTGCTCGGAGTGAGTCAATATTGCTATTCGCTGAACTTCAGTGGTGCAATAGTGAAGTCCATGTTCCAAGTTATATGATAGTTGAAGAAAGAATGTAAATAATATCGTTTTAAATTTTAAAATATTTGATATGTCATAGTACACGGTACACAGTTGCAAAAGTTGATCAATACAGGGTACAAGGAATGTAAATTGCTCAATAGTACAGGGAGCGAGAAAGTTAGCTGATTATACAGACATACAATGTCCCGATCTCATGTACATGTACGTTGCAAACAGTGAAAATAATGCTAAAAAGGCCGCCTGTTGATGCTTTGAGGTGTCATCAATTGTTATTTAATCCAAATAAAGTAAACATTATTTTGTAGATTTATATAACCCCTTGAATGGTCTTATTCACTACCGTTCTCAAAAACCGATCATTTAAAATATTTTGTTCAAAATACCATCATGCCACGACTTGAAAGCATTTTGTTCTTCACGATTTGCTGTAGCGCTGATATGACATCGTATTTCTATTGTTGTAAAAAAAACGAATACCAGATCGATGTAGTCTTAGATGACGTGTTGAATGTCAGATGTTTTTGGATGGTATCTGCTCCAGTGATTTTGCATTTAATCATGAAACGCTCATCACAAGACACCTCGAAACAAACATTATCCTGTTTGTGACAAGAGGAAAAATGTTTCACAATATGTTATGCCTTACAGCAAAGTAAAGATACATTTCTGGGACGACGTTTTTTGCATCTTAAGATTTTAGAAAAACAATTAATTCACAAAAACACAGTTGAATAACATACGGGAAAATGTATCCACATATAACACGATGGCACGCAGTTAAATAACAGTTAACTGGTTTTTTTGTTACATATCAATGTAACATTTTCGAAGGGAAACTTACATGCTCCCTGTACGTTGATAGATTTACTGAAATGTATGGTGTATTGCATTGAGTTTTGCTTCACTGCGCCCACTATTATCTATCTTTGCCTATAGTGGTTTTTTGCCAACAATATTCTACAAACTGCTCGATGAATCAATTCTATGTCTGGTAGAATACTAGAAATAAATGTAAAATGTATTTTACGTTCAGAAATATGAAATTAAACCCACGTCCTCCATTTGCAACTTAGCTGTACCCTGTTTCCCTTTTAAACGTGGTCACGTGGTAGGGTAGTGTGAAAGGTTTTTGGGCAAATAAACCACTTTTCCATTTTCAGGTGTGACCTTCAAATGTGTATAACCCCATTAGTTAATTTGGTTTACAGTTCGGAAGTGTTGAATTTGGTGTTTTATGGGGCTCCCTTAAAGAGACTCTATACCATAGGATAGCAAAATTAAGAGCCATCTTTTTGCATATTGAGTTTAACCACATATTCACCTATCTATTTACAAACAAAGAAGTCCCATATCCCCCCTTTCAGGTTAATTTTGTGACTGTACTGACCAATCAAATTATTTTAAAGTAAATCAGTTCATTCTGAAGTTTGAATATATCGGGGAAAATCCCCCTGTTATCTGATTGGTCCTGAAAGGAGGGCGAGTTGTTTGTAGAATGAATCGGGGGATCTTTTTCATGAATTTCGCTTACGTTTTTCATCCAAAAAACATCAATACACTTTAAAACATTTTGTTTACTTTAAGATTACACCATGTAATCCAAAAATATATTTCTCATTTTCAAAGATAATCCATGGATTAACACCCAGGTATTTTTATTTTTCAATCTTCAGAGGGCTGGGAATCAATGATGCTCAACGCTTTTGAATACGATAAATGCTGTTTTAAATAGGTTTTACGTATGCCAATAATTTCTCAAATTATGTAAGCTGAATGCACTCCTTAATCCCTCTTGGAGGAATGCAATGGTAATCCAATGGTAGTTCCAAGCAGATTTTTAGATGGCAGGTAAGTAAATTCTTTAGTACTCGCCTTATTGGGTTGAGTTAGTTTATATTCAAAAATTATATATGATTCTGTAAAGATGTCAGTGTGGATGCTATATGGATTGCAC